CAGAACTGTAAACCATCGACTACCCGCCAGCTGATTTAGAGTGTCTTGTATTTCTGGAATCTGCTCTGCCTGTTTCACTGTCTTGTTATTTACCTTCCGATAGTCGATACACAGGCGATTGGTACCATCACGCTTGCGCACTCATAAAATTGGACTCGAATATGGTGAATTTGACTTGTGTATAAAATGTTTGCCAATAAGATCAGTTAAATGGTCTTTCACTTCTTGGTAAAGCGGGCTTGGGATCAAACTATATGAGGCCTGTACTGGCGTAGTATCTCTCAAGGGAATGTTAAGTTTCAGGTCAGCAGAATGGCCAATGTCGTCGTCTCCCCTTGAGAGGGCATCACATTCCTCCCTAAGCACCTGACGTATCTTGCATTCTTGTTGTGTGGTAAGGCCTATAGTCCCTCTAAGCTAACAGGTGGATTGCAGTCATCATGTGACTAGTGTGTAACTTCATGTACATGAGGTGACACAGCAATTTCCATGATTGAACTAACCCTATTCACAGTTCCAACTACTGTTCGCTTCAGGATCGAAAGTTCATTGTTAGTCTCGTTATGAAATATCAGCTTTACCCCTTTCTCCATTTTGACAAAACACTCAAATAAATGAAGACCTTTAGGTAAGTTTTCTACGTACGGTTCTAAGTGTCCAACTGCTCAATCACTGTTATTACTGGTTCTCACTTGAAAACGCACTTGTTTCCGACTCTTTGCAAGAATTGTCACAGTTCTCTCTCTTGTTTTAATAGGAATCCTCTCTCCACTCAGGTTTTGTTTGATATTTTGTACTGAGGCGACAGATGCAGCAGATGGTAGTGAAGGAAATGCCGTGCGGAGATCAGTATCTGCGTCAGAGTCACTATCACGGATGTATTCTTCAATCATATTGTAACTGATAATGGGATAATCCTTGACCGCAGCTGACGTAATAAAAAATGGAGTAGTAATTACTTGGTTTCCACTTGTCACTGCCCACTCGACCCAACCGCTGAAGTGAATGCTTGATCCATTTGCAAAATTAATTTGTAAAAAACACATTCTGATTGCACACACAAGTACTCTGAAGTTGACATCAAAGAGATGCTTGAGTTTCTAATTGACAATATCTATGTGGTTTTTGGAGACCAGGTATTCCAACAATCTACTGGAATTCCCATGGGTACCAATTGCGCTTCGTTATTAACAGACCTACATACTGACTATATAAATGTATACATTCATGAAGCAGATCTAGAATTTGTGCAAAATCTTATGCGTGAAAAGAAGAAAACACTTGCTGTGGACTTCAACTCGACATTTAGATATATCGACGACGTATTGTCAATTAACAATGGTAATTTCCATTCCTACGTCGATACGATATATCCTAATGAGCTTGAGATAAAAGATACCACAGAGTCTGACTCATCTGTTTCACACTTGGATATTTTACTTGAAAAAGACGTTAATGGTAATCTAACAAGCAAGCTATATGATAAACGTGATGACTTTAAGTTTTCTATCGTCAACTTCCCTTACTTATGCAGCAATATACTGTAGAAGTACTTTTTATACTTTTTTGGTATTAATTTACGCTATGTACGCTGCCACAAATTTTCCGCGGAAACTTGTCCAAGCGTACTTAATATAAATGTAAGGCATATAGTGACAATCCAAAAAATCCGCGGATTAAACAGAAATTGAGATTCCGCGGAATTATGACCCCGTGGAAAAAAGTACGTCTACAGTACCTTCATCACATACGGAGTATATATCCCAGTTGATACGATACGCAAGAGCATGCTCTACGTATGAACAATTTCTAAAACGAGGTAAATTATTGACAAGCAAGTTGATGAAGGACATTGGCAAGTCACGGTTATCCGGAGAAAAAAGGTTTATTCACTTATAAAACTGTGATTTAGAGTGATCCCCCGTGTGAATTCTCTATGAAATGAAAACCAATAAAGCGTATTTAACAGATCGAGGTAAACAAAAGCACATGTGCTTCATTCAACGGGTAGAATCATCTCTTCAGCAAGAAAGAAAAATGGTGGTAGTTTGTTGTACATTGTGTTCAGGGACAGACAGTAAACAGTATTCAACAGGCCGTAATTTAACATGCCTATACTGGGAAGGACAGTCATAAGATGTGTAAAACCTTTTCATAAGGTTTTACTGCCCGTCCCGTGGCAGAAAAACGAGTCCGTTTTCCAAAGTTTGTTGATCCTGACGACGGGATCTTATCCTATTGCGGCATCCTCGGGAAAATGTTCACTGCTGCCACAATGAAAAACAATGGTTAAAGGTAGGGGCATTGTTGTCTGAACACATCCTACACTTCCGATCCTGTGACTTCCTTGACCTCTGACTAAATGGTTGGAATGATTTGGTGATCACTTTCCTCAACTCATTAATCTGTGTTCTTAATTCCTTGATTTTTAACGTCAATTTCCCTTCTTTATAGTCTTCTTTCTTTTGCAGCTCAGGTGTCTCACTTTTATGGATGCGTGCAATCTGATACCCCATTCTCTTCACAAGTTTAGAGGACCTTTCTTCTTCCTTCATGGTAACCTTGCTCGTGAACTAGATAAGGTCTTCTTCTTTAAGGTGGTGCATACCTTCTAAGAATCTAGCCACTTCCTGCCTAATGACTTTATTTGTTAATCCGGTGTCCAGAGTACGGTAAAACACCTTGTCCCCTAAGTTTTGTTCGTATTTCACTTCGGCCTTTTCTTCCTTCGAAGCAAACAGTATTCTCCGTCTCAAATTTAAAGCCCGTCACAGGATTTGATGATTATGATTTTGAGCAAGCTAGCACAGTTCTGTGTAAAGTTCCGTGGCAGATTTTTCCTTATAATGTGCCCTTAGAATCTGTCGAAGTGAAGGTAGGGTCAAATCAGACTTCAAACTTCCTGGTAACGTATCATAGTCCCAACAGGAACAGCTCTGATGACAGCATCTGTTATCTCCACTGTGGAAAAACTTTTCTGTAATCCCATATCTATTTGTCGCGCTAGAGAAACGAAAGATAGCCTCTTCTGTAAATCTATCTGGCCATGGCTTTCTAAAAGAAGTAACTGTAGACACTCTTAGTTTATATCTGATTCCGGAAAAAGATTTGGATTGTCTTTTGGTTCTGACTTTTTCTCTTTAACCGTGAACTTTCCTGATTTTACTTCATCTGTAATCACTTACAGAGCCTGAAGGGCAACTGATTCCTTGGTCTTATCATTGAACTAGCCAGTTCTCCACTGCATTATTGGCGTTGCTCCCTGTGTCTAGACCTTTCTTCTCAATGCTGAAATCTTCACAAATTGTAAGATGGTCTCCAGGGTCGCTAAACACAACATAGGCTCCCCTGCAGCAGATGATTCTCAAACTCTGGTGTCTCCATCCCAGACAAGCCCCCCAAAAGTGTAACCGCTTTCAAATGAAGTGAGTCGAGTCTGAGAAGGAGGAAGAAACAATGCAAGTAAACTGTTGTTTATTGGCGCCGACTTGAATACATAACATACCTATATGCTAAAAATAGCTTTTTCGAACTTTGTTGCCACCGGTCGCATAGTGTTTGACAAACTTATCTTGTTTCTTTACTGAAATAAATATGTCAAGGTTGTTCACGGTAAATATATGGGGGATATCGTATTCCTTAAAAGTTTTCATCTTTCTTTTAAAGTTTTTAAAAAAAATTATTTGAGGAACAAAACAAAAGCACGTGATATCTCTTTGTTTTTATGCGCCCGGATCTGGGGCGTATATTATTTTTGTCCTGTCTGTTTTGCCCCGTGGGGATCCGGGTTTGAATAGGTCCTCAGTACCCCCTTGCTTGTCGTAAAAGGCGACTAAATGGGGCGGTCCTTTGGATGAGACCGTATAAACCGAGGCCCCGTGTCACAGCAGGTGTGGCACGATAAAGATCCCTCCCTGCTCAATGGCCCTAAGTGCCGAACATAGGCCTAAATTTGCAGCCCTTCACCGGCAATGGTGACGTCTCCATATCAGTGAAATATTCTGGAGAGGGACGTTAAACAGTACACAATCAATCCTGTCTGGGTTTTTTTTTTTGTTTGTCTGTTGTCAGCTTTAACATTCGATATAGCTTTTGAACCATGAGAGATAAAGACTTCTTATTTATGGGATGAAATGCCATAGAGGAGTAAGCATTCACTCTCGACCGGTCACATCGACCAAGTGCTCCTTGTCACAATTTAACAAGTGCTCTGTGGTCATTTTCTAAGGAAAAATAAAAAAAAAAAAGAATAGTAATAAATTTGACTACATTTTATTAAAATTTCATTTTAAATTTGATTTGAGAAGAAAGGAGAAAATTTAAGAACATATAAGATAAAGTAAACAAATCACTTTTGGGGTAATATTAAGGTTTTCAAAAATGAGATCAATTATTTTAAAAGAAATATCAAAACCCCACAAACAATACAAATTTGTGAACAGGACATAAAATACAGAACCCCAAAATTCTAAAGATGGGATCAGCTGTCAAGGAGGAGTAAGCATCTCCCGACAGCTAGTCACACAAAAGAGATAAGTTGAGGTTACATGGATTAAAAAATCGACAACGGGTGAAAACTAAACTACAATCACTATATAATTCCTCATATTTCACCCTGGTTTTGTTGATCTATTAAATATATTTAAATCTATCCAAAAAAGTTAATTGGTCTAATGACAGTACGTATATATTGCAGAACAAACTGATGATTTCTGATATTTTTTTTGTTGTGATTCTTTAGCTGTTCCATTAAACATAATATTGTTAGTGTCTTTATTGTTAGATATATGAATAGACAATATACCAAGGGAACTAAAACCTCCAATGTCAATGTTCATAATATTTTAAGGAAATTTTAACGGCAGAGCGTATAGAACGTACATACATTGCAGGTCTTCCTTTTTCGTTTTAATTTCGTTTTAAGTGGTTTCTCTTTCTTATGATGTGCGTACTTTTGTACGCTCCTATTTGACTTTGGCGGAAGTTTATATGACCCTACCTTTGTCCAACACTTAAGAATAGAGATTCCCAGTGAAATCTTTCACTATAAACAGATAGACGGAAGTGTACATGTTATAAGGTATTTATTTATTTATTTTAAGCCTGATAAATCACCCGGTACCAGTTGTACTTTTAGTATGTCATTTCAGTTGTGAAAAGTAGTATAGTTTGTTAATTCTTTCAATGTTATTTTGATTAAAACATTCTGATTATATACACAAGTACTCTGAAGTTGACATTAAAAAGGTGCTTGAGTTTCTGATGGACAACTTATCTATATACATGTATATATGTTTTTTGGAGACCGGGTCTTCCTACAATTTATTAGAATTCTCATGGGTACCAATTGTGCCCCTTTATTATCAGGCCTATTTTTGTATTCATATGAAGCAGCATTTGTGCAAAATCGTATGTGTGAAAAGAAAAAAAACCTGTGGCCTTCAACTCGACATCTAGATATATCGACAACGTAATGTCAATAGACAATGGTTATTTCCATTCTTATTTTAATTCGATTTATCCCGGTGAGCTTGAAATAAAAGATCTGAGACATCTGCTTCTGATATTTGGATATTTTTCTTGAAAAAAATGTTAATGGACATCTAACAATCAAGCTCTATGATAAACGTAAATACTTATTTAACTTTTCAATCGTCAACTTGCCTTACTTATCAACTGAGGGATGAGCTTTAATTGAGGGAAGAAGGTACGCGAAGTATTTGGGAATTTTCTTTTTTCTGCTTTCAGAGTCTCAGGACATTCACCATCCTCCAAATTGAAGGGTACGCGATGTGATGTGGACATTTCTAGTTATCTCTGCCTCATTAATTTCTGAGACTATCGACGACTCTGTTCGGTCCAGAATCTTCTCAAGTATTCTACCTCTGCAGTTTTGCCATTTCAAATGTCTTTGATCAACATCAGTATCTTTTCACAAGGACTGAAATTTGACCATTATCATCTATCATCATAATTTTTTTCTGGTTCTGCTGGTTTTCAGCACTTTCCATTCAAAGCAACATATAGTCTTCTTCACTATACTGCCAATTGCGATAATCTCTTCTTGTTGATTTCTTCACTTCCCTATTTCCCTCTTCAAGGTAGCGTCTCTTTGAGGCTTTTCTTGAATTGATCATGGGCTACATGACTTCAAATACGTGAAATAAGCCTGGAAAACGTCAGATATTTCGGACTAAGACAAATACCAAGCACATAAGAAAGTGAATCCTCAATAAATATATATAAATAGCCAAAAAGAACTTCGCATATATGGATCTTTAAATGATTTATGCTTTTCTGTGTATCAATTTCAATCAAAGTAACAAGGATATCTGAAATATTCATTTTATATAAGCATTCATTAATTAATTTATGATCATATCACACGTTTAGTTACAAGTTTATAATTTTAGAATTTTGGATTTTGTGACATGGGGAAGTTAAAAGCCTTCTTCATTGAGCTTGAAAATTCCGATGGCGTTTTCTCTCCAGGGCAGACCATAAATGGAAAACTTGTTATTGAACTGAATGAAGAGATGAAAATGAGGGGTAATATATATGTAGCATTTCTAGATTTTTTTTACTTATCATTACAATATGTTTATGTTTTATTTACATTATTTACGTTGTCTTTAAGCTTTTGCCTAATCAAATAAAACATTTTCCAATTCGTATAAGATAATTTTTAAAAACAACAAAATGCAAAATCTTTGAGAAGACTTAAGCAAAAAGGATAATTACAATTATTGTTTCTCTTATATTTAATTGTAATAATTTCGATGATCAGATCACTTGCATGTTTACTGATATTTTATATAAAACCCAATTAGTTGAAAGTGTGAATAATGCAAATTTTGTAGTACCTCGTACATGTATTTATTTGATCAAATGTTTTGAATGCAATATAGGCCAATATGTATATAGAAATTTCTCCACAGTCCATGTGGTATGCCTAAATATAGGGGTTATCTTATATTTTATTTTAAACCATTTAGTTGAAAATAATTACAAAATTATTTTCATATAAATCCCCTTTAAATATATATTACAAATATAGTATATATGCGTGAAATACTTCTCGAATCTGACGTAAAACAACAATCAATCAGTCGACAGAAAATTGATATTCAGAATTTTTAGCTCTACTGGTCAGAGACCAGAAGAGCTTATGCGATAGTAATGCGTCCGTCGTCCGTCCGTCTGTCTGTCTGTCCGTCCGTCTGTCTGTCCGTCTGTCTGTCTGTCTGTCTGTCTGTAAACAATTTTTCAAAATGCTACTCCTCCTACAGTTTTGGTCCGATTTCAACATAACTTGGCACACAAGTAGACTACACTAAGATACATAATTTTATGCATCGGTTTTTGATTTCGATGAACGGTGTTGCCGTGGTTACTAAAAATAGAAATTTCTGTGAAATTCTTTCAAAATGCTACTCCTCCTACAGTTTTGGTCCAATTTCAATATAACTTGGCGCAAAAGTAGACTACACTAAGATACATAATTCTGTGCATCGGGTTTTGATTTCGATGAACGGTGTTGCCGTGGTTTCTAAAAATAGAAATTTCTGTGAAATTCTTTCAAAATGCTACTCCTCCTACAGTTTTGGTCCAATTTCAATATTACTTGGCACACAAGTAGACTACACTAAAATACATAATTCTGTGCATCGGTTTTTGATTTCGATGAATGGTGTTGCCGTGGTTACTAAAAATAGAAATTTCTTTAAAATTCTTTCAAAATGCTACTCCTCCGACAGATTTGGTCCGATTTCAGTATAACTTGGCACACAAGTAGACTACACTAAGATACATAATTCTGTACATCGGTTTTTGATTTCGATAAACGGTGTTGCCGTGGTTACTAAAAATAGAAATTTCTGTGAAATTCTTTCAAAATGCTACTCCTCCTACAGTTTTGGTCTGATTTTGATATAACTTGGCAAACAAGTAGACTACACTAAGATACATAATTCTGTGCATCGGTTTTTGATTTCAATGAACAATGTTGCCCATGGTTACTAAAAATAGAAATTTCTGTGAAATTCTTTCAAAATGCTACTCCTCCTGCAGTTTTGGTCTGATTTCAGTATAACTTGGCACACAAGTAGACTATACTATGATACATAATTCTATGCATTGGTTTTTATTTTGATGAGTGGCAAGGATCATTTTTCCATTTATTGCTGATTTAAAGTCTCAAGTCCCAACTGCTACTTTTCTCTTCCTTTGTTTTAAGTATAAACCAGTAGAGCTACAGTCTCGACAGAAACTTCTGGTTAATTGTAGGGTTGAACTCAAAGAATTTCATTTTTAATTTTTTATTTAAATCCTATAATTATTTTGCCGAGAGAATTTTCTCGGAAATCTTTTCATTCAATGATCTATTTTTTTTTTATCTTTCATTTATAAGAGCTATCTAAATACTTAATTCACAGACTTCATTCTGAACACTTAATTCACCAACTGAATTGAGTTTCGTAATTTAAAATTATAGGCAACTGCATGCCTTGTTCGCTCATGTGCCACGCATTCTCAATTTATAGTGCCAAATCGATCTTGGGAAAAGTCAAAAAATTAATGAACTGAAATTAAGACTTTTATACGTCATTTGAAACATGAAAGTGTATAGTTATTAAAAATCGCAATTTGATTTACATACTTCATGCTGTGTTTTGTTGGCCTCCTTCGAAATAAAAGCGGTTGGAGGGCTAATTTTACACCAAGATATTTACGTCATGTTGAAAAGCCATATTTGGAAACGAAAGAATTTTTTTTTTAAATACAAAATCAATATAATACACATCAAATTTTGTTAACTATAAACATTTATGAAACCGCTTAAGCACATTTGTAAAAGGGGTGTAGAATCTTTGATTCAATTATTAGTAAATATAAAACGGACATAATTTTCATTTAAATGAAATTATTTTCTTTTTATTTTGACATGTTTTATCACACCCGATGATAACCTTAATAATGACAATATTCCCTAAAATGCTACATTAATTGATTCTTTATTAATCTGCTCAGAGAAACGCACATTATTTAGAATATAAGAGGGTTAAATATTTCACCATTACCTGCAGCTGATTACGAAGTGTTTGTTAAATATAACGTAAATATCGCACATAGATATCATACAAAAATAAAAGTATATTCGGGGGAGAATGATTATATTATTTCAAATTATTGAATTTTATGAATTTTCTTATCTGTGCTCTTTACAAAGGGTTGAACTGAAAATTCAAGTTATTATGATTTATCTATAGAGGACTCATGTAATTCATCCCCCTTTCCACCATTTAATCTGTTGATTATTTCAAATGCAGCCACGTAGCATCGTTTTTGAAAGTGGGGGAGGGGGGGGGGGGTAGCCAGAGAATTTTTTTTACTTACCTGAAAAGTTGACAAGGCAACAAATAGGGGGGGGGGGGTGAGAAAACTTGCTCAAAACCGAAAATCCTAGAGGGGGAGGCGAACTTTTTTCAATGCCAACTACTTTCAGTACCAATTAATAAATAAATTTTCCGTACATCACTATTAGTGGGGGTGGGGGCAATTAGCCTTTCATTGAACATTTACTATAGTTGAAGTAAGGTTGGAGAAAAAAGTGGGGGGGGGGAGGGTGGGCCTGCCCCCCCCCCCCCCCACAACCGTTGCTACATGTCTGAAATGGTTAATTGTTTGTGAAAACTTTATCGTCAAATCTCAAAAATAAAACAAAGATCGCCCACCACCCTGAAAAGGTTTGTCAATAAAATTTATAGTTGCATATCACATGTGCTCTACAGAGCAACATACATTCTACGTTCATATAACGTAATTTTCAGTACCATTCAAGCATAGACGCATACCTTCTAAGTTATATGTCTAAGCAACAATTCAAATGGGAAAAATTAGGTGCACAATTTTATACATGTTAATATATGTATTTCTTGCAAAGCAACAACAATGGAAATGGATTCAATTTCAACCAGTTTCTTGACACCCAACACCCACAGCCGTCTTTCGTTTTTTTACCTGATGTATCCCCCCCCCCCCCCCCCCCTCTCCACTGCATGCAACGCAGCGCCTATTTTCTGGAATTAAATTTCCTAAAAAAAAATGATATTTCTTTCTTCAAAAATTTTTTTTCTTCAGCTTGGTATACAATTCAGGTGTATATAATAACCATTTTTTTACGTTGACGGTACACTATCAGTTCAAACAAACAGCAAAATACAGACTTGAAGAAAGTTTTGTTTCAGATTTACGTTCCGAATGATAACGTGTATTACACTTGAAACTATGCAATATTAACCAATTGCTCAAAATGGAAAGATTCAATCATTAAACCACAATTCTACTTGTGAATAATATTATGTCAGTTCAATTTTCAAATCACATGGATGCACAAGATATTGAGTAAAAATGTTCACCTTTGCATGGGTACTTCCATTTGCATTTCTGCACTCTTGTTACAGAAAAAATGACATTTTAAGAAACAGTGTATATTTCTTCATGTTCTTAGTATTTACATCATAAAGATTCTCTCGCAAATCTGTTCAAACAGCTTTAGAACCTAACCCGCTTTTTCCTCCAATCAGCAGTTACTAAATTTTCTATTAAGTTGATCTCTTAATTGTTAAGATTTTATGTCTATGCAGTAACTCCGCGGGCTGACTAATTAGCCAATGAAAAAGTGCGATTAGGTTCTAAGTAAGTTAGATCATATTAAGTAAAATTTTAGTGGTTAAGAAGGGGGCTCGGTCGCTTCGCTCCCTCCGCCCCTTCTTAACCACTAAAATTTTACTTAATATGATCTAACTATTACTTAGAAATTAATACTTATTTACTTTAAAACATGGTAACGTAAATATCGGTAACGCAAATTATATCTTTCTGAGATTTATCGTAACTTTTAATGGCATTGTTCAATTATTTCACTGTTAATTAAAGGCATATTCTAGTGCTTGAGTGTAAGGCAATTTGACTCATAGGGAACAGTGTAGTTCTCTTACTTAATTTGTGAATAGATACTAACACGTAAATATCGTTGAGTTTTTTAACCATTGGACTTATAAGAAAAGGAGGGCTATTGTTCATAAATACAGATAAACAGTGTCCTTTTTACCATTCCATGCAATAGAAAGGGTGTTCATGATGTTAAAAAGTTACAACTTAGTTCTTCTGAGTCAGTTTATCAATCCTTCCAGTCCTTTTGAATTTCCAAAAAGAAAAGTAATAATTTTGCGGTGACATCAAAATTTGATAGATATATTAGATTTTTTTAAAATTTGTGACACGCATATGTGTGAAGGGTGTGATATTCAGAAAATATAATTCAAATGTAGGACAATCTTACTAAGAAAAAGATATGTAAATTATTTAAAACTTCTTTCCAGTAACGTAAATATCGATTTCTGGTATAAAATGTGATTTTCTCCCAAGACAATCATTCAAGCTACAACAAACAATTGTTGTATTTTAATCAACAACTAACAATGGTTCATATGACTGGCAGAAAATAAAATTTATTTGAAATATTATATTACTTAAAACACGGTACATTATTTAAAGCGAATTGAGACTATAAATTAAGAATGCGTGCGCATAGAAAAACAGTGTTATTTTAATATTCACCTTAAATTCACCCAGCATAGCATATTAAACTTGGTTGAATAATGTAGGAACGTGAGATCGAATGATGACCGACAAAATGGCGGACATGATAAAATAAATTGACTGACTTAAATCACCTCATGGAAACTAATCTGTAAGATTTGCATGATAAAGACATCCTGTAGTTGTGACATATTTTGGCAAAGGTGTGTAGTTAGTTGTCATAATTGAAATCTTCCAATTTTATTTCAGAAATAAGATGGACAATCAAGGGACTAGCGTATGTTCACTGGTCAGAATCAAAAACTACCGGAACAGGAGGTAACAGCAGGACGGAAACCGTATATTACACTGCGACTGAGAACTACTTCGACTACACCGAGCCTGTGTTTGGACGAGGTAGTATAGAAGTTTGGCAGCTAGTTTCGTTTAAAAGACCAAAAAAAAAAAAAAAATTTAACTGACTTGCAGGCTTAAAAAAAAACCCAGAAGTCTCTGTCGAGACTGAAGCTCTACTGGTTTGTACTTATAGCAAAGGAAGAGAAAAGTACTTAAGCAGTTGGGAATTGAAACTTTTCTACAGCAATAAATAGAATAATGATCCTTGATTAAGTCTCTTTATGTTCTTAGTGTAGTCTACTTGTATGCCACATTATATTATATTATTTTTATCATTTATTCCCAGCTCTCTGATTGGCTCAAACTTGATCACATGATTTAGTATATAACAGCATAAAGACTTGAGTTACTATTTATAGAATCTGAAATGCATATCGACTTGAGGTTTCTTAAAATGGAGATAATTTCCGTGAAACAAAATAGTACTGTATTCAATCAAAGCTAATACAATGTATGATTTGATGTTTCTAGAAAAAAAATATTTATTTCAACTTTTACTAACTTTTTTTCAATGTTCTGTATTTGATGAGACAAAAGAAGGCATTGGATTAGGATTACTTCATATTAATTAAAACATATTCGATATGTGTGTCAAATATTGATACAAAACTTAATCAAATAAATGAAGTATTCTGAATAAGTAAATCGTCTAAATCACTCCATCAATATAAAGGAAACGCATTTACATTAAACGGTGTAATTTATTTTGATCTCTAGTCTCTAATTGTTAAAGGGAGAAAACTTTTCCAATTATTTTCATAATTTGTTTTGTTAATCTATGTAAAAAATAATATAACAAATGTAGCCCTTTAATTCGGTCAATCCATAGATATATCGACTTCACAGAAAAGCATATCGACCTCGCACTTCGTGCTCGGTCGATATGCTTTTCTGTGAAGTCGATATATCTATGGATTGACCTCATCAAAGGGCTATATTTATATAATAATCACACTAAAACTGTATTTGGAGTAGCATTTTGAGAGTATTTAACAGAAATTTCTATTTTTAGTAACCACGGCAACACCGTTCATTGAAGTGAAAAACTGATACACAGAATTATGTATCTTAGTGTAGTCTACTTGTGTGCCAAGTTATACTGAAATCAGACCAAAACTGTACGAGGAGTAGCATTTTGAAAAAATTGTTTACAGACGGACAGACAGACAGACAGACAGACGGACGGACGACGGACGCATTACTATCGCATAAGCTCTTCTGGTCTCTGACCAGTAGAGCTAAAAATCAATTTTCTGCTTTTGTTTAAATACATTTGTTTATTAGCGCAAATATATATAATTCACAAAATATATCCAAATATTTTCAAAAATTCTTTTCAAAGAAATTCACTTTTGTCATATAAATGGATGTTCATTCCACAGGGGCCTGTAACATACTGTATTTGAATTTACGTAATCACTATATGTATACAAAAAGATTTTTGTATATATATAGTGAATACGTAAAATCAAAAACAGTATGTTACCGGCCCCTGTGGTCAAAACATGGTGAGAACAAAATACTATAGTTTCTAATTTGGACTCAACTTTGAATTGTGGTGTTTGAAAGGAAATAAAGTATTTTTTCAAAGATAACAAGGGATACCACAGATGAAATAACATGAAATAAGGCATCAATGGTTGTCGATTTATATGTCATATTGAAAGGGGGTGAGCTTCAATAATAGCATGAGCAAGCCAGGGTTATCCGTTTCGATCGATCAGTCAAAGAAATCCACAAATGTTTACGAAATGTTAATTCTTACACTCTGCACGAAGACAAAAATACTTCTTTCTTTCTTTAGAAATGTTTGTTTTATAATACGCGATCTTTTTATATTTAGACAAATTGTTAAAATCTTTTTACCATATCTTTCCAAAAGTTTGAACCTACACCCTAAACCCCTTCTCAGTAAAGTGTGAATTTTTAGTTTGGACAAGTTTCCTATTTGGGCTTGTTACTGTTAGAGACTTTTAGGTCAGTTGTTCATTCCCCCACCCCAACCTTACCCCTATCAAATACGACACTACGTGCCTGTCTGTTGAACATAATGATCTAAATGTTACAGAAATATCCTTCTCAAACACAAATTAATACACATAATATTTTTTTGATAAAAATATCTAAGGGTACTTGGAAACATTGTAGTCTATAGCAGAACCGTGAGATAAGGGATACTCAAAAGACTAACATGTATTTTCGATTAAACCCTTATAAAATTGCTCTGAAGAATTGGAATATGAAAACAATTTAACAAGATGATACAGATGGTGATGCCTTGCATGGTTATTCAATAAAATTCTCATTTTTAATTATTTGTTGAACTTTTGTTGTTAAAAAAGGATGGGCTGCCAACATGAACCTATTCAAAGAAACCTCTATCTGCTTCGTTTCCTGGGCCGAAACGTCCCTCCTTAGACAACCTGGTGGATCTGGGCTCCCCCGAACCCACCATATTGATAATTTTTTTCAAAACCTACAACTAGTTGAGCGTAATGTCCTGTACTTTAACCTATATCTTTTGGTATTGCACCATCTGGTACATGCATATGTTTTGGAGCATTGCTTGTCCTGCTGTAGAAACTTTAAAGATTTGTAACAATAAATATTATAGTATTTGAATTTGTGTCTTAATCTACATCTTAATAACTTAATATGTTAGGAGTGGAGATGGGTGACAAAAACTGTTTGCCCGCGGGACAGCACGTATTTCCATTCGCCTTCTCCCTGCCCCAAAATATCCCATCGTCCTTTGAGGGTGGTGTTGGTTACGTCAGATACACTATCAAAGGAACCATTGACAAGCCCTGGAAGTTTGATCATACCACGAAGAGGCCTTTCACTGTTATTACCTCGTTAGATTTGAACACACAGCCAACTGCATCGGTACGTATTGTTTATTCTTTTTATGTAAGTTGTTTTATCAAGTTTAATTAAAAGAGCACCAGAATCAAACATTGGATAGAAATATAAAATCCTATTTTATTCATTTTTATTTTTTTAAATATTTCTCTTGAAATGAAGGAAATTTTAACTTAATATGTTTGGTTGCATAATTGATATATTACTTTTATTTTACAGCATTCACATCAAAACGTGGATATTAAATACCTATGTTGTTTGTGCTGCAAGTCAGGACCTATTATGGGGCTATTAAAGCTGGATAGATCCGGATATGTCCCTGGTGAAGCAATATATTTCAATGCTGAAGTACAAAACATGACCACCAGAGTCTGTAAAATTCTGGCCAAACTATACATGGTCAGTAAAAGATTGATTTATTTATGGTTGTTTTATGTCCTGTTCGAGAATTTTTTCACTCATATAGACACGTCACGATATATCGATGAAGGGCTTCAAATTCAAACCTTCACTCGGCACTCAAAGCATTGAGCAGTGAGGATTTTTTTTTATCAGGTCAACTCCTGTCGTGACCCGGGGTCTCGGCTTTTAAGGTCTCATCCGAAGAACCACAACATTCATTTCATATTTTGTGCCGAGCGAAGGAACAACATTTAATTAGTTGATTGATTTTGTCTTCATTATTTTGTACTTTAATTGTCTATCTATATTTAAATTTCACTGGAAACCATTTTCTCTCATTTATTTTTAAACTAATAATGCTTTAATAATGAAACAAAAAAAGTAAATACTAGAAAATACAAAGCGCCTTCAATTTTTGGGAGAAAAATGAAACCGAGAGGCTTTTCCCCATGACTTGCACTTTTACTTTTTTTAGTGTTTTTTTATGTGCAATATTTATTTTGAATGATTTTTTAAATAAAATGTCCACAGAATTCAATCGTTTACTTTTTAGACAACTGTATTTCATACTGCAAAAAAATCAAAAACAACACATTCTGAGGTAGCGAAAGTTGTTTATCAGGACATACGACCTGGCGATACCGAAACCTGGTCTGGACGGCTCATTGTCCCCCCATTACCCCCATCTCATCTCCAGGGATGTAGGATTATCGACCCCACTTACTACTTAGAGGTACATATAAATGTTTTGAGGAATATATATCAATCTGAGGAATAAATCATATTTTCTGTTCTAAATTTATCATAAGTAATGATTATAAACAAATGTATTCCTATGGCTGATCTTGGACTTTTGCGAGGAGCGCTGGCTTTTACAGTTGACGGCTTACTTTTACACGAGCGAAACGTACGAAAGCTCTTAATCGATAAAAATATTTAGCTCAACATTTAATTCAGCGAAAATAACGGGGTATTCCAATGCACATTATAAGTTATTATTGGAGAAAACGACAACTACCCTACGCTCAACTCCCGGCCTCAAATATACCTTAGTTACACCATACAATGAAGCGCATTGAAGTGGTAAAATTTTCCACTTGGGTGAAACGTTCTGAGTCATGTTTTGAACGTCAATTGTAAGAAAACGACACGCCCATTTCTTTAGAAACGAAAAAGAATATTCGTCATAGTGTTTACGGGCACCCCACTTTCCGCGACAAGCAACATGAGTGACACTAAAATGAAGATCTTTAAATAAGAAAGATTTATAAATAGAGTTGCCGCTTCTGTAAAACATGCATTGCAACAAATTTGTACATAATTATGATTTTATCATGTTTATTGGAGTTAGCATGTAATATATGTATCAGTCGAACACGTGTTTACTCGGTGTTTATGTAGACCGTCAATTTGATTGGCTATTATATTTAAAGAATACCTGTTCTGCAGGTATTCGATTGAATCATTTGACCGATTTTTCCTTTTTAAAGAAATGGGCGTGTCTAAAGATAACTCAAAACGTTTCATCCAAACGGAAAATTTTACCACTTTAATGCGCTTCATTGTATCTATTACCACTAGAAAGGTCTTATTATCTATCATCACGTCTGAAACCTCCGTACATGATACAGGTAAACCGTTACCTGTAAAACTCAGTGCTTCTCGCAAAAGTCTATTTAGCTATACAATAAAATCCAATCCAAGCCTTTACTTTTACTATATAATATTGTTTTCTTTTGAATACAAGAATTGTAAATCTACATCTTGTGTCCGTCTTTATTTCTACATTTCTCTCTCTTATACAAAAGTAGATATCCAGTGGATATAAATATAATGATACTTAAAGGCAGATATTTTTTACCGGGTAGTAAATTCCAGGTGATTGAGGGGCTTATTTTGTATACAGGTGAGAATGCATTGGCGTGGTTGGTAGTCTATCTGTGGTCGTCTGTCTCCTAATCCCTATGCACAGGAAGTGATTTAATACACAACAGAATACTCAAGAAGTAAAACTTCACCCGTGTTTGGAATTTTGAGACAATTTCAAATTAGAACTAAAACGTTGTAAATAAAGTTTTTTCTCAATAATCTATATTATTTTTTTTCAATGTTCGGAAACACCCCTTCCCATTAAAAAATATTATGATATCAAAACTATGAATTCACAAAATTAAACTTAAATTATATAGGATTGTTATGCTGTTAGTATTTATGTTAATTTATCCCCCCCCCCCCAAAAAAAAATAAACCCACTTCAGTAACAAATGAATTAGACTTTATTCCTTCATCCCCAGGATCCCATCCATCAAATGAAAAGAAAGAACTGCATGGATTAACTATATTTCATTAAAAAGTATTTAGGTTTATCCTAATCTTCAAAAGGCTTTGTCACCAAGAAACATGTTAAAAAAGATTGCTTGTAAATTCTTATCCGAATAACAAAGAAAACTACTTTTATCACCAACAAACATGCTAAAAAAAATTGCTTGTAAATTCTTACATGAATAACAAAGAAAACTACGATAAGTGACCCATGATTCTGCAGCTCCAAACTTTATAAATAACATTTCCACTAAATTGTTTATATCGAAATTTCATTTGAAGAAAAAAAAGGTTTTATGTACCAAAGTTGAAAAATGAATATCATGCATATAATGAAGAATATATAATACGTACAAATACTACAGGTATTTTTTTTAGATTCATATATTATTAAGCTAAAATGTTTAATTTCTCTAATACCATTTAAACATCAAAGGATCAAAAGTTAATTTGAAGGTCCCATGGAGTGCCAAACAATGTGTACAGGGTACACAGAGGGACTACATTTGTAGTACTAGTACGTAGATGTAAATAGGTGCCAATTAAGTTCTAATATCCAATTAAGCATAAACTGCAGCTAGTAAATAATATTATATTAATATTTACAATAAAATGATATTATTTTACCATTTTTGCTGATGTTTTTTTCTGCATAGTTAATTGTTGACCCCTCTGGACCAGCCTTTGACCTTCATGTACCTGTGTTGGTCATCATTGGTACAATACCTCTATATTCGGTAGTGGAGCAGTACCGAACACTACACGGATTCTCGGCCCCTGAGCAGCCAGAATTGCCTCCGACCCATACAGCAACCCCTGTTACCACAAATGTTGGAGCAGCTCCCACGACAAATTTGCGTGAGTGAAATGAATGCTTTTAGAGAGCAATTCAAGTTTTAAAAAAAATCTGTTATAATAAATCATGGCACTTGGGTAAACGAAAATCCTATTTGATTAAAAATATATTAACAAAACCAAAGAAAAAGTATAAGATGACTCATTAATTAATTTCTTGGTAATCTTGGTGACTTTTTTCGCATAGTAATTGACCCTTGATTTCTTCAGCGATATCTCCAACAATAGCATTGTGACACTGAGCTTGTTTTCCAAAACATTGAAAAGATGTCATTCATGCAGGTGACCAATTGTTTTTGTCCGTAGGTCTCGTCTGTCCTACTTTTGAACATTTTCTTTTGCTTTCACATGTTTCAGGAAGCTGAGAATCAGAAAATATGCAGAACTTTTTTAAACCAAAATTTCGTGTCCTCAAATTGATTCACGCCATGCGCCCATGCTAAGTTGGTCATATATTAAGTATTTCAAATACATCCGTACATAGTATATCCTTTATTAAAAAACCCTCATCTTTAGTGATTAGCATGTCGAAGCAAATCATGTGTATGATACTGTGACGTGCAACGCGCCCGAGCTTGGAGTTTGGTGATATGGCGTGTATCACCAGGCGTTATACTCAGGTTCGTTAACCTGTTAAATCAGATTTTTGTTGACCAAATATTCAATATGTACAATTATAATACAAGAAAACAATGAAATTCTTCTTGATTGGACAACCACTAACTGTGATCAACGGGTGTCTCCTGCAAGCAATTAAATTTCTTCTGGTCCTGCTACCACAAAAGTACTGTCTCCTGACACTTCTCAACATTTATCTTTGGTAAGCCACCTCTCTCCAAAACCTAGAAGCTGCCTCATTCAGGTCTTACGTGTGTTGCTTTAGTTTGAAGCTGTTTATCCCCCGCAACCATCTGCCTTAATCAGGTCTTACAACAGTATGTAGAAAAATAAACTAGCCAAAGTTTATTAACTCCGTCAACATAGAGGTCTCAAAAGCACTATAATACGGCTTGAATTATCCTAGTGCATTTTCAGTACATAGGCAGATTCAAACTACTGAAATGATCTTAGAATTTACAATTTTTAGTGTTTCGAAAATTAAACAAAAACGTATGTCTTACGTTTTATTCGAAAGTAAACAACAACCATTTCCGTTTCGCTACCCTCCTCTCAAGATTATATGCGTCCTGCAAATGACTTACTATTTACATTATTTACATCTATGTTAATGTATAATACTGTTAGAAGCCTGACAATTAGTGACATCTCCCTAATATAATACATAGTCTTCCGTCCACTGTGGTTTTCTCCTGCTTCTAAAAGGGGTGTCGTCTCCATCAAAATAGTTACTCGACTCTTGTTCTTCCTCTGGTCCATCACCTAGAGGTTCAGGGTCATCCACTGGGTCTGTTTTTCATCATCAGAGGTTTCACCTTGCAAAATCTGAGGGTACCGACGACGCATTCTGACGACATGTATGACTTGCGGTTTTCCACCACGTCCACAGTCAATCTTGTAGGTAAGATCTGTCATCACTGATAGTACCTTGTAAGGACCCCGCCAGTATCTGGTAAAATTTGGCGAGCAACCTGCCTTCAGAATAGACTTGGCAGCCTGGTGCACGTTTCTGCCATGACAATTTTTGGACGTGATGCTTCTTTTGTCTAACTATTGCAGCTTTTATGTTCTCTCCGACATGTTTGTGTGCAGTTTCCATAGTTTCTTTTAATTTCCATCCCCATTTGTCTTCTGGAATGTGTTGCACTGAACTGGGCTTTTCAATCATGATATCAAGCGTTGTTGACACTTCCCTTCCCAGCATCAGGTACTAGAAATTGGGAGTGAAGCCAGTTGTTTCGTGAACGGAAGCCCTGTAAGCCATCATTACAAGTGGTGAGTGCTAGTAACAGTCTGAATGATGGTCGTTCACGTAAGCGCTTCACATAGTTACTATAGTCTTGTTAAAACGCTCTACTATTCCAACACTTTGTGGATGGTAGGGGCTGGTCCGTGTTTTCTCGATTCGGAGAACCTGACACATTTCCTCAAACAGCACACTCTCGTATTGTCGGCCTTGGTCAGAGTAAATAACTGATGGCACACCGAACCGGGCAATAACTTGTTCAACAATACGCTTTGCCACTGTCTTGGCCTCTGTATTAGACATTGGGAAAGATTTGGTCCATTTTCGTAACATAGTCCGATACCACCAATAATTTTATGTATTTATTGCCATTCACTGTCATTGGTAGTTCTCTCAGGATATCCGTGGCAATCCTGTCCATGGGTAAACCACTTTCAACCAATTCCATTCTCTTCATTTGAGGACCCCTCCTCTCACAACATTTCTCACAACCTACTATCTGCTTGCAAACCGGACCAATAGAACTTGTGTCTTATTCGAGCTAGTGTCTTACTCACGCCAAGATCTGCTGCTGTCCTCACATCATGACAGAACTCGAATATTGTCCATCATTGGTTCCTTGGAACAATAACCTGCAAACATATGGTCTTTCCATCTTCCTCTTCAAATCTGGACAGGAATGGATCGTCATCACCTTTCTTTAATCCACTGGCATGGGATATGGCTCTTACTTCATCTCGCATGTCACTTTCCAATTCGTTTTCCCAGTTTGGATCAAAACGACACTGGCGACATGGCACAATACTCAATGCGTCTGCATTGCTGTGTTGTGTAAAGGGTAGGTATTGTATCTCGATACTGTATGTACAGAGGATTGTGTAATGCAGTACCTGTGCTCACACCCTGTCAACATCCAATCTGCATAAGCAACAACCCTCTCTTGACCATCAATCGTTTGTGATAGGACTGCGCCTATAGACACATTGCTGGCATCAGTGTCTAAAATAAAGGGATGAGAGAAATCTGGATGGCTTAGTACTGGAGTGTTGGTCAGCTTATGTCTAAGGGTGTCGAATGCCTCTCGACCTTTCTCTGTCAGCGTGTGTAAGCATTCTGCAATGCTTGAGAAATCTTTGATGAACCTCCTGTAATAACTACATAGCCCAAGAAATGAGTGTACCTCAGTGGCATTTGAAGGTATTGGTCATTGTTATACTGCAGTTGTTTTGTCCGGGTCAGTCGCTACACCTTCCTCTGATACTACATTATAATATTTAAATATTTCCAAAGTAAGTCATAGCAGCAGTTCCTGGCTTTGAGTTTATAGCCTGCTTTTTGCAGTCTGTCAAATACCTTTCTGAGGTGTGACATTTCCTCAAAAGTCTTGCCCGTCATCCAGGTAAACAAGACAGATATCCCAGTGAAGACCTGCCAAGACACGTTCCATTGGACGCTCAAATGTTGCAGGAGCACAACATAAGTTCGTCACACAGTAAACATTTCCGTAGACAACGAGAAGAATATTGGATTAGAAAACTAGGGACAGCCTTTCCCTATGGAATAATGACAATGTCGATAGTGTTTGGAAAACTTTCCAGTCCACAGTGTAATTATGTAAATGTGATGGGACCGTTTAATCATACACAGAGATGTAAGCGTAGTCATGGGCATCGGTCTTACAATAAACCTGTAATACACGGTGTCTCTATTAATGCATTACAACCTTATGTAAATCAACAGTTGGGTTTACATCATATTCGAACCAAGCTTTACTATGTCAATTTGAAACTTGTAAATAGTCTTCTTGAAAAGGTCAAGGAAAGTCCCAATTTTTGATTCCTCGACACCAGACTCGGATCTGTGATTATGGATATTGCAAATCATAGGCTTTTTAAACCCGCACATTTTACAGAAGATAATGCAGTAAAAAAATCCGTCTTTTTCTTAAACTTTAATATGCCAATTAAGGAATTGACGCTGTTAATATAATTAATATTCTTAATCACAAAAGGGTCTAGTCTTGTATTCCTCCATATTTCAAGTTAAAGACTACACCTTGTATTTTCTACAAATATACATCGACCATTGCTTCCAAACTTTTCAATTACGAAATAACTTAACATGACCTGGATATCGAGTATCTGGATATCGAGTATTTTTCGTCGCCCTATAATTATTGTGCTGCTGGACACGTTATTGCAGGTGACATAAATATTGTTAATAATATAGAGACCTTAGAACACTTATTTTAAAAATTCCTAAATATAGGGAACCCCGATCCTTCAACTGGCGTCGGAATTTCATAAATATTATGGGTTCTGTTGAAGATTACACCCGACAATGGGCCAGATATGAAAAAGAAGACGTTAACACCTTGTCGAAATGGATTAAATGTATCAGGTCAATGTTAAAATCGCATATTAAAAGATTGAAGGGCAATATGAAAACCATTTATCCGTATGTATTCAATAATTCAGAAGTGAAAAAAGAATTAGATAGATTAAATGATCAGTACGTACTGGTCCCTGCTGATGACAAAGTAACATTGTGTTCATTTGAAATGCTCATTAGATAAATTGTATTTTAGAAGAACTTGGATTTATGTCTACAAGTGGTAATCCAACTTACACTCATAGTTCCCTTTCTAAGGAACAAATTCTTCAAAATCATATGTCAGTTTTGAATATTTTAATATCCCGAAGAACCAAAATGATATATTGCGGGTTACAGTAAATGTTCAACCAAGCCTCTTTCTTTACTCCTCTCTAAGATATTGACAGTAGGGAAGGAAAAACTTCAAGAGTATTGTGCGACAATATACATGTATTCAAGAAGTGGTGTGAATCAGATGTGGATACTCAAAAATTCCAAAGTACTTTTGAACGATTTGAAATCACACGATTTTACCAAAATATATATAAAAATTTATACTTTATATATATATATATATATATATATATATATATATATATATATATATATATATATATATATATATATGGTCAATTGCAAAATTATTTTGTTAAAACACATTCTCATTGCACACACATATTCTCAGAGGTTGACATAAAAAAGCTGCCTCTGATTGACAATATCTATGTGGTTTTTTGAGACCAGGTCTTCCAACAATCTATTGGAATTCCCATGGGTACCAATTGGGCTCCGTTATTAGCAGACCTATTTTTGTATTCATTTGAAGCAGACTTTGTGCAAAAGCTTATGCGTGAAAAGAAGAAAACACTTGCTGTGGCCTTCAACAATATACATGTATTCAAGAAGTGGTTTGAATCAGATGTAATTTCCAAAAATTCCAAAGATATATTTGAACAATTGGAATCACAAGATTTTACTAAAATCATTAGCTTAAAAACTTACGACTTTTCAAATTAATACACAATCTTTCCCCAAGATAAATTACAGTCCAGGCTTTTTGATGTCATTGACAGCTGCTTTTTCAATAGAACTCGTAAATTTACCTACTTGGTCATTTGCAAAATTATTTTGTTAAAACACATTCTCATTGCACACACATGTACTCAGAGGTTGACATAAAAAAGCTGCTTCTGATTGACAGTATCTATGTGGTCTTTTGAGACCAGGTCTTCTAACAATCTTTTGGAATTCCCATGGGTACCAATTGGGCTACGTTATTAGCAGACCTATTTTTGTATTCATTTGAAGCAGACTTTGTGCAAAATCTTATGCGTGAAAAGAAGAAAACACTTGCTGTGATCCATCTTAACAATTAGAAATGTCGACGTGGTATTGTCAAGTCACAATGGTAATTTCCATTCCTATGTCGATACGATATATCCTGGTGAGCTTGAGATAAAAGATACCACAGAGTCTGACATATATGTTTATACTTCTATTATTTTTCGTGTGAAAAAGACGATGATGGCATAGCAACAAAATGGATTTAACTTCTAACAACCAAATCACGTTATAAAAGTGATGACTTAACAACCTTTTTGTCGTCAACCACTCTGACTTCACTGATGCAGTCCAATATACCTTCATCACCTGCACACGGCATGAACAATTTCTAAACGAGATAAATTATTGTCAAACAAGTTGATGAAACAAGAAGTTCTTTGTTTGATAAAATGACCTTGTCAGCAATTACAATTTATCATTAAGTCAAATGCTGACTGACGTTTTTCATACTAATTGTTCGTCCATTATTTATACACTGATTTGACAACAGAATTTCCCGTTATTTCCCGATCATGACAAGGAGCACAAGGCATGTGTGATATCTGTAATAACAGCAGCAGGGTGCTCATTTCAACATTAAGTGCACCCGATCCCACAGACAGCTGATGTTTAGCTAAAATCCTCTGGTTAACCTTCAGCAGCTTTGGCTTTTATTTTATTTTATTATACATTGTAAGGACGTACAGTGTAATTTTCCACTTGTGGGAATTATAATTGCACAGAGATGTATATGTCAATTTCTGTTTCATCTAGGGTAGAAAATTCAGTTGATCTACGGATTTCTTTGACATCTGTTTGCTTTGTACTACATTTATATCCCTTTTTATATTAATTGTGTTCACTTGGACAAATTTCCAGCTTTGGAAAATTTGTGACCGCGTACATAGCGTAAATTAATACCAACGGACAATGGTTTGCCTCTCACTTGTTACAGTATATTTTATTTTTGTTCTATGGACTTTAATATTGAATACTGTTCGTTATCTCCATATCCTTCAAAAGCTGCTTCTTTTTTACTCTCTGGCTCGATTATGGCATCTCGGTTACCTGACTTCATTATTTTGAGTACGAGATTGTTTGATATGCGGAGATCCACGATCTACCACTCTAAATGACTTCTATTCTGCACATCAAAGGGGTATGCGTCCAAATTGTATAGCCATTTAACTCTGCGGTAATCAATGCATTGACTCAAATGAATGTCTTCATTCTTTTAGGTTAGCACAATCTGTTTGACCATGGGCTCTTTGAAGGGATCACACCATGTATATCATTTAGCTGCTTGGCAAGTCAACCTCACTGATTGTCTTGTCCACGCAGTGATGCTAACTGGACCTCTCCTTGTTGGCACAACAGCACAAGCCTCAAAATGTGATTTTAGTCAAGAGGATGATTTCATTGTGATGGCTTGATTAATATACGAGGGTTGTTCGATATGTATTGTAACATTGAATATCTAAAAATCATTGTATTTATAGTTGTACATACTTTTTTAAGTGAGCATTTCAAAATCAATTTTAATATCTAATCCATTTCTGAAATTAATACCCAATTTTAAGATGAAATCGCTAAATTTGCGTCTCGCTAAAATTTCCACTTATACGGTATTCTGAATATCCACAATAACAGCAGTAGTGTGCTCTACCATACCCTCAATATTAGTGTTAAGTCCGCCTTACCCTTGACAGACAGCTCACTTCCGTTGGTAACTAAAATCCTCTGCTTAACCTTCTGCAGCTTTGGCCTGATGTTCTCTGCAAATTTATTATACATTGCTAAGGACAACAGTGTAAATATTACCCTTGTGTCAACCAGGAATTAGCTTGGATACCTTGCACAGAGATGTATATGTAGATGCCTGTTTCATCTAGGGAAGAACCAACTTCAGTTGATCCACTAGGACAGACTTTCTTTGACATCTATTTGCTTTGTACTGCCCTGCTTAATCCCTTTTTATCTTTTGAATCATTGTGTTCACTTTCATGGGGTCTCCTCTTCAGCTTTGGGCAATTGCGTTTCATGTGGCCGTCCTTGTTTCATTCATAACAACACTCACTTGTTTGTCATAGGTTTTACTGACTTCATTCATGTCTCAAGACTGTTCTGGCTAACTTCACCAGATGAGTGTTCTGTTTCCAATACTCTAAAAATGGCCTATTGCTTTTTGGTTTCTACTCTCTGCTCGATTATAAGCCTCGAATTCAACGGTTAGCCGGATGGCTTCATTCAGGTTTTGAGGACGAGATTGTTTGATATGCGGAGCCTCATCTCTGAATCTACCAAGGCATCTATGAATGCATCTTTGGCCAGAATTCCTCGCACATCACATCTGGTATTGATCAGATGCTCTTTGTCTTCGTTCTTTTAGCTGATCACGATACAGATCTGTTTTGTTAGGATGGGAGAGTTTCTTCTCAAGGGATCTAACATGTGGATCAGTGTCTTATAGTGCTGACCAGTATCGCTTGGCAAGTCAACTAACACTGATTGTGCTTGTCCACGCAGTGATACAGCTAAGTAAAGACCTTTCTTATCTTCTGGCCAGCATTTACAACAGCACAAGCCTCAAAATGTGATTTGTAGTCAAGCCATAAATTGATTCCATCATATGTGATGGCTTGCTTGATTACTCGGTATATGGTCTGTCTTGGCATTATCTGTCCCTATTGACTGCATGCCTCTGTGGTTTTGGCGTGTCACATAGATGACCCGTCACAATGTCTTAAACCCAGCACGTGGTGTATAGCTTGCTCTGCCTTCATCTGGAAATCTAACTTTAGGCCGTGCGCCGTACTCGTCAAATGACACATCTCCTGACATACCGCCGGTTGATAATATCAGTAATGCGTGTCGCATATCTAGACTCTTGGCTTGCCGCATTTGTCTGACCACCTTGGCTGGTTGGCTTTCTCATCCTACTTAAGAGCTTCTCCACCCGCCCTATAGTTTCTGACACTTTCTTATACGAATCCAATGGTCAACAAAATACCGACGTAATGTAACGTGCAACGCTACCGAGCTTGTTGTTTGGTGACATGGCTTGTATCACCAGGTGTTACACTCAGGTTTGTTAACCTGTTAAATCAGGTTTTGTTGACCAAATATTCAATATGTACAATTATAATACAACAAATCAATGGAATTCTTCTTGATTGGACAACCACTAACTGTGATCAATGGGTGTCTCCCTCAAGCAAATTTCTTCTGGTTCTGCCATTACAAAAGTACTGTCTCTTGGCACTTCCCCACATTTATCTGTGGTAAGGCAGCTACAAAGTGTACACGTATTTGGTTTGGGAAAGAGGAAGACTTTTTCGTATGAACCCTGACTTCCTCCCTAAAAAGATTTTTACCTCATATAAAAAAATCGGGCTTTTTGATACATGTAACCCATAACGGCTGGGACTTGACATATGTTCCAGATTTGTAAGGAAGAAATCTGTCATTGAAAAAATACTTCTTATGGTACACGTGCAGCACAGCTCTGTAGTACGCAGATTTTTTTTTTCGGAAGTCCCCCTCCACCTACATGTAAAACAGTTGCTATATTCCTCTATCAAGCTGTATTTGAATTGCTGTACATCTATATCAAAATATTTTGCAAGCCTTGATATACAAAACTAATTCGGTGAAGACTTGTTCCATCTTTTTTTTAAGCTAGAACTAGTCGTTGAATAGTTTTCAATTCAAGTTAAGTTATCTATATACTGCAAGTTCTTCCTACTTTTTAAAATGTTTGTGCCATAGAATCAATGTTTAGTTTGTATATAAAAGCATATGTATAAGACAGAAATCCGCCAATGAATATTTAAATACGATAATTATGCATATTCAAAAGCGAGATTTGTTAATGCATATTCTATTTCGAATAGGGCGAGTTATTCTATCACATAAGGTCTCTGGTTAGTACAACTTAAAAATAAAAGGACAAGTGAATAATTCAAACCCAACATGGGGATAATTTAGTAATGTATGGAAATCTAAGATAATATATAATTTAATATTACAGCTATGATTAAAACGGATTAACCTGAACGTCTAGGACAAATTGGATAAATATTGTAATATCAATACTAACATCATCAGGGTTCATGCACAGGGGCATCTTATCCACTCTGTTCTCTACTTCACATATGTGAAGTAGAGAACAGAGTGGATAAGATGCCCCTGTGGTTCATGGCTTTTTTAAAAATCTTTTTACAGCACCACCAAGCTACAGTGAGTGCGTGTTTGGTAAAACTAACATCCGAGAAGAAAGCGACTCCGAGCATACAAAAGGACAAATGGACTTCGCTCCAGCTTACGTATACAGGGTGTTTCACAATATATGTCACACATCTAAATGGGCACAATTTGAATATTGAGCATGATAACAAAAATACCAAAAAACTATAGGAAAGCAAATAGATCTAAAATTATGATATTGCAAAGTATCGGGGAAATTATAATATACCATGAAGTAACTGATGATATAATCAGTGATCTCATAATGTCTGCTTCTCTCAAAATGGAGTACAACTTGCAGCAAAACTTTGTTGTAAACTTTAATTATAAGAACGATGTTCTGAATATTGTACATGGTGTGATGATGAAAAATATTCAGACCACAAATTGTTGTCTAGTTTTCATATATTAAGAATAATAAGAGAGTTTGAACTAAATTTTAATGTTTAGATGAAAGACAGCTAAATCCTCCTCCCCCCCTCCCCCCCCCTCCAAAAAAAAAATTAAAAAGAGATGAGAACAATATTAAAGTGAAATCAATCATTGAGAAAACCTCATGAAAGTTGGATCTGAGTTTAGGAAAATGGATTGTAACAATGCCGGTAAGTGCATCAAGTGTATTTAGAAATCTTAAATTTGAGTTGTTTGTCTGCATACAGGATTTCAGCATTTAAAGCCAGTTGACTTTCAGAGCTGGTTCAAGTTTGCAAGACTGACTGAAAGGAAGAGCGAAAGAAGTGGGCACCAATTAACACATGCCGGTAGTTCTGAAACACACATTTATTTATATGCAAATAAATAAAAAAGATATGTATTTTGAGGGTTCTAAAAAGCCAGATATAAAACAAGAAAAGTCTCAAGTATCCTGTGAAAGTTACAAAACAGTGGTCAGAAATTTCCATGCATTAGTCTCATAAGTTTTTAAGGATGTAATGTTGGGAAACACTAGGAAAATAATGTTTAAGGATTTGTTGCCATAGTAACTGAAGTGGAGAATGTTGGGTACTTCTGACCCAAGAAAATAATTTTGAATTTATGCTGATTAAAATGATATATAAAATGTATTTGTAGCTTTAGTTGTCATTTATCAATCTGTCTTTAGATGTGTGACATATATTGTGAAACACCCTGTATTATCAGGATTTGTCCAAGTAAAAGCTGTTTTAAGCAATTGTCTGAAACAAAATTGTGTAGTTTGTTTAACTTACATGTATCATGTGTTTATTTGGATTAAGTATATTTATTAACGTTCTTTAATGAGAATTATTTTATTATTATATCACTACAATATTTTCATGACAGTCAATCTTCAAGCAGCTGAATTTCAATATTTTACAGTCATTGTTTTTTTTCAATTGTTTAGTGCTTCTTTTTTCCTTTACGTGATTGTGCAAGCAATCTGATAAATTCATATCACAAAAGGTCAAAAAAGATAATAGTAATCTAATAACGAAGCTTACGATAAACATTATAGCATAACTTTTCAATCGTCCCCTTGCCTTACTTATGTAGCAATATACTGTCATAACCTGCATAATTATGTAGTTTATTACTCGCTGTTCATTCAATATGCAAAAGCATCAGTGATCTGTGTATGAACAATTTCGTAAACGAGACAAGCTACTGACGAACCGGTTGATGAAACAAGACTTTCAACAGTTTCGTTTATAAATATCATCATTTCGCAAGATTGAGGTCAACATTGTCAGCAAATACAATCTATCATTAATTCAAATGCAGACTAACTTTTTTCATACTAATTGTTAGTCTACTATTTAGACATTGAATTGTCTGCGAATTTTTTTCGTAATTTCCCCGTTTCCTGATCATGAGAAGGAGCATGTTTTAAAATCATCCACAAAGCAAGTAATTTTTTTTTTGAAGAATGCTTTTTAAAAAAGTAATTATCTTATAAATAAATTGTTAAAAATAAATTATAATTGAGATCCATTTTCCTTGAGATAGAGTGTATATGATATCAAAATGATCAAAAAGGGTAATTTCATCATCCGAATGATTGATTGAAAGGTTTAAAAATCATATGTTTTTATGAAATCAAGTTGACTTTTGAATAAAATCGTGATTTGGACTTTTTTTTTAAAAAAAAAGTCAAAATAAATTTGATTTTTTACTTTTTAATGGTTTTGAAAGTTTATCACATGTACTGATGTTGACCTTGTAAATGAGTAGCTGAGTGACGGTGACAAAAGGCAAGAAAGGAAGGAATGCCCCAAAAGGAGGTTACCGGCCCTCTAGGTCCACGAGTTTTTTTTTGTAGGGTACTTGAGCAGCCCTATCAAGTAAAACAAACTCTCTTTGTTAAAGAAAACAGGACAAGAAAAGATTTACAGCTCGATTCAGGGAGAAACCTCACCAAGTCCGCTGCCATGGTAGACTAGCAGAAGCGTATGACACAAATCAGCTGAAAAGTCTCCTGAAGATGAAAATGATAGCAAGAATGTGTGTGAATCATCTATGATTAAATTGTGGAGACAAATCTAGATTGACTGAGAGATGAGGTGATGCTCATTACTCCTTTAACTAGAACTCCCAGGAGTCCTTGAAATAAATATCAAGAATTTTAAGTGGAGAGAATTCTGGGAGAGGACTCATCATGGACATCCATATACTTATAGAGGATATGAAGAGAATGGAGAGTTGTTGATAGACAGCAGGAGAGACACAGATGAGGATATCATAGGGAGAAGAGGTTTTCCACATTTTTTAATAGCTTACAAGATACTGAGCTGATTTTTGGTACAAGTTTATCTTGATGAATTATAGATAAAGTCAGCATTTTGTCTCCCTTCAATAATTTTTTTTTGGGGAAAGAATTGAGGCATTTTACCAATGTTTAATTGAAACCAACTTCCTCTTGCAATCAGGGAACAACTATTGCTAATGCAATACAATGAGCAAACAGCATAATCATGTGACCAATCAGCATTTGATGTCTATTCCTCATGGCTCCTGATCTCACCCCTTTAAGTTTTTGGAGGTCTGGGTTTGCTCTGCTCACAATTTGACTCTGAGCTTTAATCCAATTTGTTATCTACATATTTCAACACAACAGAACACTGTTTATCTTATATTGGTAATACACCTTTATTGCTCCGTAAACTGTACTTATTGTACAAGGAACAAAAACATTAATTAGTCACCTCTCTCCCTCTCTCTTTGGCAGCTTTCATAACCCATTCTGCAATTATGTTAAAAAAGTCCATAACAGAAACATTCAGATATCAAAAATGAAAAATAACTTATATGTACAGATGACATTTTTCCAAGAGGTACATGTAACAAAGATTATCAAAAATCAACAGATGGAATACACTATACAATAATCAACAGTGGACTGATAACACATTGTAATTGCCTTGTCAATATTTCATAACCCAGAGTGAAAGCTTTGCTTCACAAATAATGGTTATCTAATAACACAAAACATCTAAGGCCATGCAAAGTTAATTACTTGGTTCTCAGGCCTTTTTTCAAGAAATATGATGAGGGAGGGAGGCAATGCCCCCAAAACATGATGAGGCAGCTTTTTACATTGTACAAAACCTCAAAAAATGATGAGGGAGGTGATTTGGTGTTTATATTTTATTGATTTAGCAATAAAAAGGGTCAATGAAAAAGAAAGGGCCTGAGAAGAGAAATTGATTTTTTTTTTGCCTAAGACACAAATAAATCAATGAAAACGAATAATGAATGTGTTTAAAAAAAAATTAGATATGTGACTTATTAGTAATACATGTATATGATAAATGAAATTTGATCAATGAAATACCATAGCATTCATTCAAACAATGTCATGGGCAAATGACCAAGTTTGTTTGTATTTCGTCATGAAATATACAATGCAGTTGCTTTAAAGGGACATAACTTTTGTATTTGTCATCTTCCAAGATAGCTAAGAAAATATGATGGCTAAATACAACGATTTAATCAAGAACGTGTCTGACTTTTAAAAAATGTGAAAAACAGCATGTCTGATTTTCAGTATTTTACCTCAGATGTAGGCTATTTTATTTTTTATTTCTTCAGCTTAAAAATAAGAGTGAAATGAGACTGCTAAAGTGAGAATATTCACATGACAAAAGAAAAGCAATGGTTATTTTTCGTCATAAATTTCAAATGTTTCTTGCAGATGACAGTAGTGTTACTTGCATTTAAATTTACATAATTATAGAATGATGTACAAACAATATAAAACATGTCAGTTCATGTGTTTCAAAACAAAATATTTAACCAATGTAGAACATTGACTTATCTTCCTTTATACATAACACAGAATGCAAAAAAATGAAGAAAAAATCCACAAAACTGTATGAAACGAGAGATCAGATATTGAAATTAATTACAAAACCCCCACTCATTATGCTTTATATAGGAAAAGCTGTTGTTTATAAATCAAAACCAAAGGCATAGAATTAATCTAGTAACAAGTCACTAATTACTGGACTCTGAATGTGGAAAAGATTGCTACAACGTCCCTAGATATTGTGTATGTAAAAAAAAAATCAGGACATTTTCATATATAGCACACATATATAGATATGTTGAGGTACTTAAGAATTTTTGAAGATTTTTTTTTCTATCAAAGGTTGTATGAATCAACTGTTTAAATGTAGGTTACATAGAGAAATAACTCCTGAGAGATCACTTTATAATATCATACCTAAAAATCTATTATCTGTATCCCATTAATGCAAACATGACATTTTATTTAAAGCAAGTTACAAATTTTGAGACATTCAGCAGTTTTTATAAAAAAAAAAACAGGAAAATCAACCACAGAGTTTCTAATGAAAGAGGACATTTAAATTATGAATAAAAAAAAATGATTGTTTTGGAGAATAATGATCTACATGATTTTCATAAAGTATTGCTACATGTGAAACATTTTAAGACCCTGTCAAATTTTAAATTCTGTGTAGCAATGCATAAAGAATCAGACATGATAGGCACCCCCCACCCCCTGAAAGTTAGAAAATTACCTAAAATCTTAAATACCCAAAAAAAGTTCTCTTTGCAATTTATGTGCTATATACAAAAATTTCTTTTGAATTTAGAAAAAATTCATTTAAAAAAAAATTCTTCAAAGATGCTCATTTTTGGCACAATCACCGTTTTTACAATGTATATGTATATGTCTAGGGAGGCACATCAGAGACTAACAATTTCTTTTCTTCAATTCCAGTTACAGGTATCACAATATATTATATCGTTGTTAAAACTGACAATTTCCCCCCTTTAAGAATACCTCAACAAAAAAAAAGCATTACATTATGCAAAAACAAACCAATATATTACTATAAACAATTTTTGTAATAAAGAGTAGCACATGCTCCATAAATAATGAATTTGATATTTACAATAGAAATCCTCTTGTCTCATCACCACACATCATACATTTCAGAATTATCCATATTATACACTACATGGACATGATGGAATACACAAATATCACAGACAAAATCAGGAGGGAGTACAAATGAGTAGAACTGCTCTCCTTCAATCACCATTTCTGTTAAGCACTGTCAGTTAAAACATGTATAATTAGAGATACTGAAGCTTACAGTGATACACATAATGCCTTCCCCCATCCCAAACCCAGAGAACTGTCAGATTTCACCTTAATTTTTCAACATGATACCACCCATCTCCAAACAGCATGTAGCTATAATTTCACAAATGAAAAATAGCTATCAGACATTCAACCTAAGGGAAATGTGTCTTGGAATAACTACATTGTATTGCTGGCTCATTGTTAATGTATGTAATATTTATGTCATGTTTTATTAACAACCAAATTGAAAACAAAAAAGTAAAAAAAATTCTTAAGATGAAAGAAAAATGCTTGGTAATGAACTGCAAATAAATTCATATTAAAAATGGTTCTACAACCCCCAAATAAAAAAATGCTTGGTAATCAAATGAGCTCATTGTTTTGATTCAAAGTATGTCTAATTCTTTTGGAAATTTGATGTTAAGGCATCCTAATTCACAGATCTTTCACACATTTCAAAAATAACATAAGGTCTTGGTTTATATGATATTGCTGCAATGAAATGGAAATCAAAAAATCAAACCTATGTGAAAATGGTAAAAATAATCAAATACATGAACATGATGAACATTAATGTTAAATTTCAATAATTTAATTATTCAAAAAGCATATTCAAATACTATCAAAATCATTTGTGTACCAAGAACTTCAAAGCTCATATAAATACAGAGTAATATTGAGGTTAATTTGTTACATTGCATTTCAGGCGTTGTTCAATTTATAGCACATATTGATAGTATGCGTAATAACAAGTTAACACAATGGAGCATTTTGTGTGCTTGGAGTTTAAATAACCTGAGCCAAAGCCGTTTGGTTGCAATCAAAATCTACATGCAGCATAACGACCACACAATACTGTGTACAGAAAAGGAAAAAAAAACAGCTCTCATTTTCAAACGGAAACAAATTTTACAGATCTGCTGAATAGTCTTTGACCTATCTGACAAGCATTGCATATTCTCTTCAAATTTTAAAAAAGAGCATAGTCAGAGATTCAGAAAAAGTCACCTTATTATAATATGTCAAATTCAAGACATCAATTGAACAACAAGGGTCAAATGAGAATATGCTGCCTTTTTTTTTATCTAAAAATATTTTCAAAGTATATTTGTCAGAGAAAGCAAAAAAATTGTGCACCCCCCCCCCTCCTCAAAGCCTTTGTTCAAATTTACCAAGTGAAGTAGTATGGAAGCTAAGACTAAGAAAATACATTGCATTTTATTACAATTTTGAATTCCTGTGTTAAAAAAATACCTTATAGTTGACTAACATCCCGTAGGAATCAGACCTTCAAGTAAATGAAAAAAAAATATTCTGAACCAAATTTGACAGAAAATGGACTGTTTTAAGCTAGGAAGATACACATCATTGACAAACTTGACAGTATGTATAGATAGAATAATGAAAGTTCTTCAAGCATATTCCAATCAGTATCTATGTGTGTGAATATCAGGTACATTGAGGATAGAACCACCCCAAAGAATAAAGTGAGCTGTTAGATCTCAAAACTAAGTCATCTGTTGATTATGCTGCAGAACAATGGCTACTGGCTACAGGTAGCTGCAGTTTGTGGAATAGCTGTAGACACTGTATGGACACTAAGGATGCCTCACTACTTTATCGTTATGTCATATGACTAGGAGAACTAACCACCTGCTGCTGAGAAACGTCCTCATTACTGGCTATATACAGCGTGGGCTGCTGACCCACCCCCGACATCCCTAGACTGGCCACGTTCAGGGTCAGCGACCCCGTGGGGACCGCGAACTTGCTGGAGGGTTTGCCGATCAGAAGATTGCCCGGTTTGAGGAGATGCGTGGCGTAGATCTGACTGACCTGGGGCCCCGTACTGGTGGCTATCACCGTGTTACCCAGCATTCCATGCCCCGCAGACTGAGAATGTAACGGCTTCTTGTGATGGAGCAAGTTGTGCCTGTTGTTAACAAGTTTGTCTAGAAAGCAAAATATATTGTACATGAAAACACCATCCAAACACTCAAAATAGAAACATACTGCTGTAAAAGCTTGCCTTTTCTTGATATCACTAGTTCCATAGATATCGAACAGATTGGACAACATTTTATAAAGTTATTTAAAAATTTTCATTACATTTTGGGATTTTCAAAGTAATTTGAAAAGTAAAAGCCGTTTCTCAGCAGATACTAAAATCCTTTCACAGTGCAACGTAAACAGTGAGCTCCAACCTAACTTAGTACTGTCCTTGGCACAATGACTTATTAATAGACAACAATGGTTCTACATGACATGATGATGCCTGCATAGAAATGAATTAAATGGCATTTAAATTATTTGTTTTATTTATTTGTTCTATTATCAATTTGTATATTAATAAAGTTCTTGATACCAAAATATTCCATATATTTTTCTTTCATACTTTTGTTAAAGAGTTATCATGTGACCTAACAGGTTATTGACATCTGACCTTAATTTTCTGCTGTCATCACAGATTCATAAATAGCCCACAGCTATCTAGAACTCTTTTAAGACACTACAGCAGAAAATTTATTCTGATGCTAAATAGACATAAACAATTAAATATTGGGCTATCTTTGTGAGGCGTACCTGAGGAAGACTGTACCAACCCATTGAGAGCAGAATTGACCACCTGTGGGCTACCTGTCGCTCCCTACAAAAGCAAACCATACCTGTATAAAACCACACTAAACATGCACAATTACAATAAACAATCTATAGAACTTGGATACTCATGCTCAGTCATTGTTAAGAATATGCAGAAATCAAACATGTGTGCACAATGTTTATACTTATAGGAAATGTACATATGCAAAATTTAACGCCTTTGATATCCAGGTTTTATAACATCAAAAGGACATTTTTCATTGAGATGTTTCCTCTGCTTATCAGCTGAATAAAATTACAACAAGAAAGATTGGATTTTATGACTTCTGAAAAGAAGCCATATATACATGTCTTCTGAAAAAAAACCATCAACTGAAATTTTATTTAAATCCTTATATCCTTTCATGATATACATCACCAAAATCTTACTATGAATTCTATATACATGTATGTATATATATATGAACAAAATAATTCCTTTCGAGGAAATAAAACAATGAAAATGCTACGAAATGTACCAAAAGATTTCTTTAATGTTCACTCATTCTTTAGAAACCAGACGGTAACTAACAGTCCTTTGACATATGCTTTCCCAAATTTGATTGCAAGTGTTTGTATAGTATAACTTAAGTTTTCACCAATTCAGGTCAGCATATCCAAAATTTATTTTGTACAATAGCTCGGAGACTATGTGAGGTATAATGTTAAAACTTTAACGGTGCATAAACATATCACTGATTAGCAGATAGAAAGTATCATTTGAAAACAAACATTTAAAACAATATATTTTTTGAGAAAAAATATATCAAAAATTTTGCAGAATGATTAAAAAAAACAAAACATCTGCTTTATGCTGTATTTTTAGTGAAAATCATCATTGTAGAAATAAGGTATGTTTATTAATGAAAGGTAAGTTGGATGTGAATGGTGTCTGAGAGGCTGTTATTGAAAGCATTATACATGTTATATGTATAAATACAAGACCCCTATAAAATCCGCCATTTGCATTGTACTTTCGGTTTCAAGTCTTGACATTCAGAAAAAATAAATAGGGAAAACAACTTTCCAGAGGCTATCGAAGTCCTACTTGCACTTCACTGATAATCATATTTTGTTTCTGCAATGATGAATTTCACTAAAAGTGTGAATGTACTTAGGTGTATTTTGTAAAAGTATATGCATTTTTAAAAAGAATTTTTCTCTTTAAATATTGATTTTTAAGTATTTGTTATCAAGTGATACTTTCTATCTGTTAATCAATGATATATTTATAAACTGTAAAAGTTTTTACTTTATAAACGACATAGTTTTGGAGCTATTGTAAAAATAAATTTTTAGGCATGTTGATCTTTGGTGAAACCTTAATATATGATCATGCTGATGAAAGCTACACATAAATTTAAACCAATATCCACACTAAATATCTTTCATCTTTTTCGTGTTTATCTTCAACATTTACATCAATAGTATTGAATAATATGCAAAACTGAAAAAATTAGAAATTTTAACAATCTTGAAATAAAATATTCATTTCCAAAATCTGTATAGTAAAACTAAATTGAAATTTCTAGCATACTCACTGCTCTGATGTTGTTGGCGGAGTTCAGATTCGACGGAGCCAGAGAAGTAGTGCTTCCTACTGACACGATCTGATTGCCAAGGGTCGTTGTCAAGGAAACAGGGGTCAAAACAGCAGTGACAGGTTGCATACATGTAGATCCATCAAGTAATAATGGCGGCATACTAATGAGATTGTGGGGGCCTTTCTGTAAACCTTGTAGGGTTTCCAGGTTAAGAATCTTTGGACTATTCTTACTGTTTATCACATGAGCTTGCTGTAGTGACTTTTCGTCCAGAGTTTGTGACTGATGAGCATTAGTAATCATATACTGTCCATTCACGAGAGCCGAGTCTAAATTGGTCACCACAAACCCCACATCCTTATACACATTGTTCTTGGCGTTTTTTCCGCCCGCGGCAGAGAGGTTTGCATTGAAATGGCCTAGAGTAGCATTACTGAGATTAACACTGGGAATAGCTATTGCGGTGAGACCAGAGGAGGTGTTATTTATACTGACTGTAGTGAGAACGGGGGCCGCAGCAGCCGTCAGAGAGGAAGGACTAGAATTGGTCGGCGCACCACCGCTACGTTTCCGCTTCAGCGGTGGCACACCTGCACTGGCTGCTGGGATAGCACTGTTTGTCTGGGCGGGACTTTTAGACCCTGGTATACTGTCTTTTGATTTGTTGCGGTTCATATTTGATGACTTGGATTTAGATTTGGATCCTGATTTATGACTGGAGTTTAATACTGGACCCTGCTTCTGCAGTGTTCTGGGATCTATGGCTGTAAAATCATATGGATCTTTAGAGTTTCCTAATAACTGGGGCTCTTTTGGAAGATTAGATTCTACACACAACTTCCTGAAAAAAGAAATATGTTCATTTAGCAATAAAAAATTCATGAAAGGCCAACCATGAATTTAAAAGATATCTTTATGTTCACAATGAATGGATGAAGTGATTTTTTTTTCTATTCCATGTCATATTCAACATTTTACCACCAAGTGCATGTAAGATTAAACTGAGGAAAACAGATATTTTAAATTCTCTCCTTGAACATCTACTCACTTAAAAATTTTGCTTAATGAGGAAATGCCCTAGTTTGAAGATGAAAATTAAGAGTAAAAATGCATGACTTACTTGGGAGGTGGAGGATTGAGCTGCTTTTCTAGTACATTAAGGAATGCTGCCCTAAGAATGTCAGTCTTCCGACCAAACACATAACTCCTTCGACCCCCGATTGTGTGGAGTCTGCCTCCAAAAGTACACATCTAAATGTAAAAAAAAAGTATCAAGACACATGTACTGATTTTTGGCAAGCATTTTGTTATAAACGTTGACCTAGCATTGCAGACCTGGCCTTTTCCTTTCCAAGTAAATAAGATACTCACTGCTGCTGGTCGGGGTTGGTATGGAATAAATGAACTGTCGGATTTCTCTCCCTCCTCTTCCCCTTCCCCATCACTCAGACGCTCATGGCCATCCAGTGAGGGGCCTCCAATGGGTTCCTCCTTTGTGGGGGACAGCAGAGGGGAGTGAAGACTTGAGAAACTTGACCTGATGAGTAAAATAATGCAATGTCAGTTACATTTGCCTGTAAACTTATTTTATATAAGTATACCTCTGTGATTTTTTTTCCTGTTAAAAAATATGACAAAGAATTTTTTTTTCAAAACAGTCCCCATCATGGAATAGTTTTTGTGCCATTTGCCCATGGTGAAATAGTCATCAAACTGCTACCTGACACAACTACCAAGGACCAACCTAGGGGGCGACTGAGGCAAAATAGTCGCTTTTGGGCTCCAAACTTCGCTGTAATTTATCATGAAAGCGAAGTTTTAAGTCGCCTTAACATTTGCAAACCCTTTATTGAAAATCATAAAAAATCTATTAAGAAACATGGTAGAATCGTCAGTATTGTATAAATCTTGTTTTATTACTGCTGAAATAAACGAAACAGCAGGACACTTGCACCTGTTTTTGCTACCAATGACCAAGTCATCGAATACTCTGTCGGAACTCCTCTAGATTTTACGCTTCCGAGTATGTAAAAGTCCATTGTTACAGGTTGTATACAACAAGATGTAAAACAGCTGGACAGCTATCGATGTCATGCCAAAGATATTGGAGATGATTTTAGATCTTTTTATTGTCAAATAATTAATTCATGCTGTGTATGCAGACATATTTTTACTTATTTGTAGAGTTATTAACTGTCTAAGAAATTACATGTCTAATCTATACACACAGTCAAGTAGTTCAATCGGCATGCAGTAGTACATGCAGTAGTACATCAAAACTTTTTTAGAAAAAGAATTGAAGATTGAAAATGAATTCAATTTTGAAGTGAAAATTTAAAAAAATTATAACTATGCAAAGAGCTTGAAAATATAAAATAACAAGAGAGAATATTAAAGTTAATTGTGCATACTATGCAAGAAATGAAAAAAAAAATTGATAAACAAGTTTATCAATAAGAATTTATACAATGATATTGTTTGATTTTTGGGGTCAGATAATTTTATACTTTGTAATTGGAAAAATATAAAAACTAATTTTTGAAGATTTTTTTCTCTTTTTAATTATTTTTAGTATGATGTTAATACAGAAAATTATTGAAATGTATTTATTCATAAAATATAAACAATGAAATAATTTTATTTTTTAAACGTTTATTAATGATTAATGTGCGCGACGCGCACCACTAAGTCTCCCTAAATTTCAAAACTTCTCCCTAAATTTCTCTGAATGAGAAGTGAAGTCTCCCTAAATTTTTGGTCTAGGTTGGTCCCTGAACTACAGAGAAAATTTTGAAAGATACATGTATTTCCTATATAAGACTGACAATCCTACTAATCACTTTATGGTGCCTGTTGGCCTAAGCTTCATGATGAACCCAAGCCTTTGCTTTGTATACCTTTGCTGTAGAGAGGAACTAAGCTTCTGGGGAGGTTTGGCAGTTTTCTTTGGTGAGAGCTGAGGGGGGTGGGAGGACCTCTCTCGGTGCTGATCATTATAGGACTGGAGCGGGGTGGGGTTGAGTAGATGGGCAGCCAGCTGGGAGCTCCCAGGGGGGATAACTGGGGGGCTCTTGAGTTGTTGAGCCTTCTTTTCAGCAGCTGCTTGTAAAGCAGCCTTTTGTTCAGCTTTTTGTTTCAGCAGGAGCTCTTTGGCTTCTCTGTGTTCTTTTAGTAAATCATCAAAAGGTTTACGCCGTCCTGGTACTTTCCGTCTCAAGGAAAGAGCATGAGTCTGTATAAAATACAATATTACAATTAAATCTGTGCAGTTGATTAATTTCAGGTGAGAAGGAGAAAACAACCTCTTAGTACAATCATTTCCTCCAATGGTGAATGACTCATTGTACCTGTTGTACTGTAAAATACATTTCCTTGCTATATCAAATTGCAAATTATAACATTCTTAACTTAAGCTTTGATGTACTGATGGTTCTATTCATGCAACTGAGGAATTTCTTTTATCCAAAGGCATTACAGCTGAAGTGTTTAATATAATGTATCTCAAAGGTATTAAATCTTAGAAAATCAATAAAACTGGTGGCCTTGATGCTACCTTAATTACATGTATGTTATAGATACCTACCTTACAGGTTAGTGACCTTGTACAGGACTTTCCTGTGTCTTCTACAAACACGCCACAGTGCTTGTTACAATCATACTCACGATCTGAAACAAGAATTTCACTTTACCTTATACATGTTATACAGCCTTATACAAATCCGAAAGACAGCATGTTTTCAAACCCTAATTACAATTTTGATATTCACCATAATTATTACTTCCTCTCTCCCTCTCTCCAAAACAAACTGATGTAATAAAAATATACCTTTGCAAGGAATAAGTTTCTCTGGCTTCTCAAACTTGATCGGCTTCTTTTTGACAGAGGAGAAGGAATTGGAGCCATTGGAGGTGAGGGAGCTGGAGAGACTAGGCATGCTGAGACTGCCTCTACTCCCGACCAGTCCTTTACCACTGGACAAGCTGCCAGACTGTGTGGTCGCCATCGTTGTGGTACCTGTCACCGATTTAGTGGTGGTTATGCAAGAAGTGGAGGCAGTGGTTAGTGTGGTAGTTGCCATGGTAACAGTTGCACAGTTTAGAGAGACAGTAGTTTGAGGCAGGGAACCAGTTGAGAGAGATTTGAGTGGTTTATCAATGGCCGTGATATCCACTCCAGAAATCACAGGTTTTACATCAGTCAATTCAAATGAGCTGTCTTTGGAATTTCCATTGGCTAAGCCAGATGGAGATGTCTGTGACTTTGGTGCAGAATCAAACTGTTGTGAAGACACTCTTTTCAATTCCATTCTTTCCACTTTAACCACAGGCATGGAGTGGTTTCTTCGACTCCTCTCTAGTCCCTTGAACTTAGCACTGAGGCCCAATTTCTGGGCACTACTTACCAATGGGGGAACCTCTTTAACACTAGCCTTTGTGGGAACCGAGTGTCCCATTCTAAAGTTTGTTCGTGTGGGGGAGGTTAATTTGTTAGGGGAGGATAATTTTGATGTTGGGTAGGACTGCTCTCTTGAGGGTGAAGCACTAGACTCTGTGATTCCATGTCGCTCAACTAAAAATGAATAAAATAGGATCTGGAGTCTTGGTGAAGAAAAAAAAAACAAAGGCATATTAAATAGTATTTTTTTAAAAAGCCGCTTAACCTGTGAATGAATATTTTATACTATAATGTTACCTTCTAAATTTTGTGCTATATCCTTGGCAATAAAAGAGGCTAAGAAAGTGAGCAAACTGTCTACTATCAGGATTAAAAGACAAATAAAACTGTGAATCTCAATTATGACAAAACTTTGATAGATTGTTTAACATTAATGTATACTCTTAATTGTACAAAATCTCTTCTAATTCCAACAATTTCAAAAAAATTGAAATCATCTGAATGTGAAGTAGTAAACATACACCTAAAGATGGCAAAAAATGACCAATTCCTCAAGTCAGACATATTTATTTTACATGTGCATGAAATGTGTAGGTTTTTGCCCCAGTGTCATATATTGAACCCGGGTTCAAAATATCGCTGCAATATATAGAACCCCCTATAAAATATTGATCACGGGGTTTAAATTATTATGGCCATAAAATATTGAGTCCCCCTGCCCTTTTAATTTCACAGGGAGGGGGGTTCAAAATATTATGGCCATAAAATATCGAGTCCTCATGCCCATTTAATTTTACAGGGAGGGAGGTTCAAAATATTATGGCCATAAAATATTGAGTCCCCCTGCCCTTTTAATTTTAGAGGGAGGGGGACTTGATATTTTATGGCCATAATATTTTGAACCCCCTCCCTGTAAAATAAGGAGGACAGGGGGACTCAATATTTTATGGCAATAATACTTTGAACCCCCCTCCTTCATAAATTAAAAGGGTAGGGGGACTCAATATTTTATGGCCATAATATTTTGAACCCCCCTCCCTTTAAAATAAGGAGGACAGGGGGACTCGATATTTTATGGCCATAACATTTTGAACCCCCCCTCCTTCATAAATTAAAAGGGTAGGGGGACTCAATATTTTATGGCCATAATATTTTGAAACCCCCCTCCCTCTAAAATTCAAAGGGCAGGGGTACTCGATATTTTATGGCCATAATATTTTGATGCCCTCTCCCTCTAAAATTTAAAGGGCAGGGGGACTCGATATTTTATGGCCATAATATTTTGAACCCCCCTCCTTCATAAATTAAAAGGGCAGGGGGACTCAATATTTTATGGCCGTAATATTTTGAACCCCCCTCCCTCTTAAATTAAAACGGCAGGGGGGACTCGATATTTTATGGCCATAATATTATGAACCCCCTCCCTCTTAATAGAAGGGCAGGGATACTCCATATTTTATGGCCATAATATTTTGAACCTCCTCCCTCTTAAATAAGAAGGGCAGGGGGAGTCTTTATTTTATGGCCATAATATTTTGAACCTGGGGTCCATCTTAAATGAAAAAGGTAGGGGTTCAATATTTCATAAGGGGGGTCAATATATTGCAGCGAAAAAGTGAACCCGGGTTCAAAATATTATGCAATATATTGAACCCAGGTTCAATATATCGTGGTATCAAAATATTATGCTACACCTGTCATTTATATTTTGAAAGATTAAAACTCAATCCTTTCTTCTATTTATTAAAACAAAAACATGAAGCAAAGACCCAATAAACCTTAAAAATGCACTTTCATGACACAAGGCCTGTATCTTTTTAGAAATATTCAAGTCCAATTCATCAAAGGTCATACCCCAAACATGAATAAAATTCCAATATTCATTATAAGCATGATAAGGCGGTATACTTCAATGTTTATTTTTAGCATGTTAGTCTTGTAAGGATAGATGATATACAGAATTTTTATTGCTTAGTTTGAAATCCAAGAATACTGTTTTCTTTTTTAGATATTGAATGATTGTTGCCTGAATTCATCATCGAGGGTTTTGTTTGTAATAATTTCCATTTTCATGAGTAAAAATTCACTCCAACATTGTCCAACCTGTCTAAATATTGAGTAAACAAAATGAATATAACTTTTACACATTTGAACCTATAAATATTTTGCAGGCCTTGTTTGCCCATAAGCCCTCACAAAGCAAATTGTTAGGTCTCAGGACCAGAATGCACAGGCACCTGACGTTACTTATTTTTCTTTTAATAAAAAAAATATACACATACCTTATAATAAACAAGGTCCCCATTGGCTCCATCTTGAATTTTTCTAGGTCTGTCACATCCACTTGTATTTTCGTCTGAAACTCCGTCAAATAAATTCCCTGCTACCATATTCTTTCCGTGGCCAGTCTTTCAAGGTCTAAACTTACGGACTCTGCAGCCAGAAGGGCGCATCACACTTGCAAATACTGAAAATCCCTCGTAAAACTCGATCTACTGCTTCAACAATCCGAGAAATCACCAAAAGGAGGGCCAGAAGTTTACATCAATATGCTAATGGGAATTCCATATTTGTCAGTTTTGTGGTGGATCTAAAGCGGCGTGTTATAATTACTTTGAAATTTTAATAAATATTTCGATTATTGAAATGAAAAAAAAATGCAAAATGGGAAAAATAAAACACTTCTTATAAATATACCTGTAATACATACTGTATTAATCTATACAGATCGTTGTGTTCAAAACAATCTTGAATAAAAGAGAGGGGTGCTTGAAAAAAAAATCAACAACAAATCATCTAGAGTTAATTGAATGGTTTTCAAAAAAAAAAATCAAAGGCCTGAAGGGACATAATGGCTTATGTGCTTGACACGGATGTAAAATGTAAGGAAATGTAGTATACTAGAATATTACTTGGTGTTTTCCCCAGAAATTTCTTAATGCAAGAGACGGCCTGGGGCGTTTCTTGGCAATTGAGTTTATTTTATCTAAATTCATATTTAAATGAAAAATACAAATTCCCTAATAAATTCTTCTTTTTTTTTTTTTTAAAAAAAAAAAGGGTAATTTAAAAAAAAAAAGGTAAATAAAAGCTTAATATATATTTTGAACAAATTGTCAATTTTTACTTAAAATTATTCAACAGTAGAGTTTTTTTATATAAAGAGATCAATCACGAAAAATTGTTCTATTAAAATTTTCTATAAAGCCACTGTCTTTTTACTGTTTTATATATTGTGCTATTTTTGCTATCTACAAATATACCACTAATGACCCTCCCTTATTTTTTTTTGTATCTACTCTTGCAGTCATCTTGAAACTTTTTGTTCTCATTAGGTAGCACCTATGTAATGCTTATTGCATGTAGATATTGTCACTTGGAGCGCTTCTGAATATATAGGTCACTGTGTATTAGAAGCACATGCGTTTGAACTAAGTGCTTTCCAGAGTTCATAAAGTAAATTCATAAACATTGATAATGTTAATCACACCTTTCATTTTCAGTACATTAATGCAAAAAAAAAAATGTCTTAAATATTATGTGTTTAAATAATGAATCTTTTTTTTAATGTCGTGAATGTTGGAAAACCCCACATGTGCATTAACAAGTGTATTGCTTTTACCGTTCGTACTATCTGACAGCTATCAATTACATTTTTATGATTATTAATTAATATTTTCATCAACTACAAGCTTGATACTTAGTAATATACCAATAATTAAATTGCAATGAACAAAAATTGACAGCTAGGCTATTGCATCATACCCTGTGCCGCGATTCGCATTGAGTTCACAACATTGAATTGGCAGGAGATCGTGATCGCTTTACCGCCATGCAAAAACGGCCCTAGGAAATCACTGCTTTTAGCAGCTGTTTAAACAGTTTGTAAGTTTAAATACATTTAATCTGTATTCCTACGAACTATCTGGTGCGATAAAGTACTCCAGACCGAGTTCTCTTTCTTTCATTTAGATCGACTTACCTACACGGTGGCGCTGTTGACATACGGTCAGAAGATATACTTCCGCGTCCTCACAAGAGTTTATTCAATTTAGTTTTTTTAATTTGGTTTATCTTGTCTTCAGTAGCAAAAATTAGATGAAAATAACAAGGTTTTTGATTAAGAACTTGGTGAGTAATTTTCACAACAAAGGTAGAATAGAATTAAAGAAAAGACGAGGACTATTTTATCTTGCTCATGTTTACTAGAATACATAGTGAACTCTGCCGTAAAGATACACTGGGAGCTATATGGCTTCATAAGCCATAAAAACAATAGACTGCAAGCCATCCAGTTATATATATATATATACATATATACCTCATAATACCTGGCATATGCTTAATTGAAAAAGGGAAGGGGTCACACTGATTAAAGGATCGGGGATATGTAATGAAATCAAATATTAGCTTATGCAACATGTATATGTATAATCTGTCACCAAGAAAAAAAAAATAAAAATGTCGCCATGCCACTACTCTATTGCAATGCATAAAATTGCAGATCTCAACACTCCCTGGAATAATTTTAGTGTGAACCCCCCCCCCCCCTTCTCACACATGTGCGTACATACTTTATATAAACAAAGTCAATCTTCTCCACGGATAGTGCTCAATCAGGGCATCAATAATGACAGTGTTATTAATTATATTTAGTGCATGTAAGTAGGGATTTACAACCGACTCAATATTTTGTCTCAAAAATGTGCATTGATCAGCTACAACGTAGCATGATCAGGCCGATCTTCGACATTTACAAAAAATAATCGCTTTGATAATTGTTTTGAGAGAAATATATAAATGAATGTTCTTACATTATATTACGTTGTATTATTGTCTGAATTATTGTTTTTGGAATAAGTACTAACTTTCGTCGGTTATTTTTAAAAATAAATCGTACAAATATATTGACCAATCAAAAAAGGGCTTTCCCTAAGAATTTCAAGTCGTATGTAAATTCATCACTGAGGGTTTTGATTGTTGAAGCAGTAGATCGAGTTTTACGAGGGATTTTCAGTATTTGCAAGTGTGATGCGCCCTTCTGGCTGCAGTGTCCGTCAGTTTAGACCTCGAAAGACTGGCCACAGAAAGAATATGGTAGCAGGGAATTTATTTGACGGAGTTTCTGACGAAAATACAAGTGGATGTTACAGACCTAGAAAAATTCAAGATGGCGCCAATGGGGACCTTGTTTATTATAAGGTATGTGTATATTTTTTTTTATTAAAAGAAAAATAAGTAACGTCAGGTGCCTGTGCCAGAATGATAAGTTTGCTTACAGAGATGTTTCTTGAAAGCTTGTGGCTTGATGACCTTTTGACAGCGTTCACACATGACAAGGTAAAATTCATCCTGTGATGGACAAGTGCCAAACATGTGCATATCTGAAAAAAAAAGAAAAATATCAAACTTCTGTCTTATAGTGCCTGCAGAATGTCTAAAGTAGAACGTGTTAATAGGCATGACAGAGTTTTTTGGGAAATTTTACTTAAAAAAAAGAAGAAATAAATGAAAGGGGAAAGGTTCATTTTTAATTGCAAAGTCTGGTAGATTGTTCAAACAAGATGAAATACACAAAATCATCTTTGATGGATGATGGTGCTGAAATTAAAATCTGATCATGGGTGTTTGCCCCAATTTATCAAAAAATAAAAACAGAACAAAGTTAATAGCTACATTTGTTAGACATGTATTACAATCAAGCACAAAATGTTACGTGTAGATTATGCTAGAATATTTTTCTAAAGCCACTTCTTTTAAGATTTACATGATTTTTGTCACGTACATATTTTCAATTTCAGGTTTTAAACTTTTTTGAAAAATCAAAAATTATTTGCATGCTCTCGCAAAACTTTACCCTCTGAAGGCAAACGCATGCTATCAGTGTCATCGCTATCCTTTTCTGTGGGATCAACAGTCTCGTGTTCTGGAAAATGCAGGTAAAACATAATGACATGTCGCAAAAAGCAATTTTTTCGTGATTCACGGATTCGGAATCAAATGAATTAATACACATATTTAGGGAAATCATCTTAATGTAAACAACTTTATTTAAATATCTTCCTATTTATATTCTCATCTTACCCTCTAACGGTGACAAAGGGACATTTTCGGCCCATTCGGACCAAGATTTGCCAATAAATAGCGACGGACTATCGTCCAGGGTCGCCATTTTGCACTTTCTTGTTGCTTTCTGCCAATCCGGAGAACACCGAAGTGTGATGACGTCAAGTTCGTAGTTTTTCGCAGAAAAGCTGAATGATTTCCGCTTATATCATTCAAGAAAATGTTTATATTACTTTCATATTTTAGAGATAAAAAGAGTATATTTACAATTTCAGACATTTAAATAGTTTTATCTTCGTATGGTTTTGACGCACCAACTTTTTATTACATTTTTTAAAGTATTATCAAAATTCCCGGCATCAATATTGATGTAAGCGGCCAGATGGAAACAATCACGTTGAAATGGCAGTAAATGATGGTAATGTATCTGAAATTTTGGGTAAATCAGTAAAAAAGAGAAATTTGGTCTAAATAATGAGAACCAGAATGCATGTAAATGGTGAAAAACAAGGGGAATTCTGATATAAGCACTAGTAGAGGGCTTGTCCTGATATAGCTGCAATAATGTAGCGCTCTCCGATTTTTTTTATTCTGATGTTTTCTGGAGAGGGCTACAATTCCATAGCATCTCCGTAATGGTGCAAATATTTTTTTTTAATAGGAGCGACTGCAGGCAAAATAAATTATTTTTACATTCAACTTACTTCTAATAAGACGAAATTTTTATTCACTGTCTACAACAGAATGTTAAATGCGAAAAACTTGTAAAATAACTCTGCATGTTTCCTGGTAGTTTACTTCAGCAGCCATGACAGTTCACGCGTGACGTAATGAGACTTTCGCTTGAAATTTAGAACAACTGAATAAAGCAATTATCGGTGTTTATAAATGATTGCGCTGATTTTCATCACAAAAACATAGGTATATAAAACCATTTTAAGTGTTATTTTTATGCAAGCAGCGATATTTATGCTTAAAATTTATTTAAAAGATCCGCTCCTATAGAACCTAAATTCTCATTGGCTGTCCCAAAATACAATCTATCAAGGTCAGTAAACATGGCGGATAAATATATGTATGTTGACATACTTCGAAAAATAAAAAATTTATTTTTGCAGTGATTTACGTCTTGGATGACTACTAAAATGGAGTCAGGTAAGAAATGTTGAATAAAATAGCCATTAACTGATAATTTTGTGTAAACACAACAGCTGCACCACAGGAGATTTATGTAGCCCTCTCCACAAGATGTATTGATTTGTTTATTTTTGATATTTATCATGTTTATATTTTACTGTTTAATTTTAAAAACTTATATTTTATTCAAATCAATTCAAAAAAATATCAACAATGAAATAAACGTAATTAAAACCTTCATAGTTACCACCTACCACCCCATTTTATGACACGCGATTCACTTCAGGTATTATTTCTCGTAGTTTATGCTTTTTTACACTCTTATAATTGTATAGATATTAATCATATATTTTACTCCAATTATTAATACTTTGTTATCCTTTCAATGATCCGAAACAGTCCTTTTGGAAGATTGTTAATGTATCAAATTAATTTTCGTTTTTATTTCATAGATATATACAGTGATATAATAGCATAAATATAAATATATTTAATTAAAATGTAAATATATAAAATATTGGAAATAATGTCCTTATGTGAGTGACCAAAAAATCGGTGTCATTCAAATTTTTATAACCCCGTTGGAGCTCTCTGTCAATGGGCCGAGATATCGGTGGACCGAGGAGTCGTTGGGCCGAGCAGTCTGACATTCATAGGGGAATAACAGACCCCCCCTTCCACTATACTTTTTTGTACTGAAATCGGGTCATAAAATTGGGAAAATCAGAGATCTTTTGGGGGAAGTTTGGAAAATCAGAATATATTTACATTAAGATCATTAGATTTTGGGTTTCTGGCACATGGCAGGCTTTGGTGCCATTAAACTTACAGTACTGTCAGTAGCTCTTTTTTTTTTTTATCTCAGTCCAACTTTTCCATCATATATTCCTCTTGTAAAGGTGAGAGTGAGATATATAAAAAAGCTCTTTAAGTCATGGCCCTGGAAACTGACTTTTCTGTGACACTTACCTCGTATTTCTAAAAATAATATTCACCTCCTTTCTGAAGAATAAGAAATGGTGAAGATAAGGAACAGTTACGGTTGTCCCTGACAAGTGAAATCGCAGGAAACATTTGAAATGTAGAAGGGAGTCGGGTTTTTTTCCTAACAGAGGGTTTAGGGGGAATACCATAATTACTGAATGGGGATTGCATCTCGGATATCATGAGATTTGCTAGATACAACAGACCCACCAATTTTGTGTTGAGCTCAATTTCAAAGAGACTATTCATGATATTTTTATCAAACTTCATATGCTAGTACATATTTATGAGAGCTATTCATTTGCAAATAACATTTTTGACCTAAACCTTTTGTTTGATCTCATTTTTCTCACAATTGTGTTAAGCTAATTTCAAAGAGACAGATCAAAATATAGTTGTCTGATTTCATAATGTTCATCTGTTCATATTATGCTGATACATCCTGAGAATGATTTTTTTACTTCAAATACAGTAATATGCACATACTGTAGAGGTGTGCAGATTTATAGAGTTATGCCTCTGTTGAGCAAAGAAGTTAAATTGTCTGCAACTCATGCTAAACTGGTTAACCGTTAAGTATAAGCATCTTAATTTTAATTGACAAAGAAAAGTGTTTTTATTTTATTGGACAGTGCACTAAGAGAAAATACAGTCACAGATCTGATGTGACAAAAACCTCTAAAAGAGAAGACGCAGATAATATTTAGTTGTATTTAATGTATAGCATTGCCATAGATAATGTTTGGCATAGTCAAGCAATGATGTGGGAGCATAATTATGTAAGCTTGCTAACTGTTTCTTTGACTGGTAGCCTGACCATTTGATAGTTTTAATTGTAGTCCTGATTATATTTTATAGATGAAATAATCAAGCGACGACTGCTGTATGAAGGGGATGGAGGAAATGATGACAAGCGAATCAACAGCCTCCTGAAGACCTGCATTCGATGGTGCAACTCTTCAGAGTCACCGGAGGAAAAGTAAGACAGATATACATGAAACAGTATATTATGCATTATACCAAGGTGATTCTTTTTGCATTACGTGGAATCTGAACTCTTCTTTGCTCCATTCTTAAACATTTATTCATAAGCTCTCTTCCTACATGCTGATTAGTTAAAAAGAAACCCAAATAACATATTTAAACATGACAACGGGTTACTATGTATTACAAAAAGGAATGAGTGGAGCCAATAAGATTGAATCGGTTTAGCTTTTTGTGTTGTAGTACAAATTAAAGTTTACAGAAAACTTGTACATATTTTGTGTGTCTTTGTGTCTTTGACTCTGCCCTGGCCAATCAGCTTAAAAAAAATCAGTCGATAAAACGAGTTGTTGCTTTACGTTGATGGGAATGTTTGATTTAAGGACAGATGATACAAACAAAAAAAGTGATGCCTGGATTGGTATATATTTTTTGGTCTAATTTCATTGCAAATGATGCAAATGATAAATTTCTAGAAAATAAAGAAAGTGTAAACCTTCTGTGAGGTTTGAAAGTATGCCCTTCTGAAACCATCCTTATTAATCCATACAAATATTTTTCACTTCAAATTCCATTTTTATGCAAATTTGAATAAAAAATTATAAACTACGCGGTGAAAGTTATTCATTTCACTCATTTAAACATGACCCAACTTGTTATTTTCAAAGTCTTTGACAAAAGTTTGTTTGTATCATCTGTCCTTAAATAAAGAGTGAAAAGAAACACCTTGGTGCAATACATCCTAAAACAAGATGTGATTTGAATTCATATTATTTTATTGACAAAGTCTAAAGGATATGACTCAGGTACTATTACTAGTCTAAATAGCCTTCTCCTTAAAAGCAGATTTTTTTTGAGTAGCTGTTTTAAATTACGTTTTATTTAAAAATGTGAAATTGATCTTATAATGCCCCTCTTCAAAGATGGATGGCATATTGCTTTGCTGCTGTCCGTCTGTCATCAACAGTTTCTGTTCATTTTCTTTGCAGAGGTAGCACATACTCAAATAAAAATTGGTATACAGATTTATCCTAAGAATATCTAAAACAAGTTCTGTTTTGGGTATGATCGAGCAATTTTTGAGAGAGTTATGGAGAAAATTCAATTCTTTTATTGGGGCTGGGGGGATAAGTGTTTTACAAACATCTCTTGTTTTCATTTTAAATCAATGGATTTGCCTTGGGTGCTACATAACATACACAAGACCTTTATTTTTTGTATGAATGACTATGTTATATAGAATAAGCTTATATGTAAGACTTTTTCAAATATATCGATGCCAAAATTTCAAACTTTAAATCCCAATGATAGTATAGAGTTTAGTTACCTGCATGAAATGTCGACCTGTACTTCCTTCATCAATGACACTGGTTAGAAACAGTTTCTGGTCAGCTCTCAGAAGAATGGTGGTGTTTGTATAATTATTTATTTTATTAAAACTTTGATTGCGAACTAATGAATAATTAGAAGAACATGTATAATTTCACACTTTTAACTTGTCAATTTCATTAATCAAACAAATGGGGTCAAAAACAATCTGTTACTAAACGTAACAAAAATTAAAGATAGATAACACAGTACATCAAATCAAACCTTGTTATTTATATTAAATTCAATGGGACAGAGAAAAAAAAAACTTTTAACAAGATTTATTTTTTTTAAATTTAAGATAATTAGAATAAGATACTACCGGTAAATATCAAATTTGTTATCGTGACCTCCAGATCACCTTGACATATCCTTATTATTCAAGATTTAGAGATTCAATATAGTGTTGTTCAGCTGTATATTTGCTATTTTGTTGCATACAATAAATGTTTAAGAGTGATTGGTTTCTTCTTTGTCTTTACAGCTCCCTGGGGTTTGAGAGAATGATGGCCACGCTGACCCAGTGTGAACACACCATGGAGAAATCTTTACTGGTGTACAACATGAACACTAGAGAGCAGGAGAATTACAATCAGCTCAATCAGCAAATAGGTAACCACAGCAATCATATATTATATAGAAAAGACTGTCTTAAAAAATTCCTAGATTCACATCCCCACCAGCCTTAATTTATGCTACCACTACCTCAATAATTTAATATCTATTTTACAAAACAATTCAGTTCTTGAATCTCAGATCAGAATGGACATACAACTTACCATTCAACTTACATATTAAAATTCTTTAAATGGTTCCCATATGATTTTAAAAGCTGACAAGATCAGGAAAGGAAACAAAATGAAAGGACTGTATTAATTGTAAAGCTTTGATTTTGTTTTTATTCCCCAAGGAGAAGGATGAAATTTGACTTTTCTGTTTTGACTTTTACAGAGGCAAAGATAGAGGAAGCCAGAGAGAAGATTTCGGAGTGTAAAAATGAACTGTCACAGGCCAAACGAATTCGTAAAAATCGACAAGGTATGACATTTCTGAGAGCAAATGATTTAAACATGTTAAAAGAATTATTCTTGTTTTTCACAGAAAAGCAGAAAAAAATGTACAAGTCCAATTGTTATATTTTCTTGGAATATTTTTATGTTAAAGCAGTAGAGATACAGTCACAATGGAGACATTCAGCATATTGTAACATTGTGAATGATTTATTTTTAGAGTACGATGCCTTGGCTCGTGTCATACAGCAGCACCCTGACAGACAAGATACTATGAAGTAAGTAATATATTAAATTAATATATTAAAGTAAGTCAGTTTTACTGTTAAATATATTTAATGACTGTATTTTTTAAGTGCTTCAAAATTAGTGATCATGATCATGATGATTGCACTAATCAGTGGAAGAGGAACATTGTACAACATTTCTGAGTGTGCTTATTAATTCATATTAGGTTGTTTGATTGACACAACTGTAAATTAGCTTAGTTTTCAATTATACAAAATGTTCTGGTGAAATTAATAAATGGAAAATTGCAAATTAGCTTAGTTTTATGCAGCTCTTTAGTCTTGTAATTGTGTTATACTTTTACTTTTATTTTTCTTTGGCTTGTAAATTTGGGTAACTGTTTTATGTGAATTTAAACTGTACCTTTAGTTTTTAGCTCACCTGAGCCGAAGGCTCAAGTGAGCTTTTCTGATCAAAATTTGTCAGTTGTCTGTTGTTGTTGTTGTAAACTTTTCACATTTTTATCTTCTTCTTAAGAACCACTGGGCCAATTTCAACAAAACTTGCTACAAAGTATCCTTGGGTAAAGGGGATTCAAGTTTGTTCAAATGAAGGACCACACCTTTTTCCAAGGGGAGATAATTATGAATTAGAGAAAAATTAATGGCATTTTTAAAAAATCTAGGGTGGGGCCAAAATGGCCAATCAAAGTTTTACATAGGAATATATAAGGTAAACTTTTAAAATCTTCTTTTCAAGTACTTCTAAGCCATGATTAGTGATATTTATATGAAATCATCCTCATGTAGTGTAGATTCTAGTTTGTTCAAATCATGACCCCTGGGGGTAGGGTGGGGCCACAATGGCCGATCAAAGTTTTACATAGGGATATATAGGAAAAATCTTTAAAAATCATGTGAAATCATTCAGGTAGTGTAGATTCAAGTTTGTTCAAATCATAATTGAGACAGGAAAGAAAACTTTTAAAATCTTCTTTTGAAACTCATGTGATATTTATAAATCATCCTCATGTAGTGTAGCTTCTAGTTTGTTCAAATCATGACCCCTGGGGGTGTGGGGCCACAAGATCAAAGTTTTACATAGATATATAGGAAAAATCTTTTGAACAATTGAGACAAACTCATGAAACCCCAGGTAGTGTAGATTCAAGTTTGTTCAAATCATAACCCCGGGGGTAGGGTGGAGCCAGAATGGCCAATCAAAGTCTTACGTAGGAATATATAGGGACATCTTTTAAAAATCATCTTCTCAAGTACTTCAAAGCCATGATTATTGATAGATTCTAGTTTGTTCATATCATAACCCCCAGGGATAGGGTGGGGCCACAATGGGGGATTCAAGTTTTACATTAAAATATATTTAAAAAATCTTCTTCTCAAGAATAGCAAAGCCATAATTAGTGATATTAGTATTTATATGGAAGCATTCTCAGGTAGTGTAGAATTAAAATTTGTTCAAATCATAACTCCCAAGGGAAGGGTGAGGAAAAATAAAGGGAAAATCCCAAGAACAGAAAAGCTATGTTTAGTCATACTGGCATGTAAGCATCCTCATGTTTTGAAGATTTAAATTCAAATTATTATGCAGTAATATATACGAATTAAAAGTTTAGAAAGAAATCTTTTATCAAGAACAGCAAAGTCATATGCTGTATTGATATGAAGGCATGCTCAAATAGTATCAAAATTAAAGCTTCAAACCTCCCCATTTCTGATCTGATATGTGCTTTTTCCTAGCCGATGGGCTCAGGTGAGCGATGTGGCCCCTGGGCCTCTTGTTATGTACATGTAATAATACTTTAGTATTAAATATTCATTTTTTTTTTCAAATTTCAACTGTATCAAGATTATACATATAACAAAATAGTAAACACTGCAAATTATTTTCACTTTAAGCAGTTTACCAACTAGTAGCTGAAAAGCTTGTTTAAGGGCTTCTAGACACTGGAGTATGTGTAGTGTTTAAATCTGTTTGACATTTCTATTCTACAGGCAGCTACAAGGATTAGACAAAGATGTTTCAAGTCTGGAAGAACAAAAAAAGTCTCTAGAACAAAAGGTAACCCTTCAGTGACTTAATTACTCTATCTATACTTACATCAGAAAACATCTCTAGAACCAATGGTAACCTTCAATGACTCTATCTCCACATACACCAGAAAACATCTCTGGAACCAGTGGTAACATTCAATGTCTCTATCTCTTTATACATCAGAAAACATCTCTAGAGCCAAAGGTAACATTTAATGACTCTATCTCTACATACATTAGAAAACATCTCTAGAACCAATGGTAACATTCAATATCTCTATCTCTACATACATCAGAAAACATCTCTAGAACCAATGGTAACATTCAATGACTCTATCTCTACATACATCAGAAAACATCTCTAGAACCAATGGTAACATTCAATGACTCTATCTCTACATACATCAGAAAACATCTCTAGAACCAATGGTAACATTTAATGACTCTATCTCTACATACATCACAAAACATCTCTAGAACCAATGGTAACATTCAATGATTCTCTCTCTACAGTCTACATACATCACAAAACATCTCTAGAACCAGTGGTAACATTCAATGACTCTATCTCTACAGTCTACATACATCACAAAACATCTCTAGAACCAATGGTAACATTCAATGACTCTATCTCCACATACAACAGAAAACATCTCTAGAACCAGTGGTAACATTCAATGACTCTATCTCTACAGTCTACATACATCACAAAACATCTCTAGAACCAATGGTAACATTCAATGATTCTCTCTCTACAGTCTACATACATCACAAAACATCTCTAGAACCAGTGGTAACATTCAATGACTCTATCTCTACAGTCTACATACATCAGAGAACATCTCTATAACCAATGGTAACATTCAATGACTCTATCTCTACATACATCACAAAACATCTCTAGAACCAGTGGTAACATTCAATGACTCTATCTTTACAGTCTACATACATCACAAAACATCTCTAGAACCAGTGGTAACATTCAATGACTCTATCTCTACAGTCTACATACATCAGAGAATATCTGTAGAACCAATGGTAACATTCAATGACTCTATCTCTTCAGTCTACATACATCAGAAAACATCTCTAGAACCAGTGGTAACATTCAATGACTCTATCTCTACATACATCAGAAAACATCTCTAGAACCAGTGGTAACATTCAATGACTCTATCTCTTCAGTCTACATACATCACAAAACATCTCTAGAACCAGTGGTAACATTCAATGACTCTATCTCTTCAGTCTACATACATCACAAAACATCTCTAGAACCAGTGGTAACATTCAATGACTCTATCTCTTCAGTCTACATACATCACAAAACATCTCTAGAACCAGTGGTAACATTCAATATCTCTATCTCTACATACATCAGAAAACATCTCTAGAACCAGTGGTAACATTCAATGACTCTATCTCTACAGTCTACATACATCACAAAACATCTCTAGAACCAATGGTAACATTCAATGACTCTATCTCTTCAGTCTACATACATCAGAGAACATCTCTAGAACCAGTGGTAACATTCAATGACTCTATCTCTACAGTCTACATACATCAGAGAATATCTCTAGAACCAGTGGTAACATTCAATGACTCTATCTATCTCCACATACATCAGAGAACATCTCTAGAACCAATGGTAACATTCAATATCTCTATCTCTACATACATCACAAAACATCTCTAGAACCAATGGTAACATTCAATGACTCTATCTCTACATACATCAGAAAACATCTCTAGAACCAATGGTAACATTCAATATCTCTATCTCTACATACATCAGAAAACATCTCTAGAACCAGTGGTAACATTCAATGACTCTATCTCTACATACATCAGAAAAATCTCTAGAACCAGTGGTAACATTCAATGACTCTATCTCTACATACATCAGAAAACATCTCTAGAACCAGTGGTAACATTTAATGACTCTATCTCTACATACATCAGAAAACATCTCTAGAACCAGTGGTAACATTCAATGACTCTATCTCTACAGTCTACATACATCACAAAACATCTCTAGAACCAGTGGTAACATTCAATGACTCTATCTCTTCAGTCTACATACATCAGAGAACATCTCTAGAACCAAAGATATCATTCAACATGTTCAATGACTATCTTCACAAGTCACTGGTTGGAAATATCTCCAAATTTACAGTGGCTTATTTTCAGAATTTCAGGGTTCTTTTCAATATTTAGGGATCAAAGAGTATGTCTTACAATCATATAACTTTATTAGTTAACTCACTTTTCATGGCGACATTTGAATATATAAGATAAAAAGATTAAGAGGCTTAGAATCATCAAACTTTGTCAGTTAACATGGTTAATGCATTGTGTTTACAGATTGTGCTAGCCAAAAAGGAGGTCATGGTGACCTATGTTTGGATTTCAAGGCTTCATTTAAACATGTAGGGTACTAAAAGTCTTAGGATAGATGGGGTGTACAATTTATCAGCAATTTTAAGCCTTTTGATCTCTTGTAAAATATTCAGCATCAACTCTTGCAAGGTCTAATTGGTGTTGATTATATTTGTACAAAGAGAGAGAGAGAATTACATGTACAACAGAATTTCTTGCAAACAGACTTTGCACTTAGAAAATTTAGTACATTGATTAATATTAAACTTGCAACAATTTAATTTTTCCAGCTTGATTTAAGAAGAAAGCAGTTCCATGTTCTGATTGCTGCTATACATGAATTGGAGAACATTCTGGATGGTGAGCTTTGTATACCACTCTTTAGAGAAGCGAGATATATTGTGTTATATATATTGTTTCTGTATGTAAAGTTAGTAGCCTCTTCCCACTTGTTAACACTTTCATTTGAGAAGTACTTTGAATTGAAACTTATCTTAATCAGTGAGATCTGTTACTTCCTGTTTATTGATTGGATATCTGTGTTTGGATTATCTTCCTCATATGTCACCTTTTTCCTTAACAATGGCAAGTGCCTATTGGTTGGCCAATAATTGGTTCATAATTGTTTTTTCATCAGAAAACAGAAGAAAAGTGTGTATTTTAGAGGTCAATGAGATTCTATCTTTTCTCTTCCTACATGTATTTTCAGAGGATGAAACTAAAGAAGAAGGTGCTGAAAAAATGGATACAAACTGAGCGAATAGCAGTGTTCACAAAACAATATATTTGTTGTGGAAGAAAACACCTCCTTTCAAATATGTGGGGGTACCACCTAGGACCTATGGTGCACAAGTTCACTGTGTACCCAATATTTAGATCTCAGAATTGAATCAGGACAGTGAATGTGATGACTTTGTCCATGAATCAACAGATTAAGCTGTGTTATTTTAACAAGCTAATGTATTTCCATGTATTATGAAACATTTTGTTTTACTATAAATGTCAAATGGTGTTTATTAGTAGTCAGCAAAATTAATAAATCTTTATACTTTATTAATATTTATATACTTCTTTTCTTGTTCACATCCAAACTATATTCCACCAAACCTTTTATAGGTCACCTTAGCTGAAAATGGGGGGCAAAAGTTTTTTGTCTGTCTGTTCACTGACAGTCTGTAAACTTTTCACGTTTTCAATTTCTCCAATATTTTCAAATTCTCCAATATTTTCAACTTCTCCAACAATTTCACATTTTTAACTTCTACAATATTTTCACATTTTCATTTTCTCCAACATTTTCATCTTTTCAACTTCTCCAACATTTTCACATTTTTGAATTCTTCTCCAGCATCCTCAGGTAAAGGGGATTCAAATAAACAGCCTACGCTTTTTCAAAGGGAGATAATAAGGAAAAAGAGCAAGAAGAGATGTTTGTAAAACACTTATGTCCCCTCCCCCAAATGATTGGAATTTTTCGAAGTCCAAGGGGCATAACTCTTTCAAAAATAGTACCCATAACAGAACTCGACCGAGATATTTTTAATATAAATCTTTATATTAAATTTCACTTCAATATGTGCTACCTCAGCTAATGTAGGGCAAAATCAAGTTTGTTCAAATCATGACCCCCGGGGCAAGGGTGGGGCCAAAATGGCCGACCCAAGTTTTACATAGGAAAATATTGGAAAAATCTTTAAAAATCTTCTTCTCCAGAACCACTGGGCCAGGAAAGATGAAACTCATGTGGAATCATCCAGTGTAGGTTTGATAGCAAGGTGGAGCCAAGTTTTACATGGAAAAACAAAATTTTACTCATGTGGAATCATCCTCAGGTAGTGTAGATTCAATTTTGTTCAAATCATGACCCCCGGGGCAAGGATGGGGCCAAAATCCTTTTTAGAAATATATGAAATATCTTTAAAAATCCTTCTCAATTACCACTGGGCCAGGAAAGAAATTCATGTGGAATCATCCTCAGGTAGTGTAGATTCAAGTTTTTTCAAATCATGACCCCCTGCCCTTGGGATATGGTGGGGCCAAAATGGCCGACCCAAGTTTTACATAGGGAAATATTGGGAAACCTTTTAAAATCTTCTTTTCAAGTACTTCAAAGCTATGATAAGTGATACCTGGGGTATTTATATGGAATCATCCTCAGGTAGTGTAGATTCTAGTTTGTTCAAATGATGAACGCCTGGAAGGGGGGGGGGGTTGATTGATTGATTGTATATTGTTTAACGCCGAGTCGGTGGGGGGGGGGGGGTAAATTCAAGCCTGATGTGCTCAGGTGAGCGCTGTGGCCCCTGGGCCTCTTGTTGGTGTTCTTCTCAAGAACAGGAAAGCCATGATTGGTCATAATAATAAAGAAGCATCCTCAAGTAAATAGATGTATAGATTCAGAATTTCAGATTTGTTCAAAATATGACCCCAACCCCACCCAAGGTATATAGAGGGGCCATGTAATTATATAAATATTAAAGTATATGTCACTACAACAAAAGTGGAAAGCCATAATTATATGAGCAAACTAATTCAGATGAATCCTCAGGTAGTGTGGGAATTGAATATCCACAAATCAAACTCAAATTCAACCTCCTTCTCCCTCATAGACCACTTTTATATTAAAGCTTTTCAATATTGAACTGATTTCTGCTTTTTCTTAGCCTAGCTAGCTTTAAGTGAAAGGACTTCAAAATGATATGAATACTTGCATATTTTTGGTGAAATCAATGCAAAACATAAACCCTGACCTTCTTTATCCAGGTCTAAAGGAAAGTAATTCTCTGCAGCTCAGTACTTTTTTCTTACACAATGGCGTGTAAAGAAACTGACGAGACAATTGTTTTACTTAACTTTTATTTAATGGTGGTTTTTTTTCTCTGTTCATCTACACAATATGACATAAACACATTCATAACCAAATTTCATACAAAATTTTTTTAAACAAACAGTCTGACTTCATTCAGAATGATACATCATTTAATGAAACTTTGTTGCTAAATGTAAAAATTGTAAAAGTATACATTGTGGCATAATCCTTCTACCATTTCCCAGTTCAATAGGGATATTATTGCATTTATAAAATGATAAACTAATACACATTCATATATAAATTTTTTCTTGAAAAAAACTGAAATTTTCAGGAAGGATGCCAAAATGTTTACCTTAACTGAATTTCTACAAGCAATCATAGTTTATGTTCATTTTGTAACAAGCTTAACAGATTTCTGTAAATGCTGGAGCTGCGGCACAATTTTGGTTTTGGTTTTTGTGTTTACTACCAGTAATTAAGCTAATACTACAATTCCCTCTTTAATAGTCAATACAAATTGCTTCAGAAAGAATTAGACACCTCAAATATATTTTCATCAATCAATATACACAATATTAAGAGTTCTTAATCATGATAATCTTTTATGCAAAGGAGAATGGTACATAAACCATTATATGTACGTAACTAAAATTGTCCTCCTCACAAAATACCACAAAATGAAATAATGTAAAATTCTTGTACAACTCCCATGTACAACAGAAATAGATAAACATGATAAAACAAAAACAAAGCCAACACACTTATCTACAAAAGATTTACAATAAATAAAACAAATGGATCTAAATGTAACAAATAAGTATAAAAATCTGTATGTAACTTAAGATGAAATTGATAGCAGTCACAAGTTACAAGTAATGAAGTTGTCACAAAACATAGCACTCCAAAGTGATCAACGTGAGGAACTGTACAATATGGCTGCTTCTGAACAGTTGGATATTCTGTACAAGTATAAACATGAGAAGAAAATCTGACTTGAAATATGATGACAATGCTTAGGGGGAATACAATTTTCATTGAATGTTTGGTGTTAGGACTGGAATATGGCAATGTTTTAATACAAACTGTTGACAAGAATTCTGTGAAACAAGGATTCACACTGTCAGGTTTTAACCTGCAATAAGATGAAGGCAAGCACAACTGTCACTCTCTCTCTCTCTGAAGTTTCTGTATGTATGTATATACATGGCCATTAATTCATCAAGATGTTACCAGCAGTTATACTACAAACAGACAGATCATTAGGTCATGATTCGTCTGCTGTTTGTACTATGGACTCTATATTTGGTGACATCTCCTCTATTTCGTCTGTGCTGGGTTTGGTTGTGATCACTGGCGACTCTAACCGGGTCATCATACCATCCATAATGTCTGCCACAACAACCGAATCAGTCGGACTTCCGTCCTTCACTTCATGTCGGGTGTCTCCATGGTTACTGTCCTGTCCTGTGTCTCCATGGTTACTGTCCTCCTTCTCCATAGCGATGAGTTCTTCCTCAATGTCCTCTCCCGGTATCACAGAACTCAATAAATCCCCGCCCTCACTTACACACTTCATCACTGCGCTCTCAGACACTTTTCCAGCCAAAGATTTTTGAGAACAGAATTCCTGAATTTTGATGGGTGATTGAGTCCGTACAATCTTTTGTGGAGAAGTGTTTATCTTTTCTGGAGGAGTGATTTCTACGTCCTTCACTGTTACAAGCTCAGTCTCTCGCGTGGTCATCAACCCCGATGACGTACTGATGGTAATGCTCTCTCGAAGGCTGTTCCTGACCACCCCCTCTGTATTTGGTGTTCCGTTGGATGACACAAAAGTCAGTGCACTGTCCCGGTTTTTACACTTAAAACATTCGTACTCTTCGTCCTCGGTCACCTCGTCTGCTCCGAGTCCCACACACAGGAGGTGGTACCACTCCTCACAGCGGTCACACTGCACCCAGTTCACCTCCTCACCTGTCACAAATACAACACAACCATCAGATATCAAAGATTTCTTTATTGAAATGTACATTCAAACCTCCTTATTTCAAACTCAATGGCACCAAAAGAAAGTTGAGAGATATCCTAGAATTGGAAATAGATTATATACATTAAGTATCAGTGCTTGGGATTTCCAGATTACTTAAACATGTCCATCTTAATCAAAATATCAGTGATCAGATACCAATGTTCAGCAGTATACAAAATAAACTAGAACTGTCCAATGGGACAAAATACCCACCGCAGGGTTTTTCAGAAGTAAATTTTTCCATAAGAAAGATATGGACCGGACACGAATTATGAATTTTTCTTCCAGTGACCTTTAAGTTCCCCAAATGACCTTGGGTCAAGGTCATGACACACCTTTGGGTCATGGGCAATCTTTGTGTGAAATGTGTGAAATGAGTTTTTCTTCCACTGACCTTGAAGTTCCCCAAATGACCTTGGGTCAAGGTCATGACACACCCTTAGGTCATGGGCAATCCATGTGTGAAATGAGAACCTACCAAGTTTATCCTTAAGAAAGATATGGACCTGACACGAATTATGAAATTTTTCTTCCAGTGACCTTGATATTCCCCAAATGACCTTGGGTCAAGGTCATGACACACCCTTGGGTCATGGGCAATCTTTGTGTGAAATGAGAACCTACCAAGTTTATCCATAAGAAAGATATGGACTGGACACAAATTATGAAATTTTTCTTCCAGTGACCTTGAAGTTCCCCAAATGACCTTGGGTCAAGGTCATGACAAACCCTTGGGTCATGGGCAATCTTTGTGTGAAATGAGAACCTACCAAGTTTATCCATAAGAAAGATATGGACCGGTCACGAATTTTGAACTTTTTCTTCCAGTGACCTTGAAGTTCCCTGAATGACCTTGGGTCAAGGTCATGACATACCCTTAGGTCATGGGCAATCTGTGTGAAATGAGAACCTACCAAGTTTATCCATAAGAAAGATATGGACCGGACACGAATTATGAAATTTTTCTTCCAGTGACCTTGAAGTTCCCCAAATGACCTTGGGTCAAGGTCATGACACACCTTTGGGTCATGTGCAATCTTTGTGTGAAATGAGAACCTACCAAGTTTATCCATAAGAAAGATATGGACCGGACACGAATTTTAAAGTTTTTCTTCCAGTGACCTTGAAGTTCCCCAAATGACCTTGGGTCAAGGTCATGACACACCCTTAGGTCATGGGCAATCTTTGTGTGGAGCAGTAGATTCTAATGTCCCTCTGTAAGAAAGATATGGACTGGACACGTTTGCACAGCTAGACGGACGGACGGACAGACGGACAGACGGACAAGGTGATTCCTATATACCCCCCCAAACTTCGTTTGCAGGGGGTATTATGAACTTTCATAAATAATGAGGTGGAACATCCTTAGGACATTGACATTTTAAAATACATGACCATAATATTGAAGTGGAAATAATTATGTAAAGTAAAGAATTTTGTATCTTATAATTATGGATATCCTCAATTTGGTATATCGGTAATTTGTCCGTACCATAACCGGAAGTCAAGTTTGAGTCTGCTTAACAGAAATCAAAAATTGCATGTTTAACAAAACATTTGGCAATATCTTGGAGTTTTAAGAGTATATACTGTTCATCTTAAGTAATGCAGCAATATTTCAATAAATAAAATCTCCTTTCGTTTCCCGTAACGATGCTAAGGCTTCTCAAAAATGGCTTAAGTATGCATTTCCATTGCTCTAACTGGAAAATCCCAAAGCAAAGGTGATGGAGAGTTGATGATGCAAAAATACACTGCATTACGTCTCAACGGGGTCTTACGTATCATATGCATAAATGATAGTCCTTGGACCGGAAGTCCAAGGATTACTACAATGTGCGAAGTTGGAGAAAATTCGACCTAATCATCTGAAAACAGGCATTTAAAAATGGCAAAGAATAATTCCTTCGCTCAAATCTCGATATTGATTAAACTATCGTATCGTAGAAATTAAGCTGCAATTGTTGACGTTTTAATTTAATTGACATTTTACAAATGTTACTTAGTAAAGTTAAAAGATAAACATTTAACATTTTTATCAAATCTCTCATACAGCCCATACTGCTTGTTGCGTTTCTTTTGCGTGTCAGTATACATGTAGCACTGACCTGTGGGCTTCAGACATTTTATTGCTGCACAATTATCATCGTCATCATCATCCGCATCATCTTCCATCATCACAAGACACTCCTTCTCTTTCTTCTTCCTCGGTTTTCGCTTCTTCTTCTCGATTTCTTCTGTTGCCCCCTCTTTCTTGACCTTGATTTTCTTCTTCTTGGGTTTTTCCAACTTTTTGAGTTTTTCAGCATTTAGGTCAACCATTAACTTTATCTTCTCAATGTCCGATGCAGTTGATTCTGACATAACTGTCAAAAAACAAAGATTAGGATTTAAATTACTGTAATAATAAACAGCTGTCATAATGAATACTGTGGAATCATTTTAAGTTGTGGGGGTCAATGTTCGTGGGCAAGCAAAATTTTACTTGTTCGTGGGGACATAACTTCGTTGGTTACTCGTTTATATAGTAGACTCAGTTGGTCAATACGTTTACAAAATAAACGTTCGTTGGGATGTAAATTCGTGGATAAAGGTGACCCACAAAATCCACGAACATTGGTCCCCCACGAACAATGATGACTCCACAGTATTACACAAGGGCACTACAATAAGGAACACCTCCTTACAAAAATCTTAGTAAATGACAGCAATCTCAATGTAATTTATTTTTCTTCAGCATGAACTGACTCACTCATGAACACGAATCTATATGCCCTTCAGGGAGATAAAATAATGAAGATAATAAATCAAAGGGGTAATCAACTTTTAATATAAATACACGGAGAATGTTTCAGTCTGATTGAACTAGACAGTCATCAGGAGAGAGCCTAGCTCCAGTAGACTAAGTTACTCTCTGCTAGAAGACAGACCCCACAAACAAATAAAGGTCAGATGTGGCTGTCTATAGCAGTTTAAATACAGTACTGACTGCAGGAGATTTAAAACATTTCTGTTACTTTGTAAGCTTTAACATATTAATGACTTACTTTGATCTTGCTGGAGTTCAAATTCCTTTAGGAGTTTCTTTTCCTTATCTCCTTTCTCTTTTTTGACCTTGACCTTTTTGGGTTTTTCCCCTCCTTCGGATCCATCCTTTGCTTTCTTTGGTTTGGACATGTCTCCGCCTTCTTCCTCTTTCTTCCGTTTCTTCTTTTTCTTTTCTGGGTCCTTTTCTTTTTTGAATTTCACAACCATTTTTTCTCTTTCAAAGTTCTCCTTTGGCACAATGTTTTCAGGACCCTGTGAGTATACAAAGAATTTCTATTATTTTCATTTGGTACAAGATAAAAACTTTTTCTGGAAAAAATTATTTACTTCAGAAAACTCCTTCCAACCTTAAACCAATTTAAATTGATCCATTAAATTTATCATGAACATGACTTACTTATTCACCAGTTCATATCCATGTATTGTAAACCATGAAATGTTTGTGTGGAGAATTTTTTGTTCATTTGCGATTAGTAAAGTTTAGCAAAATTTATCACCATGCAATCTCATACAAAGTACCCCACTAAATAACAAACAATATTTACAACTGCCTGTTTTGCTCCTTCCCATTAAATTAACAAATTCTTACAAGATCACTTTTGTATCTTCAATGTCTATATCAAGAAGTTCCCCCATTTAATCCTAAGTTCTGTTTAGATCCATTATTTACCTTATCTCCGATGTCCAGATCCAGCAGTTTCCCCTCCCCCCGGGGCTGACAGGCCTGTAAGATCCTCCAGATGTGCTGGGTCTCGTCCAGGGAGACTTCTAACAGGTCCCCCTCCATCATCAACTCCTCCAGCTGTTTCTTGGCGGTCAGTGACAGCTCTAGGACCGGGGCCTCCAGGCCAGACCGGGCCACCAGGGGGGACTTCCTCTGATGTTTCCTGGGGGAGGCATCTAAAGGGTAAAACATTAATGTCAGTACTTCACAAAGAACTTTACAGTACATCACGGAGTATTTCTAAAATGTCATTCGAAAAGTATAGATTAAATCTTGACAGCATTATCATAAACATTGATAACATTACATTTCATGAAGTTTACAATATATTTCTGTGTAACTTTTTTCCACGAACCTACATCAAGTACCAGTAATGAAATTTTGCATTAGTTTAGCATTATCTTACAATTTCTTAACTTTGAACACATTCACTAACATTGTCAATAAATCTTTAAATAAATTACTATCCCTAAAGGAAAATAATTGATTATACAGTGTCTTTTTAAAATTCATTACGGTTCTACATACTAGATCCGCCCTTTGAGGCTGTGGAATAAGCATGTTCTGACATTCCCGTGTGGTTAGTGCTGCTGGATATCTCCACCTCCATCTGAATGTCATCTGAGTTCTGTTCGGGGGACATGGGTGGTGACAGGGAGTTTTCTGAGTCCAGGAACCCTGAGTCCATCTGTTTCCCACTGATCACCCCTGATGTACCACCGAACGCACTCTGTGTCACGCTGGCCAGATGTCCCTGTAACTCAGGGTTGTTTGCTGCCTTCATTAACTCGGCATTAATTATCTTCTCTGTTTTCTCTCTGGCAGCCTGTTCTACCATCCTCTGACTCAGTACGCTGAGTTTGGCAAGAGCAGAAGCGAGTTCACTGGTGGTGAGAGCCTGTCGAGCTCGGTCCTGCCAGGCCATGGCTCGCTCGGTCAGGCACTGCAGGGCCTCCCCCTCCGGCAGACGAACGGGCAGCTTCTGTAGGGACACCAGGAGAGACAGGATGGTCTCCAGTCTGGGCCGGCGTGACCTCAGACACAGGGGACAGAGAAATTTGAGATCCTTAGCGGCCTGCACAGCGGCAGCCTGCTGAGATTTGTTCTTCAGGTTGGCAGATTTAGGCAAGGGGACACAGGTTCCTGTAGGAATAATACAAAACAGTTATAAACCATGGAGAAAGTATCATAATCACATGTTTACTGAAAATTTGATATTTTTTAATGCTTATTTTCTCTAATTTTAAAATCTTTAATTGAACATATGGTCATTGTAACATACTGTTTGAACCATGTCTGTATGAAAACAGATCACAGCTTGATTAAGTTGTCTTTATATTTGCTGTTTTTCAGAGATCAATACAGATAATAATGTATTTCTCATATATGAATTAAACAGCAAATCTTACTTCAAATTATAGGGACATACAGTGTAGATAATAGTCATTAATATATAAGCATATTGTATGAAGAAAAATGAGGTTTTTGTAGCATATAAAATCATTGGGAATATTTGTGGGTGTATCAGTCTGATTGAACTAGACAGTCATCAGGGGAGAGCCTAGCTCCAGTAGACTGAGTTACTCTCTGCTAGAAGACAAACACCACAAACAAATAAAGGTCAGATGTGGCTGTCTTTAGCAGTTTAAATACAGTATTGCCTACTAGAAGACAGACACCACAAACAAATAAAGATTAGATGTGTCGGTCTTAAGCAAATAAACATTTGTGACAAAATGAAATGTTATCAATCATAAGAAAGAGAACTGAAAAAGTAAGCAGTGGTCTTCAGTTTACTATTTTGACTTTGACCAGGTAAAGGTAGTTGTTATGTTACTGTAGTGAGTTAAGTCCCAGGTCCGTCACCTTCAAACCCAAGAGGATTCTGTGATGTACACATACAGAGAGAAGTAAAAAAAATCCTCTGAACTCTCTTGACAAAAGGTATTATCAAGGATTTTTAAAATAATTACATACACTTTATAGACATTGTAATTCCATATAGCTGGAAATTTTATGCAAGAAACATTTTTTTAAAACTGAATTTAATACACTTAATATGTGAGTGCTGGTACTGATTTCTTTCTTTGCAGAACTTGTACCAGTTTAAATCCATTGTATACATGTGCACAATGTACAGGTAGTTTAAGAGGAGTGACAAACAACAATCCTGACTGAGTTATACCTCTGTAACATACTGTATGAACCATGACTGTATGAGAACACATCACGGCTTGATTGAATTGTCTTTTATCTTTGCTGTGTAAGGAGAACAATACAAACTAGGGCTAATTGTAACGGGGACCGTTACAGATGTTCCCCAAACGCTCCCCAACTCCCTTTTGGTGCCATATTCCCTGTAAGCGCTATTAAATAAGACACACTTTATGCAATTTAGACTTAAACGTTTTTCCAGAAGAATACAAAATATATTTAAATTTTAGCATTGCACGCGTGCTCATCTGAATGCATGTGCGTGACCATATTATCTTGTCTAAAATATTTATATATTTTAATATACTTAATATCAAATCAATTAATCAAGAAGTATTAATAAATACACTCATTTAAGCGTATTTATATATATTTCGTTTCACGTGCACAAACGTGCATGAGGACTATACCTTCTTGTAGGCGTCTATTATGTCTGTCTATGTTCTAAATCCCATCCTGTTTGGTTGAAAAACAAGGGAGTTATAGCCATTTACAGTTTAAGCCAATAAGATTGCAGTGCACGTGCATGCGCGTGTTTTCACGACAATTGTTATATATTATTTTGTAGTACATGCTAAAGTATGTATATGTTTTAGATTTCATAGCATTTCGTCAAAAAACAGAAAAGATATTGAAATTTTTGTTTCAGCCAATCAGAACGAAGCGCACGTGAACGTACGTGCATGTATGTGCATGATGACCATACCTTCTTGTAGGAGTTTACTATATCTGTCTATGTTCTAAATCCCATCCTGTTTGGGTGAAAAACAAGGAAGTTATAGCCATTTAAAGTTTAAGCCAATCAGATTGCAGCGCACGTGCATGCGCGTGTTTTCAAGAAAATTGCTATATATCATATTGTAGAACATCCTAAAGTATGCCTGTATTTTAAATTTCATATAATTTCATAAAAAAACTGAAAAGATATTGAGATTTTTGTTTCAGCCAATCAGAGCGAAGTGCACGTGCATGCGCGTGAGTTCGTGCTAATTTGACAGTGTCATATTATCTACACTATTGATATGTCTTCATATAATGAGTTTCAAGTCATTTAGTTAAAAAATGCCAAAGTTATAGCTATATTAAGTATATCGGTCATTTCACTCATATCACGCGCACGCACGTGCATGCGTATGCACGCAAAATGACCTTCGTTCCGCACACCTACACTACACACCTATTAACCCTAAAAAGGTTTTAGCTTAGTTGGATGAACAGTTTTACAGACAAAAAAGTACCGGAGAACAAAGAAGAAAAAAAAGAATAATAATAATAATAATAAGAAACCGAGTAAAAACAATATGTTCCCAAACTCCGTTTGGGGAACATAATAATCATGTAGCTCTCATATAATGATTCAACAGCAAACTTAAGGATGTACAACACACCTACCCCAAAAAAATTCCTGTCGTTTAATTTTCGTTATTTTTGTATATTTAGTACATGACTATATCTACTGCATGTATGCATATTTTGGACAAAATCGTTCGAGTGGTTTTTGGACAGGAACAAAAATACCCCCCTTTAGTTGTTTACAAGGAGAGAAAATTTTTAATCAATGAACTACTTAAACCTAAATTTAAAAAAAACCAGGTTAGATATTAATGTCAAATTTCATTGGCTTATTCCTTTACCCATTCAACACAAAAGCATAGTCATCTTTTTGATATACATATCATCAAAACAATTTTTAAAGACCTTAAACTGAAAAACTATGAATTTTCTAAGCCTTGAAAATTGCGTATTTTTCAAAATTCAAATTTTTTTTGTGAAAAAACCTGTCGTTTAATTTTGGTAAAAAACTTTCTTTAGGTAGCTGGTAGTAAAAATAATCTTCATAATTTTTTGTATAATTTTTGTACGACAGTTTTGATTTAATAGCGGAAAATTACCCCCTCACCCTTTCTCAATAGATCACGTTCCCGCGCGTCTTTCAGACGGGGGTCGATCACTTTGTTATATGAATCTGCAAATACACATTTAAACCAGAAGTCTCTGTCGAGACTGTAGCTCTACTGGTTTGTACTTATAACAAAGGATAAGAAAAGAAGCCATTGCAATCAGACCAAAACTGTAGAAGGAGTGATGTTTTAAAGGAATTTCACGGACATTTCTATTTTTAGTATAATGGCAACATCATTCATCAAAATCAAAAACCGATGCACTATTTAATGTATCTTAGTGTAGTCTACTTGTGTGCCAAGTTAAATTTGAAACCAGACCAAAACTGTAGAAGGAGTAGTGTTTTAAAGGAATTTCACAGAAAATTCTATTTTTAGTAACCACGGCAACACCATTCATCGAAATCAAAAACCGATGCACAGAATTATGTGTCTTAGTGTAGTCTACTTGTGTGCCAATTACATTGAAATCGGACCAAAACTGTAGGAGGAGTGGCATTTTGAAAAATTGTTTACAGACAGACAGACAGACAGACAGACGGACGGATGACAGACACTTTAATATTGCATAGGCTCTTCTGGTCTCTGACCAGTAGAGCTAAAAACCGATGCACAGAATTATGTATCTTAGTATAGTCTACTTGTGTGCCAAATTATATTGTAATCGGACCAAAACTGTAGGAGGAGTAGCATTTTAAAAGAATTTCTCAGAAATTTCTATTTTTAGTAACCACGGCAACACCGTTAATCGAAATCAAAAACCCATGCACAGAATTATGTATCTTAGTGTAGTCTACTTGTGTACCAAGTAATATTGAAATTGGACCAAAACTGTAGGAGGAGTAGCATTTCGAAAGAATTTCACAGAAATTTCTATTTTTAGTAACCAGGGCAACACCGCTTATCGAAATCAAAAACTGATGCATAGAATTCTGTATCTTTGTGTAGTCTACTTGTGTGCCAAGTTATACTGAAATCGGACCAAAACTGTAGGAGGAGTAGCATTTCGAAAGAATTTCACAGAAATTTCTATTTTTAGTAACCAGGGCAACACCGTTCATCGAAATCAAAAACCCATGCACAGAATTATGTATCTTAGTGTAGTCTACTTGTGTGCCAAGTTATACTGAAATCAGACCAGAACTGTAGGAGGAGTAGCAGAAAGAATTTCACAGAAATTTCTATTTTTAGTAACCACGGCAACACCATTCTTCGAAATCATAAACCGATGCACAAAATTATGTATCTTAGTGTAGTCTACTTGTGTGCCAAGTTATATTGAAATCAGACCAAAACTGTAGGAGGAGTAGCATTTTGAAAAATTGTTTACAGACAGACAGACAGACGGACAGACAGACAGACGGACGGACGACGGACGCATTACTATCGCATAAGCTCTTCTGGTCTCTGACCAGTAGAGCTAAAAAATTAAAGTGGAATATTGCTTTTGCTTGAAAAATATATTAACTTACAAATTTAAAAGTCATATGTAAAGCGTATTTAAATGTAGATTTTTAGGCAATTTTTGAATACCCCTATCACCCCCACCCCTACCTTTTTTGCGTCGCAGACCATAGCGTTTCACGAAACGTCATTTACAATGCAAATATACTGGTATTTCGTCAAGAATCCTGGAGGTATGCATTAGTTTTTATATTCATGAATGCAGAATAAATATTGACTACTCTTTTTATATGTATCAGGAAAAAATTACTGAAAGATTTTAGTGTTTAGTCCATATACGTATGCGTTATGCATTACACATCACATGAAACCTGGATACGAATTCAAGTTTTGTTGAACTTGAATATGTTGATTTTTAATTTTATTTCTTTAATTTTATTCATTAAAAAATGGTGTATGTTCAACTCTCCTGTGATATAAATGGAATAATTGTAGTTTCTTTCATGTCATTAATATTTCAAACGAGACAGTATGTGGCCGTGGGGATACATCGACATTTGAATTAGATGTATACATACACTCCTCATGATATTGTACGCATTTCTTTCAATGTCGTCGCTTCTAAAGTTTAAATGAAAATTCCGTATTCGTCCACATTAACTTCAAAATATCAAACATTAGACTCTTCATTTATTTCAATTTATATCAAATCGCACAGTGATATTTTTAAAAATCTTATAGGCTACGTTTTGTTTTGATTCGAGGAAATACCGACATTGTTGAGCAGAAAGTCAGAAGTTACGATTTGCTGCAATAGGATATTCATAAATGCAGATAATTTCAGTACAAGTGGACATTCTTTTCAATTCTATACTTACTTTGTGTATATGAGGTCTATAGTATTCAATTCTCGGATTTATCAGGTCTTGCTGTACTGTGGAAAACCGTGAATAAAAGGGGGGGAAATAAACATCTCCTACATTTTCAGAGTTGTTCCTCTTTGATCAGTAAGGGTCTAAGAACAACATCGATTTTACATTGTAAAAAGTTTTTTGTTCATTTATTGTTGTTTTATTTAGTTAAAGAAGAAAAATAATACATGTATTCATATCGTGTATGCACAAATTGTAATGAAATTGAAGATCATTAATCGGAATGTTATATAGCCAATTGTACATAATGAGAATTTCGGCAATGTAAAATAAAATTTTCAGAATAAAAAAAAAAATGCTGCGCTTTGATAAAAAATACAATTTATTGTATATGAAATGAAGTAAAATAAATACTTATTGATTGAGTATGGTACGCACAAACACAGCCAACCCCCCTATCCCAATTTTCTTTCATGATTGATATACATCGGGATCGTTTTACTCGTCGTTTTGACGCTTTATTTTTGACGTTTAATTTGACGTCACGTCAAACGTTCAATTGAAATCGCAAGAGTTATCTCCCCCAGTGTGTTGTACGTCTTTAAGAGTTTTGTGGTAAATCTTCCTCTATGTATGAAAGGAGATGGAGGTGGGATGGGTGGGGTCGTTTTGCTAAAACTAATATCAATTTTTATACCGATACAATTAAATATATATGTTTCTTATTTATTTCATTTCTTTGGGAATTCTGTGAGACTTGATATCATAATTATAACTTTTCAGTCCAAATGAAATTCTAATATTCAACAGACCAAAGCTTCCTAAAATAATTAAGCTGCTCTACAAAGGGATTCCATGACTTGATTTACTCACCGTGGAACCAGTCTTTACAGAGCTCGCATTGTAACATGAATCCCGATCCCTCTTTACGACAGATGCAGTACTTGGCCTCTCCGTGTGGCTGGCGGAGCTTGGCAGAGTTACGGTCCCTTAACTCTCTCATCAGTTCTATCTCTCTATGCTCAGCCATTTTGAATGCAGCAACCTGTGACAAAAAAAGAAATCAAGACACTGATACTTTTTGTTTTGCTAAATTGGCTAAAAAATAATTACAAACCCATTACTTGAAAAACATGCATTTTTCATTTTACTCCTAAAAATCTGTAAACAAATTTTTAACGAATTTATAAGTAAAAATAAAATGATCTAAATGAGAAGTTGAAAAAATTGATATACAGACATCTTCCTGATTATTACAAGTACATGTACATGTATATGAAGAATACTGATGTATAGTATACATTATGGATTATAATAGATAAATGACTTACAATAGCGGCAGGATCTCTTTGTTCATCCACTCTGTAATCTGACTGGTTGTTATTCTCGCTGTCACGGCGATCTCTTCCCTCCTCTTTGATCTTTTTCTTTACTTTCTTACTACCACTATAAATTCCTATGTCAGCTCGGGGTGACAGAACCTAACACAACACAATTGTAAATATATTAATTAACTTATTACCATTGTGACAAGCTTCTTCAAACCTTCAAGTATTTTCTGTCCTTCAATAAAAATCCCACAAAGCATCACTAATGAACAAATACATATATTACTTTACGATTTCTTTGGGGCTTAAAAGTTCATCAGAGGAAAGTCACCACTAATTGATATGTACATGTGTATATAACGATAAAAAAATCCACCTGAAGTTAATTTTGACAATAAAATTGCAAAAATTGTAAAATTAATGCATGTACAGCTTCCTCTAAAATGTACACTGTACATGAAGGGGCAAATTTTGAAAGAAAATGTAGTAATAAATCCAGGTACATGTATGCAATCATTGGTGACTATGCATAGTTTTTCCTTCAGCAAGTTGTGTAGTTCTATACCAGTTCTAATCAAATACAAGTACTGTAAAGGTTCAATACAAATAGAAGTGTGATACTAGTACTATACAAGTCCAGGAATCCTACCTCTAGTAAAGAGTATGTACAGTTTTTCTTTAGGAAGGTTCTGGCGGTCCTCTCCCGCCACGACTTGGCGGCGGCAACCTGAGACTCCACCTGTGGTAGCTGGTCCAGACGGACTGGAATAGGACGACCTTTGTTCACCAGACTCTCCAGAGCATCCAGATAGGGGTAGGAATCCGAGTTCTACAAATACGCAAATAGGGAAACATTTCAGAACAAAAAGTTGTGTAATGAAAAGACAACAGACAGCATTACTTGATAAAGTGTAAAATTTATCATAAGAGTGATACTGAACAGTCTTTAATATATCTGTGCCAGCCTCTACACATTTTCTTGCATATTTTACTAAAAACATGTATATGGAATTTCTAACCTGTACAGTCTCGACTTTCTGCGTCCAATCCTTTGCTTTCTTCAGAGCGTCTTTGAGTGAGCTGACATTGGGTAGGAATGCTGGGATACCCTTGGCCTCATTTATAATGGCTTCCAGTGTTGCCATCACATGACGGGGCCTGAAATACACAAGTGAACTTTTTATCGAGTATTCTCCTTTAATATGTATTTATTCCTGTAAGACAAGTCTGATAAAATACAATTTTGCTAAGAAATGAAATAATTTATGATAGTAATACGATAAAACAGTAGTACAAGAAATCACTAGGGCTTCGTATTTGATTTCATTTCCTTAAAAGGAACATACTGAAAAGTCATCTAGGGTTTTCATAAATAGTTCCATCAGAGATTTTCCTTACAACATATTTCTTTTGAACCAAGTTTTACTGCAAATGTTTTTAATAATACTTCCACACCACACCCTCTTTGATCCAGCCTTGCCCTTACCTGGCCTGCAGACAGATCCTGGCCTTCTCCTCCCACCTCTCACTGACTGTCAGTAGCTCCTGTAGTTCAGCCATGGCCTTCTCTACAGCGGGGTGAGGGGCCAGCCCCACCCCTGCCTCCATCAGCTTCCTCATAGACTCCAGGGTGACCTGCTGCTGATCTTCTAGGAGGGTCAGTTTGACCTCATCAAGCCATTTGGCTTGCTGCAGCACCTGTTGAAAATTCATACATTTCTTCTTTATCAAATCCAGTAAATATTATGATTTGCATTACGAATTTTCCTTGTGTTATTCAAATATTTAATTGAATGGGCTTAACAAAATCAATGCGCTGCATGAATAAATGGATATATCTTTCGTAACTGACTGTTTATTTTTATAGCAGCATAATTTACAGTGTATTAAACAGTGAAACCAAGGAATTGCAAGTAGCCATTATGTGAAAGGGTTGGAGTTGCTGTAGGAAATATTATATTACTTACGAGATGCCTAATATAGCAAATAATATACTGTAAGTATATGTACTGCATATGACATCTGGTGGGAATTGATTTTTCAATAAGTTACATGTAGCATAGACTTGATTACACAATGTATGCATTAATAAACATTTATGCAATTTAGCTTTGAACTACTTGATTAAGTGGAAGCTGCTTTCTTCCAAAGGCACCCAACAGAATACATAACGTAATGTTATGATTTTACAGGAAATTAAACTCAAACAAAAACTAATATAATGCACAATAAGGCCCCAATAATCTTTTGTCCCTGGCACTTCATTGTAAGCATGTTTTACTGTACAGACAAATACTGATATAATGCACAGTAACCTGACCTGCTTCAGTTTAGGTATCTCCTGGAGATCTACATCCAGCGTGACGCTGAACTCAATCAGCTGTTCTAACTTCTCCGAGTCCGGACTCTCGGCTTCTAACGCCTCCTGGGCCTCTCTCTGGAACTGTACTACCTTATCCAGTAGCTCCTGTGTCAAGATGTTACATGTAATAACATTATATAGCTTTACATAATCAACATTATTACACCTCTACTGTTATTACTCTATATACATTTAATACCATAAAACTGTCTATTTCCTCGAGAAGAGACTATTTCCCTCATCTGAGGACTACTCCCTGAAAAATCAAAGCTATTCCCCTCGGCAAGAAACTTTTTTCCTCGGGAAATAGTTTCCTCCCTCAGGGAACCATAAATTTGATATTTTCCTCCTACCCATTCCATAACTGTATACTATCTCAAAATGTTCAATACAATCTCAAGCTTGTATTTATGCCTATCTTTTGCAAAATTTACAAACTAAATGTAAATCTGATACTAAAAAAATTAAATTTTACAAATTATTTTGTCCTGTTATGATTTTTATTAACTTTCAGGTAGAACAGGTAACAGGTGCTTACCTTGACCAGTTTGGCTTCCTTGATCACACACGCCAGACTGGCCACTTGTTCATAGAAACAGTTCAGTTCATCTAAACTTAGCTTGGCTATGTATTTCCCTTCATTGTGGCGATTTCTGAAAGTTAATTTATAAACAATTAATAATGTATGCATTTATTCCTTTACTTAAAAATTTTCTTTGCTTTAAATCACAGACAAGACATAGTAATAAGCTTACTAACACTGACCTCGTTCTGGCTTTCTTGGACACCAGCTGAGCCGCCACATTAGCACATTTCTCTGCCTCATTGACGGCCATGACTAACTGCTGCATCAACTCGGAGTCCGGGAATCTCTTCTCTTCTGCTTCACTGATGTACTCCTTCAGATCGGACAGATCTACAACAAAAATTGTAAATTTTATACTGTAAACCAAGTATTATACGCGTGCGATAAATATCCGCGAGTTCCGCGAGTAACCTCTGCTCGCGGATATTTATCGTCGCGAACCAGTCGTTCATTTTCCCATGTTATGATTATAGTTATTTGCTCTTTTTTGAATACCGATCCCAACTCAATAAGTTCACGGAAGAATTTTAGTGTTCTAGAAGCAGTTGAAGTTTAATTACAAACATTCAGAAAAAATATATAAACGAATGGAAAATCTGAAAATATTTGTCTAAAAACGATTAAAATGTCAATAAATATTTCAGCTTGTGTTATTATTGTTCATTTATTGTCACAGACGAGTTAGAGATAGCCTGGTTAATTACGACTAATTATTGCTCAGTCCTGCTCTGTCCCAACCATTTATAATAATTGTCCTTTGGCTATGTAGATCTTGTAAAGCGTCAATTACCCAATTAGCATGAGGTACTTTTACACTTGAGAGTTTTAAATCGACTTTAATCTCCTCGATTTTTTTTCCCGATTTTCATTCGAGCATTGTGAATAATGCGTAAGAAGTACATGTATACTCATGGTAATAGTTTACCTACTTTAGGTGCGGATCTAAGATTTTAAATAGATGCAATCCACATAATGTCTTGAATAATAAATAAGCAGTACTCACGGTAGCATTTGACCTAGTTTTTGAGCGGATATAAAATTTTAATTTGAAGCAAAAAAACTTGTGGAAATAAAAAAAAAATGACCATTCGCGGAAATAAATCGTTTATATAGTGAATAAAAAAACGTATAATAATTGGTTTACAGTATACTGTAACTTTATACACTGTAACTTATACTCCACTTAACCCAGACACTTAATGGCTTAGATTCTAATCAAGATTTAACACACTTCAAAATTTTCAACAACACATTCAGGAAATTAAAAATATCCTTCCACTTGTGTTTTAACAAGATAAAACATTCATTTAAAGCTACAAATTATTTATTGGAAAGAATATAATTAAGTTTCTCCATGACATTTTTTACGGTCTGAACAATGAACCTGTGATATTTAAGATAAATAACTTCCAACAATTTTGTGCTAGTGATTAATCCTTTAGCTCTTTCAATAGAGAAATGGACAGGCATGCCAGTGGTCACAGGTTCAAATCTATTCAGAGATACAAACATAATATGACACAACTTACCAACTTTCTCATCCACTTCAGCCTCCAGAGCTGCTCTGACTTTGGTTGTCCAGTTGTCAAATGATTCGGCACGTACTTTCAGACGATTGAGCATTGTGGGTAATTCATCTAGAGTGTATCTATATCTCAGGCAGTATTGTGATGGTTTACAAACACACAGCTTGTCCACATGGTGAATACAAACAACTTTATCTACAAACAAAAGAATATACTGTAACTAGGATGAATGACAATATGCAGACATACTTGGAATTACAATGTAAGTAAATACATGTATAATTGGTTGACAAATTTGTCAACATACTTGGTTTACATGGACAGGTGACAGCAGACAGGAAGCAAGTGGTTTTACAGAAGTCACATTGTCGCTCGTCGTCAGGGAGCAGTTCAAACGCCTCACGCTCCGCCTCCTTTGTTCCCTGTAACATGAAGTAAAGAATAACATCAAATAATGATTGGCTTCTTTCCCAAAACATGATTTCTCCATCCAATTATCATGTGAACCAGTATGTAACAATATATATGCCCAATATGTAACAGGTAATATGTATTTTGACCTCTTCTACAACCCAACTAATTACCACGATATCCACTTGTGAGAATCCTCACTATTAACCTAAGGTGTTGATTTGCAATTTTAAATTTGGTTTTTAATTAGAAATTTTCTCGAAAAACATCAGATCATAGCTTACCATCTATGCAATAGCAGTGTCAAGTTAAACAAGGTCATTTTGATACATCGTGCTTTATAAATAAGTTTGAAATTAATTTCTAACCATTTCCAGCAGGCTTTTGCGTTGTTTCCTTTCATCTTCCACAATAGCAAGCAGATCTTTGTGAGTGCTGGCTGCAATGATTAGGTCTAGGTTATCTGGATCAGCTGCCATTTTACATACTAATTCCTCATGTGAGAAAACACACTGACGACACAAAGATCTATAGTGTTCAATACAGGCACGTCCTATGGGTAACTGGAAAAATGAAGGATATTTTAAAACATGATATACGTACAGAAAAAAATATTGGGCAAATTTTGAACAAGAAGATTTGTCTCCGGTAGAATGTCATGTGAAGATCTTGAACTTACCCAGTCAGCTGGTGCAAAGTTTACAGCCTCAGCAAAGTTGTAACCCTGGTTGAAGCCAGCATGGTAGGCTCGGGGGAAGGTTATGATAAACTCTCCAGCATGTTGGTTGGTGCGTACAATCTACAGAAAAAAATAAAGTAAACCAAACTTAAAACGAAGTGCCAGGGACAGATGATTTTGCTTCGTTATAAATGCAATTCCTTATATAAGTTACATGTATGTTTACAATTTATTTGAAAGTCGAGACAAATGAAAATTACTTCACTGTAAGCGTTAACTCTCTGTAAGCCTGTTTTACTGTATGTCAGGAACAGCACTCATTTCTTTTGAGTAGTGTGGTCAGTGACTTAAAGCCATAGTTTTACTTACTGGAACCCCATGGTCCATGAGAATGTTGGGGTTCATTATAGTGGTCAGCTGATGAAGAAGGTCTGGGGAAGCTTCAAACAATTCGGGGGCACTCTTCTTCATCACATCTTCAAACAAATCAGCCATGGCTCCAGGGACTCCGTACCAAGTCTTTGGTTCTCCCCTGAAATAAAACCATGTTAATGAGATCTCATAATTTATATTCATTCAACTGAATAATTCTCAAAAGAAATTTAAAGTACAGATCAAATCAGTTGACTATTCCAGAACATGAAGTATGAAATTCCATATGATGGAGGAGAACTAACCAGTGCATGTAGTTGATAGAGTAACTCCAGTGATCCTCATTGTGCCAACAAAAACTGGAAAAACACATCCCCACATAGCACCAGGGAATCTGTAGATAACGAAAATAGTAAATGTATATCATTATACTGCATCACCATGATCAAAGAACATTTTAAAAGAAAATATCACAAACTACTATTCTTTAGTTGTATTTGATAGGAACACCCAGTGAGTGAGGAGTACCCACCTTCATGCCTGAGATGTCAGCATTAATGTGACAGAGAACAGACTGCTCCAGGACTGGTAAATTGTTCAGATTCCACCCAGAATTGATGTATTCCTAACAAAACAGAGAGATATCTTACTTCATGTACTTCAAAATCCACTCGTTCATAATCATATAATGAAAATAGATACAATTCAACTCAGCATCTCAAATATTGATATCTTCAATACTATTGTTATATCAAAGTGATAAGAAAGTCCAAAGTACTTTTCTTTTATGTACTTTTCCTAAATATCTCAAAATCACAGATATCTCAAAGTTTTGTTTAGGTCCTGTCAAGTTTGAGATAACTAGGTTTGTTCTTTAATAAATAAATGTAATTTTTTTTTTATAAAACAATTAAAACAATAAATTCAACTGTTGCATTAATTTCTGCCCATTACCTCATCCTCTGGGAACATCTCCTTGGTGTCCTTAGTTGGGAAGCCGCTGCCCATTTCTGAGGCGTGGATATCAGCTCCGTACTCTACTGATACGTCCTCCTCAATACAGTTAACCAATCGCCAGAATTCCTTCTCCACCATCTCACACGGCACCATCTACATACACAAAAGGCTGGGGTTATTTTCTTAAAGGTCAGTTACCAATTCTATTCAGTACTCTGTTGCCAGTATTGAAATTTTACATTACACACTTTAAAAATAATTCTTAACGATTATATAGACTTACTTGTATGAAGTATGTACAGAGTTCTTTGAAAAACTTTTTCATTAACTAATATCAAACAAGTTTGAATTCCAATATTTCAGAAAAAGACCCAAATGAAATCAAAAATTAAATTCAGTATGCATAAAAGCCAATTTTAGTCATTAGAATAACAATCAAGTTGCCACTGTTGCTTAAAATAATTGTACACTGAAGGGCCACTTACATGCACTGGCATGTTGAAGTAGTTGGATTTAAACTGGTCAGCCATTTCTCCAAAACTCTGCAGACTATAGTCCTTTTTAGCTTGTTCAAATCCATAAGGGTTCATAGGACGACAGCAAGCCTAGATTACATAAGAAAATGTGTCTATGAACAGTGAAAAACCTAACATTAATTTTATATCTTGTAATCAGGATAAAGAAATCATCTACATACTGAGTTCTTTAGATTCTCACCTTTGCCACACATTTAGGACATCTCCAGTCCCCTTTAGGGACCTCAGGCATGGGAGGGATTAGGCAGTACGTATGGAATGCATCATCACATCCGTCACATAGCAACATGTACTCCTCCCCATCACCGCGGTTACACATGTGACAGATGTACAAATCCACCTATAACACACAATTTACTTTTATGTAATTACCAACTAAACTGTTTGTCCTCTGATCGTTGTTTGTCACTTTTCTTCTGTTATTAAATTTCAATTATCTTTAATCTCTGTTATCAAATCAGACTTGCTTTCAACATATATTACAATGGTCTTATACTGACATTTAGAATTAAACATGATTGTACAATCAATTTAAACTTGACATGAAAAACTTGTCAAAAAGCTTCTTCAATAAAAGACATGACAATGTTAACAATTAACATCGTTGACAAAAGTTGCCCTCGGAAAATGCTGAACTGACACATTGCTGGTGGCTGTCCTGTGTAAGACATACAGTGGTGTATGCCCTTACCCCAATAAGATTTTCCGTGGTGTATGCCGCTGACCCAAATAAGATTTTCCGTGGTGTATGCCGCTGACCCAAATAAGATTTTCCGTGGTGTTGCCGTTAACAATTAACATTTTCCGTGGTGTATGCCGCTGAAAAGTTTCCGTGGTGTATGCCGCTGAACTGACACATTGCTGGTGTATGCTGTCCTGTGTAAGACATTTTCCGTGGTGTATGCCCCTGACCCAGATAAATTTTTCCGTGGTGTATGCCCCTGACGCAAATAAGATTTTCTGTGGTGTATGCCCCTAGCCCTAGGTCAGACTTACCTTAGTGTATGCCCCTAGCCCAGATAAGATTTTCCATGGTGTATGCCCCTAGCCCTGGGTCAGACTTACCGTGGTGTATGCCCCTAGCCCAGATAAGATTTTCCATGGTGTATGCCCCTAGCCCTGGGTCAGACTTACCGTGGTGTATGCCCCTAGCCCAGATAAGATTTTCCATGGTGTATGCCCCTAGCCCTGGGTCAGACTTACCGTGGTGTATGCGCCTGGGCCTGGGTTTTTATGTCTGGTGCTAACACCTCCTCCATTCTCCAATGGTTCTACCTTAATCTCATCTAAAATCAATAAAGACAATAAGCTGATATTATTGTAATCATGTAGTGATTTAAGATATCTGTACTTCACTGCAGATTCTTTTTTTTCTAAATTTTCATACATTTTTCATTAGAACAAATCCAAAACAAACACCACATACATGTACATATTTTAACAATTAAACTTTAATTTTTATAAAAAAAAAAAAAACTGAACCTTTGAGTTCACCTTTTCCTTCCCCGGCTGGGGGGACAGCAGCTTTCGGTCCAGCTCCAAAGAACTGTAACTTCTTCAGTTCTGAGTTCACATTGTAGTCAATGTCCATCTTCTCCTGAAAGAGGAAAAAAATCATAAAGTTACGCTATCAACATTCAACATAGCCGTAGTACATGCCTTAGCACCAGAAGCAATGTAAGCAGCAGCAAATATCTTCTGAGGAATCACTGTGTAAAAATATTATCAGCCGAAAAACAAAATTCAATCTTCTCATTATTTTCCATTTTCAATATTGCTAGGATTGTGCACCCTCTAGCATATCGAGTGGAGAATAGTTGGAGAAAGGCAAATGTTTCACACTTTAAATGTAGGCAAGTGAAGATTTTACATGCACTTGAGGACCTCAAATATTTTTTAGATCTGTCCAACAATTAACACTGAATTATATTATATTTACTTGCTAAAGTATTCCTGAGGATCTGACTCTAAATCACTCCCTTATGTGAAACATTCAAACAACACATTAATGATTTAAATAGTAATGAATATGATAAGCAATAAAGTACTAACAAAATATTGATTTGCTATCTAAAATATTCTTGATTAAACATTTCAAAGGCTAAAAAAAAAAGCATTTTTCAGGCTTAAATTCTCTTTTTTTCAACACCCTTAATATGAAAACTGTGTTGTACCTTCATCATGTTCATGATTTTTTTTCACTTGAGTTTTATTAGCACATTCAACCCAACATGAGTGGTGATTTTTTTTTTTTTTTTGGAGAAAAGTTGAATCAAAACGGAGCTGCCTAAATGTCACCATAACCATGAATAGTATTACACATACCAGAGTACAGATTAATATGGTATTATAAACAACTAGATGATGTTTTATTAAGAAATATAAGTTGCTATTCTATATAGGTTATAATGAAACATGGGTCTATCATTATTTTTAGCTTCAACATCAACACTGATTAACATGATTAAGCATTTTTAATAGATATTTTATTCAATTACAAGGTCTTTATGAAGAAAATGCTACCTGCTGATTTCAGTTCAAGTATCAAGTCTAACTTAAAAGCTTGAATTGCCATTGTATGCCCAAATTCAAAGAAAGTATTGATGTGGCAAGATGTTCAAAATGATTCTCTTTCAGAAGAAGGTTCAAGTATATTTGATTTTTCATACATATTGCCAAAACATGCAGTATCAAAGAACTTTCCGAGAACTTTCATTTCCATAATATTGCAGGATAATTGATGAGGATTAGTTGTGTACTTCTACTTGCTGTATGATGTGAAGCTATAAATAATGATTCGGGGGAAATCTCAAAAGCAGCACTCACTAAGACTGTGGGGACTTCATCTGTGTCAGAGGGAAGCTTGAAAACAAAAGGCTTATTTAGATTTCTCAAACAGTAGAATAAGTGTATCAAGATGGAGCAATTTAGGAAATTTGAAAAACATTTACATTTCAGTCCTCGTAACTCAGATAAGACTAAAGTGGATGAAAAGAACTGAATTTAAAATAACACGCATAATTATATCTCAAGAAAATAAGGAATAATCACAAAGAATTGTACATCCAAGTTCTAAATAGAGAAAAGTCATAAATCACAGAGCAATGGAATTATAAAGTAATTCAGATACATTAACATTGATTAAGCTGATACTGTGAAAAACAAGAAATATGTTCTATTGGTATACACCAGCTTTTATGATGTCCAGATAACATTCTGTTCTACTAACCTGTTTCTGTGCTCTTTCTTTCTTGTTTTTGCGAGTGTATCCCCCTGCTGCGGTTTTAGCTGCTATTCCGTGAGGTTTGTAATCTTTGTCGGACTTGTCCTCCTCTTCAGCATTTGAAGACAAATCTGGTTTTGGTTGCTAAAACAAACAGAATCAGTCAAGTGAACTGCAATATTTACATAACATATGCAAAATAAAATTTCACTGCTGCACATGCTTTATTACTTTGTAGTCATTTTTTAAGTTACTGTTATTAATCAATTCTCTTTCTTTCATTTTGGATTAAACTGAGTTCCGAAATTTAAGCTTTTTAATTATATTATATATAGGTTAAAAATTCAAATCTTAAAGAATTTAAAGGCTTTTTTATATGAAAACTGGCTTCACAGAAATTCAAGTTCTTCTGACATAAGTTGGTAAAACATTAATTTGTCTTTTCTTTGAACTCTTTTATATCCTACAGCCCTTGGTTTTATTACATGTACCTCAGCTGGGTAGGATTCGCCTTTCTTGAAGATGAAGAATGGGTAGAGGATTCTCTCGTAGTGAGATCGGAGGGATCCCCCCACCCCCTTTCCTGGAGGATACTTTAACCTCTGGGCAATCTTGGACCATTTCCTTTCTTTGGTGGCCAATTCCATACCACCCTCTTCTTCAACAGCCTACAAAATTCAGGTGTGTTACTTATAATTTGGGTGTAAGTTACTTGTGTTCAATTAAATTACTGTAGTTGTTTCAAAGAACATGGTACAAACTGTTGTTTTATCTGAATTCATTACATCATAAAATATCACATTACTGAAACTAACTTAAAGTTTGGATTTAGCTTTTTTATGCATGTTAAACTCAGATATAAAAAAAAACAATTATTTTAATCCACTAATTCCCCCACACATTATGGAAGCCTGTGTGGGACTTACCTTGTACAAATTGTACAGGTCCAGTAGCTTTCTCTCCACATGGGGGATTTTCAAAGAACAGCCCTAAAATTATACAGAAACATGAAGTAATAAAACATTTTGTAAATTACTCCAAACAATTATAACTGTTAGAGTATTTCATTTGGTTGTGTATTCTTTTTTGTGCATTTAAAAAAAAACAACATCTGCTTATTCAATAATCATGTATATCACTTAATGTCTTCCACATAAAGAAAAACACTACCAGCTGAACTAATTTAAATCCAAGCAAACATCCTCAAAAATCAATGTCCGCCAATTATCGTACATGCTAAATACAATACATTTACCAGTATGTGATATTTGCAACAATTTTTCTAATGTAAAATATCGGCTTACCTGCAGCTCCCAAAATCTTGCAAGTTGATCCAAAAAGTTAAGTTTAATCCGGGTGAAAGCCTACAGATGGTAAAAATTTTCATTCATACAATTATATGATCACATTGAAAATTGCAAGGTATGGTATTATCATGATCATGCAAACACATTTTGAATTTACTGGGTAAGTAATAAATGGTAAATATATGCAGTTCTTAATTTTTTTCATATCCACCAATACATAAACTTTAAAAAATGCTTGATAATGACCTTTTAAAAATGAGCAGGTATCTGTTCATTTAATCTACTGTTAATATGTAATTTTTAAACAAAATAATCTCTCAGAACCAATCTCTCACTTCTCATGTTTATAACATTCATTACTATGATTATAATTAGCAGCCAAATTTTTTTTTTCTAGTTTCAGTGTTTTCCCTTTATTTCAAAGTAAAGGGTTAGAGATCATTTGTAACACAGGCTAGGGGCTAAGGTTTATGAACAGAATCTCTGTGGACCTTAAAAAAAATGTTCATTTCAAAGTGCATTTTTGTCAATTGTTCAAAGAGGTCAATTTCACCGGTAGTCAGTCCTTAATGAAAACATTTATTTTATTAATTTGTGTACAAAACTCAAGTCTCAACAAGTGTATAATTTAAAAACTTGTTTAAATATATATGTGTCCTACCTATAGATAGGTTTTATAAACTTGATAGATAAAACTTTTCATAAATGTGATAAATTAACACAATTTCAGAATTACAGTAAACAATGGTAAAATGCACCTCCCAATATCATTAGCCCCCCTTTCAAAAAAAGGTAAACATTTTCGAACAAAGAGTAATGAAGTTCTGATCAAGTAGCTTCTTCATAGTAATAACTAGAAAACTATTTATTGTACGACACAGAGCTTTGTTTAAAATCATATAAATATCATCTAAATTTTAGATTTCAAATTCCAGTCCAAAACGATTTAGACAAACACCTAACGGTAATTTTTTTTTTCTTATTAATTTATGCAGAAATAGTTCACATTACCAATAAAAATACTTCTCTTATTTATTCCAGATCTTTAATAGTAATCACCAAGGACACTGAATTTAATCATCATGATTGAAAAAGTTGAAAAAATATAATCCTTACCTCAAGTTCGTTTAATCTCTGAACTCTCGGAGTAAATCTGAATTTATCTACATCCACTGCGAATGGGGGCTGCCAATCCTGAAATAAAGCGAATCCTCGTCACAATAAAGTCCCATGTATAACACCATTGAATACACAAAAGAAGATGGCTTCCTAGAATCACAGGCAGCCATATTGGATTTGAATGTATCCACTTTTTTCCATTGCCTGATGATCTTAAATTCACTTTTTTCATTTCATCTAAGAAAAATTCACATTTTTTCACCATTATTTACTTTAGCAGGAAGAAAATCAAATTTCTCTACAAAAAATACAGAAACTCCCTTCCCTTGACCTTTTGAGGTTGTGGTAAAATAGTCTGGATAATGTATGCAACTGGAGAATGTGTAAAGAAATGGTTTGGGAGAAAAACACTGATAAAACTTAATTTGCTATTTGATTTGTATTTCCAGAACTTCAAGAAATAATCATTATAATACATGTCATATGAATAGTGTTCTGATATACAAGTGGTTGATGCCACGATTTAAAACTTATTGTTTTATCATTTTAAAAATAATTTCTGAATTCCAGAAATATGATCTTTTTTTATTCTTTAATGTTAGTTCAATTTACAATTTGAAATATTTAAACCACTATTTAAATTGTAATTTTATAAATATTTGCTTTAACTCCATGATCTTGAAGTTGTTCAATATAAATATTTAGGGTGTACATCTCATTTAAAAAAAAAAAACAAAAAAAGCACTATTTGTGTACATTACAGTTACTAAAAAGTTCACATTTATCATAAAATTAATAATGCTTTTTTTAAATGAACTCTTTCTTCAAAAACATTTTTAAAATTTATGTTTTACTCCCTGCCTGATAACAACAAATTTATATAATTTTTGTACACATCTAACCTGAAGATTTGATCCTTCAAATTGATCCTTCAAATCTGAGTAAAAAACATATAAAGTACTTGCAATCAATGTGAAATATGCTAATGAGTCATTCTATATTTGGGCAATGGCTAACCTAAAGAAAATCTTTAGGTAACTGGGGAAAATGTAAACAATTTGACAAGTTTTTAGGTTAATATTTAAAAGAAAGACCCAAATTGACTGCATATTCAATAAAGGAACGATGTATCTATTTGTGTTATTTGGTGGACTTTTCTTTTGCAGCATCTGTCAAATCCCTATGGTCAAACAATGCGTCGCCATGTTTGCTCCATTACAATGCACGTACCCTAACCTGCGAACTTACTGTCTTGCGCTAGTTTTAATTCACCCACTATTTCTGCATGTTAAAAAGAACGCATTTATTAAAATCAACAAAGAATAACAAACCGGTGGAGGTTTAATTTTGCATATTCCTGTCTTTTCGGCAATAGGTTTTATTTTTGCAATGTATCCTAGTGGATCTGCGAATTCTTCCTCAGTGGGAGTGAAAACCGGTGCCTCTGGGGGAGGAATAAAATTAATGTATGGTTCATCCATTACTGACACTTCAGAACCGTCTTATAAATCCAAGAAATCACGAGACCTTGGTCATTTAGCAACACTAAATACTCAGTAACATTATTCAACACATCATAAAAAGCCAACAATATCCAATATGTGTATTGCCCAGGAACTCATGAACAAGGAGTTTCCGCTTAAGAAAATAGGTCTAGTTTATTAAATTATTACTTCAAAACTTAAATGCAATATTGACTTAAATATTTAATTTAGTAAAGTATTTATTAGAATAACATTTAAAATTATGTTTTTTTAATGGGAAATAGGTTCAAACATGTAGAAAGTGAGTACTGAGCGTAGGAATATAACCAAACAAGGTCATGATTGGTCACTTGAAACGTATAAGGCTCGCAACAAAAATGAAAGCGATTAACAATAAAATTGAGATGGGGATGATTGACAAAAAATTTAGTTTAAGATTTCAAAAATTCATAAATATTTACAAAAATTTAGCTTCAAAATAAAAAAAAAATCAAAGAAAACATAACTGCGGGACTTGAAGCGGAATATTCAAAATGGCGTCTGCAAGTTGTAACACATAACAACAAATTGAGCAAAACCAGTACATGAGTAAGGTTTGTGGATAATCAAAACGCATCTTTTTAAATTAACACATGGAATACATTTTAAAGCTGTTTTGCATGTGTTAATGTTTATTGTAAGTTATCAGAGTCATTGAGTAAGAAGAAAATAAGAAATGCAGGTTTAGGCTTGTCAATAGACTCAACTGGAAAAAAGTGAACATGGTAGGATGGGAATAAAAATTTTTCCTCATGCATTTTTTTCCGCTTGCCATACGGATTTGCTGATATTTTGATGAATTTTAGGTAATTATTTGTCCATACATGTGATAGCAATAGCCATAGGGAAAAAGAATTCTACATTAACATTAGTTAGAATAATCTAACTGTGTCTCGGTACAGGCCCTCACCACAGTTAGAATACGTCCCATATACTTGTAATGTAGCAAATCGGAGCGGATCCGCTCTGAATGTAAATTTTTTGAAGAATATAAAATGATTTGCACAGGGAATAACTACCAAAATAATCAAAACAAACCTTCTTGAGATTGCTTATGCCTTTTATCCCAAAAAATAATCCATATAAATACGAAAATCCAATTAATTTTTCAACGTTTTTTTATGCAAATTACCGGCCATGTTTACATTCGGAACTCTCTAGATTGTTCCAAGTAAATGCACTATGTGAGTTAAAAATCGCCCGTGTTTCTTGTCTGCTACATTACCGCGCGCGCGCGCGCGCGCGCGCGCGCGCGCGCGCGCGCGCGCGCGCGCGCGCGCGCGCGCGCGCGCGCGCGCGCGCGCGCGCGCGCGCGCGCGCGCGCGCGCGCGCGCGCGCGCGCGCGCGCGCGCGCGCGCGCGCGCGCGCGCGCGCGCGCGCGCGCGCGCGCGCGCGCGCGCGCGCGCGCGCGCGCGCGCGCGCGCGCGCGCGCGCGCGCGCGCGCGCGCGCGCGCGCGCGCGCGCGCGCGCGCGCGCGCGCGCGCGCGCGCGCGCGCGCGCGCGCGCGCGCGCGCGCGCGCGCGCGCGCGCGCGCGCGCGCGCGCGCGCGCGCGCGCGCGCGCGCGCGCGCGCGCGCGCGCGCGCGCGCGCGCGCGCGCGCGCGCGCGCGCGCGCGCGCGCGCGCGCGCGCGCGCGCGCGCGCGCGCGCGCGCGCGCGCGCGCGCGCGCGCGCGCGCGCGCGCGCGCGCGCGCGCGCGCGCGCGCGCGCGCGCGCGCGCGCGCGCGCGCGCGCGCGCGCGCGCGCGCGCGCGCGCGCGCGCGCGCGCGCGCGCGCGCGCGCGCGCGCGCGCGCGCGCGCGCGCGCGCGCGCGCGCGCGCGCCGCGCGCGCGCGCGCGCGCGCGCGCGCGCGCGCGCGCGCGCGCGCGCGCGCGCGCGCGAATACAGACATGATTTTTTTCGTTAAAGTGGAAATCCGTAGGACATTTATCATTTTAACGATAGAACATTCTATCTACATTAACATATACCGTACTCGATTCTCATTATAGGTTCCACTATATCGCGGTATATTCCAAAATCTCGAAAACATAGCTCATATCCTTTTCGTTGAAAATACTATCTGTCTGTCGTCTGAATGTAAATTTTTGTGATGATTAAAAAGTATGGAACATACGTCGGAACATTTTTATTCAAATTACAGATTTCCATTCCCGTTTTTGTTATATTTAGATCACTGAATTTAAAATCTAGTAAAAATCCATAATAAATTTCATTTTTTAAAAAACTTGAGTTTGTATAATTGTTTATTCTTTATGTAGAATCACATCGTAATTTAAGAATTGAAGTCTATGTCAACCACAAGTTTCCATGTTTTTCCATACCGCGATACTATGAGACTCTCCAATTTAGGAGGATAAAAAGGCTTCCTGTTTTAAAAATAGACTGCAAAATAAATGATGCAAGCTTGGGAAATAATCTGACACTAAAAAGTTAGACCATAGTTTGGTTTATGAATATCATTTGATGAAAGTTAAAGTAAAAAATTGGAATTACACTTTTTATGCAAAAGTTTTAAGTACCGCGATATAATGAGACACCAGTATATAATATGTTGATGGTGAGACCGTTAAGGCGAGCGCAGTTACTTATCCAGTTTTCATTTAGATTGGGCTCGTCAAACTGCATGTGACATTCAGTGCGTCTAAGACTCTGATGTCACATGACGTTGTATGCATGTTGCTTTAACAAACCGAAGCCTGAATAGGGCTGATTTTAATGAAGAACTGTTTTATTGACTATTTTTCAACAATAAATTCATTAAATCAAGGCAAGTTTAATATGTTGATGGTGCGATCGTTATGGCGAGCACAAACTCTTCAATTGTTTTAATTTAGATCGGGCTCGTCAAACCACACGTGACATTTGGTACGTCTAGACTCTGACGTCACATGACGTTGTATGTAAGTTGCAAATGCCAAGAAAAAAACCTGAACAGTGCTGAAAGTTAATAAAGAACGTTTCGTTTACTATTTATCTTCAATGTATATCCATTTAATCAAGGCGAATAAACTTTTTATTGAACATTTGCCATTATTCTCGCAAGAACGTAGCTAAAAGAAGTGATGCATTGTGGGTACAAATTACTGCATCAAAAAATTCTATCGAATGAATATGCCGTAGTCCGAATTTTCTCTTCGCACAGGCATTGCTTTAAGAGCTCGCAGTGACGAGCGTCGCTTTGTGACACTCGCTATTATTTGTTTAACTTTTTGTTGTAATTCTTGCGAGGACGTTGCTTTAGCGTTTCTGCGTGAAGCGATGCATTGTGGGTCCAAATTACTGCAGAAAAAATTTCTATCAAATGAATGTGCAGTAGTTCGAATTTTCTCTTTGCCCAGGCGTTGTCGTTAGAGCTTGCAGTGACAAGAGTCACTTCGTGATGCTCGCTGCGCTTGCTATAATCAGGATGGTCATGAACATGATTTTTTTTTTCATAATTTAAAATATTTAATATGTTTTACGGTGTGACCGTTGGGGCGAGCGCAGTTGTACCATCAAAAACACTTGAAAAGTATTGAATAGCTACTTCAAACATCAAGCCGCATGAGACATCTCGACTAGCTGTGATGTCACACTTGTCAGAGCTTACGGAGACAGCCGAGCGTCTGGTTGAAACTATAGACCTATGCACTTTTGGTCGAAACACATTGCAGAGTTATTTATTGTTTCTTTGAAAGGTTTCTACAAACTAAAAGCCTTTTATGCTTTATATTATTATTTACTTATTTACTTATTCGCGCAAAGGACATTGGGTAGTAAGGGAATTCTGGGAATGTTTCACAACAAAATTTGCTTGACGTATGTGCAGATTTCATTCCGAATTTCCTCTGTTCTTACACGTTAGTCTATTGAGTTCGCCGCGCTCCTTAATATGTTGACGGTGCAACCGTTAGGGTGGCCTCAAAACGGCTGTTTTCAAAATTATTTTATAATTATACAATAATTATATTCAATTCGTTTATTGACCAATTAACATGATTAAGGGCTCTCATGGGGCAGAAAGAAAGTGCATTGTTAAAATGTATATAATGATTATGATCACAGTCTTTGTGAAAAAGAAAAATCATCACAGGACATTCGGACAGACAGTTAAAACAATTTCACAGGACCAAACAAGTTTTCAACAGTCTAAAACTTTTATCATATAATGATCATAACAATGAATTTCTTTATTATATGAATCAATAAACAAATAACACTTTAAAATATAACTGAAATGTTACTTTTTCTTTCCTGGTACTGTCCTATTGAAATATTTAATTTTAGAAATGTTGTGGCGGAAGTAGGTTTTAAAACAATCATGATCGACAAAATGTTTTAGATAATGTGTTTTTGTATTAGTTAAAGTGTCTATATGATGATATAGAAAATATGAAATTTAAAACCCAACCAAAATAAACTTCGGACAAACAGACCGATTTTACTAGTTAGTGCGTCAGACCAATAAGATTTTCACCTGTTTTGTCTGACAGACCGATGCTTTTGGGATAGACTGTGATCATAAACATGAAATACAATATACAGATACATATATATGTTTCAATAATATAAAATTTTTCATTTATAAGAAATTTAGATTCATGATAAAAACCCTTTGAATGCCATACTCACAATTGTTGTATTGATAGGTTGTGAATGACTAATTTTTTTTTTGTTTTGCAAATATTGAAAATCAACTAGAGTTCATTTCAGCATTTTAGAAAACATGCAAATATTTAACTATAGCTATATAGAGCATTATAATCTTGTTATCTCTTAAGGTGTTTAGAACCACAAAATTGTTTCAGCTATTTCGTAAAGTTATTATTTTTTGTTGAAGTTTCCAAAATACATACATGTACAAAGGTTCTCCTGGTATTCAGTATTATTTTAACATGTAATTAATTTTATTTGAAAGATTTTTTAGTTTTATTTCTGTCAGCTATATCTCTACACACTCATAAACCATCGGTGGCATATATTTTTGAGCATTCTATAGATATCAATCCCCATGATTTTGTGTCAAATAGATTTTGAAACATTAAACACATGTATTCCCTCCTTTCTTGCCTCTCCCAGTTGACCTTCCTACCTACTTTTGCTAAAAATTGCAAACAATCTTAAATTAAAAAAAAAAAATGATTTTTTTTAGGCTGGAAATTACTGTTACATGTTTGGTGTGTTTTATCATGTTTACCAGTTGCCTATTAGAATTTGCTGTATAATTAAAGTTGATTGAAATTTTTTCTTCCAGAGTAATTAAAACAAGCAACAATATTATACACCATGATTTGAGCAGGCTAAACCCAGAAAAGAAACCATGAGGTATGCTACATCTGTGTGATCTTTAGGTGCATATAATTTTACACAAAGTAGAGCTTCAGAAAGCATGCAGCTGGAATATTGATCTCTTTAATACTTTGTGATTTTTTTTGGTAATGTACACTCAGTATCTTGAATCCTTGGATATCTCTGAGTTCCAGATAAAGATGCTTGACTGTATATGTTAATACTAGATGAGATTCTAATATTCAGTTTTGGATAGACCGAAAAATGCAAAACTTAAATGTTAGCCATGTTTGCAGAGAAAGAGTTATAAAGATAGTTTGGGTATTAGGTATTACTCCTTGTGTTTATTTTATAATGCTGAATCAATTTTGCTGTCAGTGATAAAGGATCCCCTAAGCAGAAAAAGAATGTGTCGGTTATCAACCACAAAGCAGACCCTGAGGAGTCAAAACCAGGCAGAAAAAGTGAGGGGGGTCTACCAAACATCAACGAAAGATTAGGTCAGTAAATTCTAATTGTATATTGCAATTCCATTCCCAGATCTGTTCAAAAGGGTCAGATACCATCATTTAGTTAAATTTGAGAAATTTCTGCAAATATTTATTTTATTATATATGAAATAGAATTTTTTCTCAGTTTCAAACATAGTTACTGTTGATAGATTTGAAACTGATACACATCAAATAAAAGTTACTGTTTTACAGCATAGAGTAAAATGTTTAAAAGAGAAGTTTTTTATGAAAAGTAAAAGAAAGCATTAATGATTATGTAAAAGTGAAGCATGTTAAGGATGAGCATTTTCTTTGGCTTTGCAAAACATTGGAATATACTTGAGTCAGTAGAATAAGTACATGTATTTCAAACCCATTAAATGACAGGAATGGTGAGGTTTAGTTCTGGATAGGGTATTGTCCTGCGTAAGAAATATTTTGGGGAGAAAAAGTAAAAAAAAAAAACACTGATGATGATTTACAAAGGACTCATGAATCTTACAAAAGTTTTAAAATCCTTTTTAGTTCTTTAACTATTTGAATAAAGATCAGAACTGTCTTCAGTTAAATTTTTTTGAAATGGACATATATGATTCAAATAATTTAGTGGTAGTACACAGTTTATAATGCTTTTTGGAATTTGTAGGTCAGCTGCGTCCTTCCCGAGAGCTTCTGGAATATTATAGGAAGAAAATAGCGGAATATGATGAAGAGCATGATCATATGGTCAGCAAGCTGGAGGAATATCGTATCACATATGAAGAACAGGTACTTGTATTTAAACAGTCTTCTGTAATTTAACATTTTAATACTGATACATATATGTATAATTGGATGGAAGGTTCTTGATTTTCAAAATGCAAACAGAATCTTGCTGGTAGCTCTGTACCTTGCTACTTTGAGTTATTCTTCGTATGAATTTTTTTTCTTCACTTTTCGTTACAGCACAAATTACAGTGGGAGCTGCGACAGAGAGAAGAGGAGATTGTAGAACTACAGAAGGCGCTCAGTGACATGCAGGTCTATCTGTTCCAGGAACGGGAGCACGTACTACGACTTTACTCCGAAAACGACAGGCTTAAGGTAACGCGAATACATACTACGACTTTACTCTGAAAACGACAGACTAAGGTTACGTGAATACGTACTATGACTTTACTCTGAAAAGAACAGGCTCAAGGTAACGTGAACAAGTACTACGACTTTACTCTGAAAACGACAGACTTAAGGTAACGCAAATACGTACTACGACTTTACACTGAAACGACAGACTTAAGCAAATTCTGTGTAATGTAATTACTCTAATCACTTCACAAATTCTATGTCATGTATTACTGTAATCACTTCACAAATTTTGTGTAATGTATTTACTGTAATCACTTCATAAATTCTCTGTAATGAAATTACTCTAATCACTTCACAAATGCAATATTTCAGTCAGTTTATGTTTACCACTCAAAATTTGAATAAGATAATTTAGCATGTGTAGAATGAAGACAGGTAAATGTAAGGTAGGTCAAAGTACAAACAGTGGAGTAGCAGTTATACACATGGTGTGGATGTTGGTTGTGGAGGAAAAACATACATTTATGATGAGAATTTGTGTGGAAAATTGTAGGCATTTAGCATTTATTTTCTGGCAGTTTGTTTTCTCATTATCAGAATACAAAAGTTACCTTTCTTTGAATTCACAAATTACACTAAGGCAGTCTGGATTTTATCCATCATATATTCACATTGTGACTTTCAGATTCGTGAACTAGAAGACAAGAAGAAGATCCAGCAGCTCCTGAGTCTGTCCAGTACCCCTGACAGTGAGACCACGTATTTCATGAAGGAACCGCCAGCAAAAGCTATTGTAGAGCAGAAAACCAAGAATAAAAGACCCCAGAGTGCTGCAGACAGCAGGCAAAATAGAGGTATTTCCCCCTTCTCTTTTCTCTCACTGGAAAATGTGTAAAAAATAAACATCATAAACATCTATTCAAGAAGAAACAAGGGAAATTCACAAGTTTTATTTGCTATTTATTTCTTCTAATGAAAGTCAATATTTTGTAACTTTTACAGACGGTCAGGTACCTGTAAATTTTTTGTAAATTTAACAGGCAAATATCTTGTGAGTTTTACAGGTATTAAATATGTTATAAATTTTACAGGTAAATATTATGTAAATTTGACAGGTATAAAGAAGAAGCCTGTGCCGCTGTCTGACCGCCGAGGCTCGATAGAAGCAGTGCCGGAGGAGAGGTACAAACATGACAACGAGTCACTGGTCCTCCAGGTGGAGGCTCTACAGGCCCAGCTCCAGGAGCAGACCAAGCTAGCCAAGGAACAGACCGAGGCCCTGATGGAGGACCGCAGGGTCAAGGAGGAGGAGATGCAGACTAGGATGGAAAGAGACGAGGCCAAAATCGCCACACTCACTGAAAAGTTAGTCACAGAATACAATGTTTGTTAAAACTGTTTTTTTAAAAAAAATTCTTTTACATAACAAAAGTTCATTAAAATTTTGGTGTTTATATTTCTAAAACTTCATAAAAATTTTGAAAAATTAAGCAATTGTTTGGTTATTATATGTTTGCATGTAACTTTTGAAAATAAAATATATTGATTAAATACTAAAAAGGAATTCATGTATCATTTATTTCTGATGAATTCAAAAGCAGCACAACCCTGTAAGCATTTGTTCTTGTACTTAGACTACACAAAACTCAGGACCTACTGTATGAGAGCACGAAAGACTTCCTGGAACTAAGGTATCAGGGGCGATCCAATGAGAGACAATGGATGGGGGAGAAAGACAAGCTCCTGAGAGACCTAGACCACGTAAAACTACAACTTCACCCTAACAGAGACCCCGTGTTAAACATGTCAGAGGGCGCTCTAGATAGGGCTGGCTGTGTGGAGGAGATGAAGGTAGGGGATACAGTTGTTTGTGTATAAACAGAAAGAATAACAACCCAGTGTTTTAAATTTAATAAACTTATGTTTTTCAGAATAAAATCAGATGAGAGACTGTAAATTTGTATATTTGAAATTCTCGGGGTTAATTCTCTTCTTGTTTGACATTGTTTAAGTAGAAGTTTTTGCAGTGAGATGAATTTCTGCCATTATAAAAATTAATGTAAATTTTGAAATCTTAATGTTTCCACACTACCTAATTTCCTTGACAGTCTCTGGAATACCAGCTGACTCAGTCCCAGAAGTTGGCCGAGATGTACAGAGAACAAGTCATACAGCTGGAGGATGAGTTGTCACGGATACGGGAGGAAGGGGACGTCACCAGGGAAATATTTAAGGTAGCTGTACTGTACTTTTGAACTTATGAAGAGCAACAGTATTGAATGGTATCATCAGAGTAAAATTTCATCAATGATTGAATTTCTTCATGTTTCTGCATTGTTTAGGGCCGAAGTGACAAAATGACGAAGCGCCTACAGTTGATGAACCAGCGTTACCAGGATCTAGAGAGGAGGCGGAACTTAGAAGTGGAGGGGTTCAAAAACGACATCAAGAACCTCAGGTCAAGGTTAAAAGATGTGGAAAGGCAGCTGTACAAGGTAGGCTGAAAAAAGCTGATAAGATTCTTTTTAATAGATTTAATAAAATATGGGAGAGTTTTGTGAATTTCATTGTATTCAATTTTATTCAATTGTTAATATGTTAAGTAAATTTTAGCATTTCTATGTCAGATATTATTTTCAAATGTTATTTTAAACTTTGTTATAGGTTACAATGGGTTTTGCTGAGGATATGGACATGAAACGTCCTGAGGAGCTAGATTTACAGATTCTGAAGAATGTGCGGGCCACAGCTGGACGATCCAAGAAAATAATGGGCGAACTGAAAAATCTCAAGTCTAAAATGTATGGAATTGAAAACGACTTGAAGCATTTATGATTGATTACTGTGATACTTAGCAAATTTAAAAGTGACACGATTGCAAAGGAGGAACTGATTATTCTTCTAGTTTGTAGTAATAACAGTGAAGACGAAGAAATATATTCTAGAGGAATCTATAGATTGGTCTTAATTTTGCTGTAAATGTAAAGACAGAGAACCAGGGTTATATTGTTGTTGAGGCAGTTTTGTAGATTAACAAGATCATGTCATGTTTATCATTTTCAAAGACAATGTGGAAATTGGAAAATTTCTAATTAAACCTACAAGTCATAATTATGTGATACAAGAACGGATGATATATTAAAACCAATTTGTTATGAATTAGTGAAAAATTAATGGCATTCTTAAAAAAATCTCCTCAAAAACCATTGGGCCAGGAAAGATGAAACTCACGTTGAATCATCCTCAGGTAGTGTACTTTCAAGTTTGTTCAAATCATGACCCCCTGGGGGTAGGGTGGGGCCATAATGGCCGGTCAAAATTTTACATAGGAATATATAGGAAAAATCTCTCAAGAACCATTAGTAGTAGTAGTTTTTATTTGGTATCATGTCATCATACATAAAACAAATATACAAAATTTATACATGATCTTATAAAAGACGAAAGTTGGTAATCAAGATTTTATAAATAAATAATTCTTGTAATAATATTTTTAGAAATAACATTTAAGGTGACTAGATAGATACCAGGATAACCCATTAAAGCTTGAGAGCTTATATCCAATGGTGTCCTTTCTTAAGTAACTTTAAAGAATAAATAACTATACAATGTAATGAATGTTCCATCATTAAAGCACTATGATAATTTTGGCACAATTATTTTAGCATAAACATCTAAATTGAGTTTAAAACATCAACATTATCAATAAAATAAAAAAATATAATTTATAAACTAGTACTGAAACATATCACTTTCATGTTCTAAAATGCCTTTTTGTAAGATAAAACTCTTGACTTTTGACCATTGGGACAAGAAAGATAAAACTCATGTTGAATCATCCTCAGGTAGTGTACATTCAAGATTCATGACCCCCGGGGGTAGGGTGTGGCGACAATGGCCGATCAAAGTTTTACATAGGAATATACAGGAAAAATCTTTAAAAATCTTCTCAAGAATCATTGCGACAGGAAAGATGAAACTCATGTTGAATCATCCTCAGATAGTGTACATTCAAGTTTGTTCAAATCATGACCACTGGGGGTAGGGTGGGGCAACAATGGCCGACCAAAGTTTTACATAGGAATATATAGGAAAAATCTTTAAAAATCTTTTTCTCATGAACCATTGGGACAGGAAAGATGAAACTCATGTTGAATCATCCTCAGGTAGTGTACATTCAATTTTCTTCAAATCATGACCCCGGTAGGGTGGGGCCACAATGGCTGATCAAAGTTTTACATAGGAATATATAGGGAAATCTTTAAAAATTTTCTCTCAAGTACTGCAAAGTCATGATTAGTGATGTTAATATAGAAGCATCCTCAGGTAGTGTAGATACTAGTTTGTTCAAATCATAACCTCCAGGGATAGGGTGGGGCTACAATGGGGGTAGGGAGAGGGAAAAATGGGTAGTCAAATTCAAATTATTACAAAGTAATATATACAAACAAAATGTTTAAAAAATCTTTTTAAAAATTTTTCTTCAGATCTTTCTTAAGTTATATGGAGTATTGATATGGAGACATTCTCAAGTAGTATTAGAATTCAAGCCCCCCTCCCCACCCCCTCAGTAAACGTTTCAATTCGGATCTGATTTGTGCTTTTTCCTAGCTCAGGTGAGCGATGTGGCCCCTGGGCCTCTTGTTTTATTTCGATGAACGGTGTTGCTATGGTTACTAAAAATAGAAATTTCTGTGAAATACTTTTAAAATGCTACCCATCCTACAGTTTTAGTCTGATTTCAATATAACTTGGCACACAGGTAAACTACAAGAAGATACATATTATTAGATCCTGATGATTGGTGTTGCCATGGTTACTAAAAATAGAAATTTCTGTGCAATACATTTAAAATGCTACTCCTCCTACAATTTTGGTCTGATTTCAATATAACTTGGCACACAAGTAGTCTACACTAAGATACATAATTTTATGTAATGGGTTTTGATTTCCAGGAACGGTGTTGCCGTGGTTACTAAAAACAGAAATTTCTTTGAAATACTTTTGAAATGCTACTCCTCCTTCAGTTTTGGTCTGATTTAAATATATTTCCATTTCTAATTTTTCTCCCTGTGATAACTCATTGAAAGTTAGCGGAGTTAATTTCTTGATAATTCTACCGGAATGTAAATTAGACAGGTCAATAGGTCAGGAGCTAAGGAGGCCCAATATGCATGCAAATCTCGTGCGCATCTGTCTCTGAGTCTGACACTAAGGAGGCCAAATATGCATATACTTGGACATCTCGTGCGGCTGCCGTTGTGTTTGACATCAGTGGGCGAGGACTTTTGAAATCGGGATGGGAGTTCTCGTGTAATTTAAATCTATGTCTGCAGTTTTAAAGTCTAAATCTACAATTTTATTTCACAATGAAATGGAAATATACGGAATAACTGTCTAGTTAGTGTAGTATGCCAAGGACATCAACAATAGTGGGAAACATGGGATAATTTATGCATAACGGGCTTCGCCCGTTATGCAAATTATCTCATGTTTCCCACTATTGTTGATGCCCAGGCATATTAAACTAACTAGACAGCGATTCCTTAAATAACTTGGCACACAAGTAGACTACACTAAGATACATAATTCTGTATATCGGTTTTTTGATTTCGATGAAAGATGTTGCCGTGGTTACTAAAAATAGAAATTTCCGTGAAATACTTTTGAAATGCTACTCCTCTTTCAGTTTTGTCTGATTTAAATATAACTTGACACACAAATAGTCTACACTAAGATACATAATTATATATATCGGTTTTTGATTTCCGTGAACGGTGTTGCCGTGTTTACTAAAAATAGAAATTTCTGTGAAATACTTTTAAAATGCTACTCCTCCTTCAGTTTTGGTCTGATTTCAATATAACTTGGCACACAAGTATTCTATACTAAGATACATACTTTTGCGTATCGTTTTTTTTTTATTTGGACGAATGATGTTGCCTTGGTTACTAAAAACAGAAATTCCTGTGAAATACTTTTAAAGTCTACCCCATCCTACAGTTTTCGTGATTATAATATAATTTGGCATGCAAGTAGACTACACTGTTTATCAACTCTGTGTTTTTGATTTTGATGAACGATGTTGCCATGGTAACTTAAATTGAAAATTCTGTAAAATTTTATTAAAAACTGCTCCTACAGTTGTAGTTTTATTGCAATCTTGCCACAAGAAGAGACTAAATCAAGGATCATTATTCTGTTTTGCTTTTATAAAGTTTTATGTCCCAACTGCTAGTTTTCTCTTCCTTTATCATAAGTACAAACCAGTAGAGCTACAGTCTCGACAGGGACTTCTGGTTACAGATGAAAAGTAAAATGGTTCTAAATTCTGCATTTTTTGTGACTATTTTTAAATGTATTTATTAAAAATTTGCATAACGCATTTAATTTTAAATGGATTCGTCCTTTTTCCTGCAACCAAAACTGAACCAGTAATGTTTTATGTTCATTGAAAAAAAAATGACTTGCACACTATTGCAAACGAATTTTATTATAAAACTCCAAAAATATTCGAAAAGATAAATCGATAACCCCCCCCCCTCTCTCTCTCTCTGTAATAAAAAAGATATCGTATTATTATGAAATATATTTTTTTTCAAAATCAGAAAAGAGGTCCATGGGTTACAACGCTCACCCGAGTTATTTTAGTCCATCACATCAAATTACCCCATTATATATACATATTCCTTTGTAAAAACTTGATCTACTTTTGTGGAAACATAATTTAATTATATATATAGTTTATTTTGATAGTCACACTCTTCACATCTTTTAAACATGCAGTCGAAAATGAACTTCGTTTTGTTGCCTTAGATTTTAGGTAACATCGTATTAAACTATCAAGAACAATGAAATTACATTAAAATTCTAGAATAATAGGCTTATTATTATGAAGAATATTTTCTTCATATTTTATTTATGAGGAAAATTTTTCTAGGTTATCGGTTCTTGAGAAGATGTTTAACGAGTGATGACCCCGCCCTATTTTTTGCCTTTTCTTTATTATCTCTCCTTGAAAGCGTGTTTGTCCCTTTTAATAATTCAAAATTTCCTTAAACTTCCGTGAAGGATGCGTTGTGCCAACTTTGTTTGACATTGGCTCAGTGATTATTTAGCAGAAATTGAATATGTGAAAAGTTTACAGAAGACGGACATACGAACAGAAGCCGGGCAAAAGGTGATCAGAAAAGCTCACTTGAAATTTCAGGACCCCAGGATCATAAAAGAGACGTAGATATTGTTCAAATTTTCCATAATTTGTAAAATATATGTTAATAGTGTGATTTGTCTCTAAATTTGCATGTAATAAATCTTTTGGAAGGCGATGTGGACAAATAATTTGATTTAGGGTCAATGATATTTACAACTTGAAATACAACATAAAGAATTTGACTTAAGCCTAGGCTATGCGAGCAAAAACGATAACAAGAAAAGCAAACCTTCGAATCAAGGAGAAAAAAAGGGAAAATAAAAATTTAGCGAAAAAGATGGCACATATGTAACAAAATAAAAATATTCATAAAACAAGACTATCAATACATCATAAATATCATAAATCATCACAAAATCAAAAATAGCCAAAAAAATTTGCAAATCAAAACAAAATGGCAGTTCAAATATATAAAGTCAAAATTTCAAAGGAACGAGAGGTCTTAGGTCCTTATATCGGAACTGCGTTTATTGCAACACTGTTAAGGATTCATATAGATTGGATATTTAATGGTAAAAAATTAATAATACCTTATTTGATAATTATTAACAAGTGAAAAGTATAAGGAAACACACATTTTTCAGTCGAATACAAATACATGCATATGAATTTCGAAAAAGTAATTAAAAATACCTTAGTTATGACACTGTTTCCCTTCCAGATGCCCAGGAGCAGAGAAATTAAAATAATTTGTTTTTACTTAGATTAAATAAAAAAGCCCTCACCCAACACCGATGCCGCTTATCCAGGGGGCAGGAAATTCACAATTTTTTGAGAGGCACCCTATCTCATTATCATGCACTTAGTATGTTTACACATGAGCAAAGAAGATTTTCAAAGAAATAATGCACTTTTACAATACATTTATTAAGCCCTAATCCAAACATAAACCCCTAACCCAGG